GCAGGTAGAAGCTCCCGTCCAACAGGAGCTCTTAACTTAGGGTCATCGGTCTTGGTTGGTTGAGATAGATGGAGATGCATACACACACGTACATATACACACGGACACACATATGCATGTATGTATGTGGATGTAGATGTACACATGTAGAAAACCATTTCAATTTAATTGTTCTCCTTTGTAATCCTATGTACGCAATTTTTACACATTTCAAAGCATATGAGTCCATAGGCATCACCAGACTGATTGCCCAAGGGATCTGGGTCACAAAAGGTTGTGGGGGTGGGGCAGAGAGCGGGGGATGGGTGCTGCTTCCTCCCAGTCGTGCCTCTTATACTTCCTGCCTCTGATCTCAGACACATTTCTTAGCTTTTCTGTGCCTCAGTTTCCCCATCTGTAAAAAGAGGGGGTTGGGCTGTATGGCCGCAGAGGTCCCTTCAAGTTGTACCTCTGTGGTCCAAGGAGTCCAATGTGGCTCTTGTCTTTGTTCAGCTCTGCCCAGCACCCCATAATGAAGCCCTCTCAGACTTGCTGTTAGTGGATTCAGATTTCACAGATGAGATTTCCGCTGAGCTACCTCCTCTGCTATAAGCATTTCTGGGCTCCTCGTCCTCCAGGGAATTGGGGGCCCCTGGACCTTTGGGAGCCTGGCTTTGGAGGCAGGGTGACCGAGGCTTCCAAGTAGAGGTAGAAAACTTAGGGCCAAGTCGACCAAAGAATGAGTGGCACTGACCATTGAGCTAAGTGGCCGGCCAAGATGATAACAGAGACAGGAGGACAGAGGTGCAGGATGAATGGCACCCGGGGTTGGGATGACTCTGAAAAGAATGTCTCCTTCAGGAGAAGGGAGAGGGAGTTCCAGCCCTGCCCCGGGCCCCGACCTGGCTGTGGCACCCTGGGCCAAGCCCGATGCCTTCTCTGGGCTCCAACCTCCATAGAAACAGGGCCACAGAGGATCCCGCATTTTAAAACGGGATGTTATCTCTGTCCTACCGCACTTTTATTTATACTGTTCAACCTTTCCTGGTTTTATTTTAAGCTGGTTTGTGCTACCCTGGGGAGCACTGACCCCTGCTCTAGGTTATCCCCGGCAAAGCTGCTGATCTCCGTAGGTCCGAGGAGTTTCCTCTCCATCCCCATGCCTTCGTTCCTTCTGGTCCCCAGACTCCCCTTTCCTCAGTACCCATTTTTAAAGAGCTCCTGGGGCTCTGACCGCTTATTCATCAATAACTCAAGATCTGGGACCGTGGCAGGGTGGAGACCCCTCCTACCAGCCTCGACAACTTGTCAGTCAAGTATCCAGCAGTTATTAAGCACCTCCTGTTCTCCAGGAACCGCGCTGGGTGTGGGGGATGCAAGTAGCTACGTGGAACAGTGGAAAGAGGGATGGCACTGGAGACAAGAGTGCGAATCCCATCTCAGATAGCCCAAACCCCTCCCTTTACAGATGAGGAAACTGAGTCCCAGAAAAGTAGAGTGACTTACCCATGGTCACACAGCCAGGATTGGAACCCAGTTTCCTTTTGGTCTTCAAAAATGTCTCTGGCTGCCCAGTCCTCTCCCTGCATCCCACCAGATGATAAGCATCTGTGAAATCAGTGAGACTGGCCCTTGGAACTGACATGCAGTCCATCACTGGGCCGATACTCAAAGTCTGGCAATCTGCTGGAATGGCCTTTGAGGACCCAGAGTCATCTTCATGTCAGGAGGAGGCATCAGAGAAGAACCTTAGTGGAAGATGAGATGGAAGTATAAGTTCATCATCATCATTACCATCATTGCCATTATCACCATCATTGTCACCATCACCTTTATCATCACCATCATCATCCTCACCATCACCATCATCATCCTTACCATCCTCACGATCCTCCTTACCATCCTCACCATCATCCTCACCATCCTCACCATCAACATCCAAGCACGAATTCTCACTCCACTCTACCCAACAAGTAATCACCAGGAGACCCCAGGAGAACGGAGACATTCTGAGGGCCGTTCTGGCTCTGCTTTGAGTCCCCAGCAGAGGGCCACACGATCCTGAGGGATCTTGAGGACCGTGAGTCCAAACATCCTCATTTTTCAGAAGAGAGAGGGTAAGTGACTTGCCCAGGGTCACACAGTAAGTCAGAGGTGGGTTTCAAACCAGGGCTTCCTGACCCCAGGCCCGGCGCTCTATCCACTGCCCACAGAGTCTTTCTGGCACGTTGTAATTGGTTAATAAATGTTTGCTCAATTGAACTGAACCACCTCCCAGTGAAAAGTCACTATTTCTCAATTCATTTTGAGATGCTGGTGCTGATAATTGCAAGTCCAGTGTTCTCCCCCTACTGAAACACTCTGACAATTGATTATCAACTTAGTCATTATCTCTTTTATTTGGCATAGAGGCTAGAGAGCTCACCTCCAAGTCAGGAAGGCCTGGGTTCAAGTCTTGCCTCTGACTTGTGCTGGCTGTGAGACCCTGGGTCAGTCATTGAACCTCTCTGGGCTTTAGGCCATTTTCTAAGGCTGTGGGAAAGGTGCTGCCCGGAATTGGCAGAGGGAGTTTCTTCAATGAGAATTCCCTATCCCAATCAAGTCCCAAGTCCAGTGGACCCCTATATAAATAAATACATGACGAGTGTGTACAGCTTCCTGAGGGCAAAGACTCTGTCCTGGTTGTCTCTGTAATCCAAGGGCATTGCGAGGTGCCTGGCCTACGCTAAGTAGGCACTCAGTAAATGCCTGTTAAATACCCCATACACCACTCTCCTAGGGGATTCTAAAAAGGAAGGAAAGACCTGCTATGAATATACCTCATCCTCCCCTCCTAGAGCATTTCTTCTGTGGAGATTTCAGAGTCCAGATTGGAGAAAAGATACACATTTCCTATCTCCTGTCCTCTGAACCATGTGACTGCTTGATGCTTATCTCTACGGAGTTTAGTCAAACAATGATAGCAACCTCTGAGTCATCGGGAGGAAGAAGGAAGGCAGGGGCCTTTGTGGGAGATAAAAGCATCTCATCTCCAACAACAGAGGACCTGAAAAAGAGCCCTGAAGAGAGCATCCCCCACAAATAAAACAAGTATACAAAGATCTAAGGTGAGTCTGACTCAGCTCCTGTTTCTCATCAGCCAGGCAGATGGCGGCCTGGGTGTTCTGGGTATGCAGCTGTGCCTCGCTCTGTGTAGGGGTGTGGCCCTAAAAGGCCACGTGTAAGTCAATCCACGAGTGGCCAGAAGGAACGGTTTTAAACACAGGAAGTTTTGTCTTGAAGGAATCCTGCTGTGAATTCTAGAGAGTGAATCACCGTGAACCGTGAGAGAAAGCTTCCTCGTACGACCTGTCATCATTCAGTTGTGCCTGACTCTTCATGACCTCACTTGAGGTTTTCTTGGCAGAGATACTGGAGGGGTTGGCCATTTCCTTCTCCAGCTCATCTTACAGATGGGGAAACTGAGGCAAACAGGGTGAAGTGACTCGCCCAGGGTCACACAGCTAGTAAGTGTCTGAGGCTAGATTTGTGCTCAGGTCTTCCCAACTCCAGGCCCAGTGTTCTAGCCACTGTGCCACACACACCGCTAGCCCTTGTACTACCTACATCAAGCGTTTGTAGGATAAAGCTCTTGAGGGCGGGAGTGCTCACACAGTGCCTAGCGCACAGAGGCCATTGGCAAATGTTTGGCCAAGAACTGAACAGTGGTAAGAAAAGCACTCGGGAGACCCAAAAGGTCTGTGGAAGTGTGAGCTACTGACAAACTGAACTCTTTGCTATTTCTAACACACACCATGCCCTCTCCTATCTCCTGGCCTTTGCCTCAGCTGTGGCCCATGCCAGGAATGCCAACTTCTCAGAATTTTTCTGCCCAGCTCAGCCCCTGTGAAGCCCTTCCTAACCTTCCCAGCTCCGAGTGCCTTCAACCTGCCCCCCCACCTCAGTTATGTTGTGTCTGAGTTTCACGGTTTGTGCTTCTACACTCAGGCCTGGCACACAGTAGGTGCTTAATCAATGCTTGCTGTTTGGTTGGGTGGTGCCCCTGCTCTTAGAAAGAGCTGCAGGGGCAGCTGGGTGGCACAGTAGACAGAGCTCCGGCCTTGCAGTCAGGAGGACCTGAGCTCAAATCCGGCCTCAGACACTTGACACTTACTGGCTGTGTGACCCTGGGCACTTCACTCAAACCGACTGCCTCACCAAAAAGCAAAAAAAAAAAAAAAAAAAAAGAGCTGTTGATGGGCAGGTTCCATCTCAACTCAGCTCCAGCTTCCCTGCATAAGTAACCTGAACAAAGGATTCGTCTCCATTGCCCCGCCCCAGCCCATTTTCCACAGACTTGCAGCCTCCCATTACCAAGTTTCCTGGTCCCTGGCGGCCAGCTGCGCTGCCCACACCAGTGCCCCGGGGGCAGGCCTGGCGCTGAGTTCTCTGTGGGATCCCCTGCGGCAGCCCCAGTCACTTCCCTGGTTCTAGAGGCCGCTCAGGAAGACTTCAGTGGAGTCACTGCTATCAATCACCCAGCCAGGGGATCGATCAGCAACCACTGATGAAGCCCTTCCTACACGTTCACCCGGGAGACAAGTAAATATCTAAATAAATGTCACTGTTCAGTCATTTCAGCCACATCCGATTCTTCACGACCCCATGTGGGACTTTCTGGAGGGGTTGGCCATTTCCTTCTCCACCTCATCTTACAGATGAGGAAACTGAGGCAAACAGGGTGAAGTGACTTGCCCAGGGTCACACAGCTAGTATCAGAGGCCAGTTTTGCACTCAGGCCTTCCTAACTCCAGGCCCAGCGCCAACTAGCCAGCCATGTAAACAAATACCGTATAACTGTGAAGTGAATAAATACAAGCATGTCCAAAGTGGTTCAATATCAAGTAGCTCAGGAAGGGGGCACTGAGATAACACGTGACTGCTGGTAGCTCTGGCACGGCAAGCAAACCTCACCTGGCTTTTGGCTGGAGACGCAGACTGACCCCCTCCTGGGCTAGCTGCCTCTCATTTCTCTATTTCAGGTCAATGCAAAAAAGGGACAGAAGTTTGACCTGGAGTTCACTATAGAAAGCTACAAGCCGGAGGTAGGTACATCCCAGGCTTTGAGGAGGAAACCGCGGGGAGGGGGGTCACTGAAAGTCCTTTGAAAACAGGAAAGCATGTATGCATGTAACATTCGTATCTGTATATACAGGAGAGGCATATGCCTCGGAGGCAGAAGGTCCTGGGCTCAGCTGCTAAGCCTGACGCTTACTTAACTGTATGACTGGGTAATCACTCCACCTCTTGGTGAAACTGAGGCCAGTGAGGCACACAGGCAGTGCCAGCACCCACATTCAAACTCGGGGCCTCTGACCTTCCTTCCATTCCTTCCATCACTATCTCCCATCATCAGGAAACAGCCTTTTCTTTGGGGCATCTTGTTTTCCATTCTATAGAGCACATCCGTGGGCGGGGGCGGGGGGGGGGAATAAGGGAGGACAAAGTGGGGAAGGGAAGTGCGGCATAGCACATAGCATACTAGATCTGGACTCAGACGGCCTGGCTTCCAGTTCCTCCTGAGACACTCATGAGTTTATGGAGCGGGGTCAGTCGCTCATCTTCGAGGGGGGTGGTCCCTTCCCGCTTGAGGTCTGGGGTCCTGTGACCTCTAAGGTCCATCCTGTCTCTACATTCATCATTCCCACAAACAAGGGGCCACAACTTCTCTCGAATGTGTTGGCTTCACACCTGGGTGAGGAGCGGGTGACTGATCCCTGCAGTGCAGACCTTGTTCCTTGGACAACCCAGAGGGCGCCACGCCATCTCCCCTCCCCTCGGTTGGACGTGACTCTCAGGGTCACCTCGCTGGGTGGTCTCTCACTCACCCAGACCAGGAGGCAGAGGCCACCAGGCCCCTGGTGGGATTCCCGTTCTGCTGGAGCCAAGTGAAGCCACTTCCAGGCAGCAAGAATGGCTTACAAAGAGGAGGGTTTTGTTCATGTTTGCACTAGAACCTGCATTCTAACTGCTGATTCAAACAGCAGCAAAACCTGAGAAAGACCATTGCCCCATTAGGCCGTGGGTGGGAACAAGGAGGCTGGCAGAGGGCAGGCACCAGGGGGACCCCAGGCTGACGTTTGCTGTCCAGCCCGGCCGACGATGGCCTGAAAAACGGGCCTTCTCCAGCCAGGAAGGCAGTGTGGGACCCAAAGCATCAGTCAGTGCTCAGTGAGGGCTGTGGTACAGCTTTGTTCTCATCTCCTGCTCTGGCTAAGCAGAGGAGCCTCTGAAGTCATGTTTGAAAACCCAGGGAACTCTTTCTCTCTCTCCTTCTCTCTGTCTCTCTCTCCTTTTCTCTCCTCTTCATCTTCTCTCTCCTCTTCTTCATCTTCTCTCTCCCTCCCCTTCTCTCTTCTTTCTCTCTCCTCTCCTCTCTATCTCTCCTCTCTTCCTCCTTCTCCCTCCTCCTCCTCTTTCTTCTTCTTCTTCTCTTCTTCTTCTCCTCCTCCTCCTCCTCCTCTCTCTCTCCTTCTCTCTCCTCTTCCTCTCTCTCTCTCTCTCTCCCTCCTTCTCTTTCTCTCCTTCTGTCTGTCTCTTTCTCTCCTTCTCTCTCTCCCCTTCTCTCTTTCTCTCTCTCCCTCTCTCCTCTCTATCCCTCCACTCTCTGTCCTTCTTTCTCCTCCTCCTCCTTCTTCTTCTCTCCCCGTCTCTTCTCTTTCTCTCTCTCTCCTTCTCTCTGTCTCTTTCTCTCCTCTTCTTCTCTCTCCCCTTCTCTCTTCTCTTTCTCTCTCCCTCTCTCCTCTCTCTCTTCTCCATCTCTTCTCTCTCTCCTTCTCTCTCCTCTTTCTTCTTCTTCTCCTCTCTCCTTCTCTCTCCTCTTCCTCTCTCTCCCCCCTCTCTTCTCTTTCTCTCTCCTCTCTGTCTCTGTCTCTTTCTCTCCTTCTCTCTCCTCCTCCTCCTCTCTTCTTCTTCTTCTTCTTCTTCTTCTTCTTCTTCTTCTTCTTCTTCTTCTTCTTCTTCTTCTCTCTCCCCTTCTCTCTTTCTCTCGCTCTCTCCTCTATCTCTCCTCTCTGTCTTTCTCCTCTCTCTCTCCTCCTCCTTCTCCCCCCTCTCTTCTCTTTCTCTCTCTCTCCTTCTCTGTCTCTGTCTCTTTCTCTCCTTCTCTCTCTTCTTCTTCTCTCTCTCCCCTTCTCTCTTCTCTTTCTTTCTCCCTCTCTCCTTTCTATCTCTCCTCTCCATCTCTCTCTCTCTCCTTCTCTCTCTCTCCTTCTCTCTCCTTGTCCTCCTCCTCCTCCTTCTTTTCTCTCTCCCCTTCTCTCCTCTTTCTCTCTCTCCCTCTCTCCTCTTCCCCCCCCTCTTCTCTCTCTCTCCCTCCTCTCTCTGTCCCTCTGTCTCCCCCTCCTTCTCCTTCTCCCTCTGACTGTCTCTGTTTTTCCCCTAGTTAATTGAGGAGCGTCTGGGCACATGCTCTGCCCTGGTGATCTTCAGGAATCAGAAGCCCAAACCCACAGTCAACATAACCTGCACACGACTCCTAGACGAGAAGGAAAGAGAGCAACAGGATTATGTGTTGTACAAGCAAATGAAGCAGCTGAAAAGACCCCCCGACGGGACCAGAATCCCAGGTATAAGCCAGTAATCATCAAAACATCAAGGCATCCTCTTGCTTCTGTAGCCACTGAACCTAAGAGTGGAGCAGGGGAACGATCTAAAATACTTTTCTGCAGCTGCAGTTGGAGGCAGCCATAGCTGCAGTTGCAGGCAGCCATAGAATGGGGCGAAAATCTAGAGTGCCTGGTTGTTTGGACTAGACTTACAAGTTACCTGTGTTTGCCTGGTTGTTCACCCATGACAATGTGACCACTGGCCTCTTTCATGAGGAGGCCACCTATGGGGAGAAGGTTGGGAACAGAAATTATTGATTTCCAATCAATATCATTACGTCCCAAATGTCTCAAGGAAACACCCTCCTTAATTCATGCCAACTGCCATTTCAGAAGATGTTGGTTACAAGTTTTGATTTGGATTACTCCTTAAGGAATCAGTTATTGTAATCCAACTATAGGGATGTTAGTGGTATTCCTGTCTGAATTATTTAGTATTATGAAATATAGTACTTAAAGGAATAGCCAAATGAAATGTAGGGTAAAATATAGAATAAAACTAGAATAGAGGAGGATCTCAACATGCTCCTTTCAGACCTAGACAAATCTAAAAAAAAAGTTAAAGGCCTGAATAAAATTTTAGAAAATTTAGATATAGTAGATTTCTGGTGATTACTACAAAGCAATAGAAAGGAATGTGTGTGTGTGTGTGTGTGTGTGTGTGTGTGTGTGTGTGTGTGTATGTATGTATTCTAAGCTATGTGTAGTATCCTTACAAAACCTGACCATATAGTAAACCATAAAAACCTTACAAACAAATGCAAAGAAGCAGAAATACTAAATACAGTTCTTACTGAGCATAATGCAATAAAAATTATGTTAAATTAAGGACCACTGAAGAAAGGACTAAGAATTAATTAGAAACTAAATAATTTAATCCTAAAGAATTAGTGAGTCAAAGAACAAATTGTAGAAACGATAGATAATTTTAAGCTCATAACAATGAGACAATATATTAAAATTCTGGGGATGCAGTCAAAGCAGTCCTTAGGGGAAAATTTATATCTCTAAGCACTTTTATCAACAAAAGAGAAAGAACAGATCAAGAAATTGGACATTCAACTTAAAAAAAAAAACCTAGAAAGTCAACAAATTGAATTACAAATGGAGGAGTTTGGTAGTAGATAAAGTGAATTTGAGACCCAGAGCTGTCCCTGGAATCCACTGATCATTTCATTCATGCTATGTAGACTCATCTTAATGAAGCAACCCTGATTATTATATGTGTTGACATCAATAATAATAACAACAGATCTTCATAAGTCATTTTGAAGGTCACAAAGTTCCTTCTACATATTATCTCATGTGAACCTCACAACAACCCTGAGAAGTAGGGACTATTATTACCCCATTTTACAGATGTGGAAAACTGGTTCAGAAAGATTACAAGTTAGCACATCATCACAGAACCCATCAATGTCACAAAAAGGATTGGAGCTCAAGTCTTCATGACTCTGGGTCCAGCATTGTATTGCCACAGCAGATGGCTTTTTCCCTATAATATTTTTGGGAAGAATCTCTCTCCTAGAATTTAGAACTGATTTTGCTCTCCACTGGAATTTTCTCCTTTTAATGTGTTAATGAACACACACTAAAGTTCTGCTTCATTAGTAGCTGTGCACTTCAGTTTCCACATCTATAAAATGGGAGAAATAATACTTACACCTCAAGATCTTTGCAAACATCGAGGTGCTACAGGAATTTAATGATTCATAGCTCAGAATGCCACTGTACCATGGACAAAGCATCGAACCATAGGTTGTGTTGAATTGGCTGAAGTCCTGTCTTGTTGCTGAATTTTAGGCTAACCCTGTGGGGCATGATAAGCAAAGAGAAGCAATGGGATACCCTATCCTTGGAGCTAAGGAGACTTGGGTTCAAGGCCGACCTCTGACATGGACTAGCCCTTTCTTCTCTCATTGCCCCCCCCCCAACTCTCTAAGACTATGGGCTGCAGAGGAAGCACCACCTGCATTGGTAGAGGGGATTTCCTCACCTGAGAGCTCCTTATGTCAGTGAAATCACGGGTCCAGTCCCTACCCCGGACAATGAGCAATGCTCCCTAAAAGCTCTTCTCATCAGAACCCTGCCATCAGGCCAACTTTCCATGGATCAATTGGCCTTCTACGACATCAGGTTTCTAGCTGACAGATTTTAAGAATGTAACAGTGTAAGATGAAACAAGATAAGCAGAAACAAAGGTAACAAGGCAGCTGGGGAGTGCAGTGCGCTAAGCTCTTAACTTGGAGACAGGAAGACTCAAGTTCAAATCCAGTCTCAAGCACTTACTATGTGACCCTGGGCAAGTCATGTAACCTCTGCCTCAGTTTCTTCATCTGTGAAATGAGGATCATAGTAATAGCTACCTCCCAGGGTTATTGTGAGGATTAAATGCTATTTTATATATATGTACATGAATATACATATATATATGTATATGTATATACATAAAGCACTTAGCACAGTGCCTAGCATATAGTAGGCACTTAATAAATGCTAGTTAAATCTAAATCTAAGCTGGCTGAAGATTTCCAGGTGTCCATAATGGGCAAACTGATGAAAATGAATTTTTGACTTTTTTTCTTCCTTTTTAATGTGTTTATATCTCAATGTTCCAGCCAGTGTCTTTTGCTCTTTCTAATGTTCTTTGAACTTAGCCCTCCAGCTGTTCAGGCATCACGGGAACAAGGAATAATAAATCCATTTTTGAAATGCTGATTGATACCTTTGTGAGAAATAACTGAACATCTGGACCCACTTTCTGTGGGAACACCTGCAGAAGCAGTCACAGTTTCCAACTGATCCCTGCAGCTAACACGCTGGGAGGGAGAGATAGGAAATAACCTGGAGATTTAGACAATTAAAAGGCAAATAGGATGAAAAAATGTGGGCTAGCATCAATCTGGCTCACGGCTCAGTTTGGAGACATTGGGAGATTTTTTTTTGACAGAGAAGCTTAAGAATCCAGAAAATTTGGAGGCACACCTGCTAATGGAGAATGTAAGAAAAAAAAAACAACTGTGCACCACGATATTCATGCCTTATTCTCATCCATTTTTCTTCCCCAAATCACAAATCACTTTTGCTATTTTTCCGATATCTCCATAAAGATGCAAAATCAAAAACTAGACAACACAGGACTAGATTTATGCCAAAGACAAGTTCATTTGCTGAAGAATGAGTCTTTTAGAAGTGACGACTTTATTTCATATTATCGTGCACAAATGCGGGTGTCCTGGATTGTTAACTAAGGCTTGCAAACAGATTGCACAAGGAGAGACCCAGCTGGTGATGCTTCTTCTATCTCACAGCCTGGAGTCAAACGCTGTGACTCAGCCACAGCAGATGCCCAGAGCATCCTGAAAGACAGGGCAGAGACATCAGGCAATGAGAGGGAGAGGCAGGCAGGGTCTCAAGAAACAAGAAGCCTCGTAAGTGCTTTAAAACTTGCAAAATCCTTTACATCTATTATCTCACCGAGTAACAGCACTGATAGTCACCACATATAATGTGCCCTGAATATATTAACCTATTGGTCTTCAATCCTGTAGGCAGGTACCACAGTTACTGTAATCTCCAATTTATGGATGAGGAAATTGATGTGGAGAGAGATGAAGTGATTAGCAAGGTGCATGGCTAGTAAGTGTTAGAGTGGGCTTCCAATCCAAGCAGGTCTCACCGAAGTCCAGAAGCCATCACCCTCCAGCCTAAAGCACTGCCTCTCTGTATACGAAAGAACAAGGTGTATTTCTTTTGAACCACCAGGGGGCACTGCTGGACACTAGCTTGATCCTGTTCTGCCATGAAGCTCAAGCCTTGGCAATCCAATAGTCAGTCAACAGTGATGTTCTCCCCAGGAGGTGCCTGGGAGAAATTACCAAGCTCTCTCCTGACACTCAAAGAGCTGGCTACCTCTGCCCCTTAGCCTGGCTGCTTTGGCTGATGGCATGGCTCACCTCATTATTCCGGGAGTATGGTCTCTGTGAATTCATTCCCATCAGCGTCTTGGCTCAGCACGCACCCACTGGGAAAATGGGTCTTCCTTGTATTTTAGGGGCAGGATTAACATTATCTATTGGAGTGGCTCACACAAGCATGGCTAAGAGTTTGGCTTCTCACAAATAAAGAAAGAAGCAGGAAGGACAGAATCAAACCTATAGCATGTCCCAAAATGTTAAGACCGTTTAAAGCTTCGCACTAAGGCCTTTGGGACACCCTGAGGGCGTAGACTACCTGTGAGGGTGACCTCTGTTAAGGCAGCCCTTAACCAGTCTGGAGCAGGGGTGAGGAATCTGCAGCCTCGAGGCCACACGGGGCCTTCTTGGTCCTGAAGTGCTGCCCTTTGACTGACTCCAAACTTCACAGAACAAATCCTCTTCATAAAAGGACTTGTTCTGTAATACTTGGACTCAGTCCAAAGGCCGCCCCCAAGGACCTAGAAGGCCACATGTGGCCTCGAGGCCGCAGGTTTCCCACCCCTAGTTAATCCTCTAGACACTGGAGAGGTTCAGGCCAAGGTGAGGAGCTTAAGAAAGGCAAGGCCTGCATTGTTGGCCTCCAGCCTCCCACCCTTACCCCTGCAGGATGGACAAAGCGTGAGCCACTTACTAGAGGGTCTTGGCTGGCCCATCACTCTGGGTTCCCGCCAGTGTTGACAATGCTGAGTCTCCACTCTTGCGCCTCTTTCACATGAGAGCGCTGTAGCTGGAAGTCTCCATGGCATGTGGAAGTTTCTGAATCTTGTCCAGTAGTGAAGAGGAGTCATATATAGTGGCCAGGCACCATTACTCATATTCCCTTTTCTCTAACTCATACATGACTTGGGCCAAGCTCTCTTCCCCTGTGCTTTGGCTCTTTTCCTTTTATAAGTTACACAGGCAGGGCCTCTTTTGGAATTTTATGAGTAGGACCGACCCAGGACCCAGGACTCATCCCCTCCTCTTCCTCCACCTTCCAGGGCACTAGAATGAGGAGGGAGTCACATCTTTATTTCACATCTTTAATTCTTGATGTCATTGTTCTGCTTTTACATTATGTAGCATGAAGACTGGGTATTCACTAGGTGTTTTATAATTCATTTCCTCAGAATAGCTAGAAGCAGCAGGGAAGCTTTCAGTGGCTCAAGGAGACAAAACAGGAAGGCGTCACGTGATGGTTCCAAATGCCACCCGAAAGCCACGTGGGTGGCTTTCCCAGCCCTGGTCCTCAATCCCGTGGCTGAAACTTCTCTCCACTAAACTAACACATCTGTGCTTACTTCCTTCTTCTCAGGCAACCTTGGCCATATGGACTCATCTCTGCAGCCCATGTGGGACTTGGCCATGGTTGGCAGCTCTTACGTGATGTGGGAGAAGACGTCGCAGTCATTATACTACTATATGCTGCAGCTCAGTAGGGTAAAGCAATGGGTAAGCAATACAGAAAAAACATCTGCATTGAAGGGGTCCATCCTGATGCCCCAATGAGGAAGGAGTCGGACCTAGAAAACACACTGGCCCCATTGGCAGCCCATGAACTAACTGGCTGAGTTAGGGGGTTTCCAGAATCTAGATAAGGACTTTAGACAGCATGACCAAGATTGTAGTTTCCCCTCAGGAGAATAAAAACACAGGCCACGCCTACTAGGTTAGAGATAAACTCATTTTTCAACTGTGGGCACTATTGTTTGAAAATCATTTCTATCTCTTCTGAGGACACATGCTTGTTATCAGCTAACGCTGATGCCACGAGGCTAGAGAGGGCCCTTTGTCCACAGCCCCAGTATAAGGAGTGAGAATTCCCTTCCTGTACCTAGCTGGGTGACCCTGACAGTCACTGACCCTCTCTAGGACTTGGTTTCTTCATCTGTAAAATGAAGGGTTTGGGCTAGATAATCTCTATGGTGTAATCCTATTCTCCTATGTCAGATGGATGGTCCACAAACTCCATCAGAGACTGGGAAGGGTAAAAATCTCTGTCCACCAAAGCCGCCAGCAGGTTGGGTAGATTCTGTTTGGAAGAACACAGATCAGATGACAAGGCCCAGATGGGCTGCAATCTGCTCAAGTGGAGGGAGTCTTCACATTCATGAAGTCATGGATCTATTAACTCATTCATCCATGACATTCAGTTCAGCTCAATTCAATCAATGTTTATTAAGCACACACTGTGTGAGCTGAAGGATGAGTCTTCATCTCTGTTCACTCCTCCTAAATTGTACTAGGCTTAGAAATGTTGTAAAATGGCGCCCAACTGAATCATCCTGAGGCTTCACAGCTTAGCATCAAACAAGATACAGTTGAAAGAGCCCTAGCTTTGGAGTCAGACAACCTGGGTTCAATCTGCTTCTGACAGTACAGACCGCAGGACCTCGAACAAGTCAAGACCCAACTCTGGGCCTCAGTTTCCTTCTCTGTAAAATGTAGCGGGGAGGACTAGCAGACCTCTGAAGACCTCTGGGCCATCTGAAAATTGGAAATGGGGACTGAGAACTCGGCACACACCAAAGATGTCACCTGAGACAGGAAACAGTAGCTTGGGTCCCTTGTAAAAGTAAAGAAATAAACACACTCTTGGGGGCTGAGCCTGTGATTTCCTTGGGTTGGAGAACTCAATTCAATCCAACAGGCATTTGCTTATTTTCTTCCAGAGAAGAAGCTCCCTCTATCAAAGCAGATCCCTACCTTCTGGGCTACTCCAGTAGTCAATAAATATTCATTAAGCATCTACTGTGCAGGCCAGTTGTGGTGGAAAGCTTGGGGCATCAAGAGGTTACGTGACTAGCCCAAGCTGAGGACTGTAATGGCCCACTTATCTGAGCCCCTGATTTTAAAGTGCTTGTAATTAGAGATAATGGGGAGAGTCCAATTTGGTGAAAGCCTTGAGCTCCCTTTTAAAAAGTCATTTACAATAAGATGTTCAGATTGTCTGATCTTGAGACCACTGTGGGGGTTCCATGACCCTTCACCCAACACACAAGGCCCAAAGCATTTGGCTCAAGCAGACAGTGCCCAGGGTAGCCGTGGCCAGAGAGAAGGAGCTGATACAGACCTGAGCAGCCAAAGGTGGCCTGTGCACGTCCTTCCACAAGGTAACTGGGGATCAGAACCGGTGCCATCCCAACCAGCCAGGTGGGGGCCATGAGCCCTCCTCCTGGTTCCTAATGACTTTTTGATGCAATAGTCCTAGGAATCACAGGCCCATCAACTCTCAAACAAATGGAGGCTGAGATACATCAATAACATCAGGGAATGAGGATTTAAATAAAAACATAAGCTAGAGATGAGCAAATGGTACTTCTTCAGGCTCCCTGCCAGCCACAATCACTCTCAGCCCACGGGGGACTTGGGGAACAGCTAGGGAAAGTTCTGAAGACAGAAAAGAATTAAGGTATTCTTTGCAATCATCTGAGCACCTGTCCTAGAGCCCTAGGCCTCTTATTCAAGTCGAAATCCCTCCCCCAACACACACACACACACATTCACATACACACATACACACACTCTCACACTTCTTTGAGCACTCTTCCAACTTGACAGTGCATATGAAGAGTCACCAAGAGAACCCTGGATCCCTAATGGAGGAAGCCCACTCAAGGTTTGAACAAGCATACCCCAGTGCCCTCAGAGAGGGGTAACGAGGACCACAGTAGCTGTAGACAGAACACAGAAGGCATGTGGGGTATTAAGGAAAATAATCATTCCACCCTGGAGGTTTTCCTTGGGAATCTAGACTTGCCCCATCTCTGACATCAAAACCAGACCAGACCAGACCAGACCAGCCACAGCTCACCATCTCATTATAAAAGGTAAAAGGCAAAATAAGGGGAAACAAAAGCCCTAGCTCTGAAATCCAAAGTCCTGGGTTCAAATCCCATCTGCCCATCTGGCTTTGGGCAAATCTCCTCGTCTGTAAAATGAGGGACTTGGAATGGGCAGCCTTTGAGGTTCCTTATAGCTCTAGCCCTGTGATCCAGTCTTCTATCAGGTAGAACAGATTCATCAAGGTAATCAAAATTACATCATTACAGTGAAATCTCATCCACTCAACCTGAATTCAGACTCTGTGTTAATTTGCCCGAAGCCAGGCAGAATTACTTTCACTCAAGCCCATTACATCTGGGACTGTTAAACAAGAGGATATTCTCAACGCCAAGAGAACTTCTAAAATCTGCCCTTCCCTACTGAGTGAGCTCTAATCCAGGGGTGAGAGTGAGGGAGATAGACGGTTAGATAAGTGGTCTTCCCCCCAAGCCCCAGGACCCTACCAGTAAGGACTTCTCCATGGAAATGAGCTGAGGCCTTCATTGAGGAAGGCGGTAGCCATAAGAACAAGAGTTTCAAAACTCAGAGAATGCTGGAAATGGCCACGCCTTAAAACATGGGGAACTGCCTTGATTGATTTGATGTGTCTGAAGTAACGTATTTCATCCAGGGGGCCGGATTCCCATCATTGACTTCAACACAAGCGCTGTCTCCATTCAGCCTAAAATCAGCTTCCATGGTTTCCTCCAAGGCTATTCAGCTATTCTGAAGGGCAGAATTAGGAGAAATTGTTCTGGGAACACTATCCAGGATCTAAAAAGAAAACAGATTTTTTTAATTGCTGAAAGAAAAAAAAAGATGGCATACAGCAGTCAGGGCTTGAGAAGTATAGCAAAGGAAGAGAGCAAGCTAATGAGTTGCACAAACAGAAGCATCGGACCTGGGCAGAGCAGTTTCCTCTCAGACCCAAACAGAACAAAGTGCATCTTGTCACCCCAGCAGAATCAGAGCCAGGGACTGGAAATCAGCAAAGCATTTCCTGAAGAACGGGGAGGGGGATTTTCTCTTCTGAGTTCTCCAGCCCTCTCCAGGGAACAACGTTGCCACCAGCATTTTAGTGGACGGCTGGTTCTAGAGCGGAGTTGCTGGCTGACTCCATTGAAACAAATCTCTCAAGGCTTAGCTACCAAGAGAGGAAAGAAGCTTACCAACAAGACGTGGCCAATTCTCCATTGTGGATTATCCACATTCTAACCTTATCCCCCACACTGGGCACCTCATGACTTAGGGTCATGGATTTAGAGCTGGAAAAGACCCCAGAGATCATGTAGCCCAACCCCCTCATTTTACAGATGAGGAAACTGAGGCCCAGAGCAGTTCAGCAACTTGACCCAAGGTCACACGTGGAATAAGAAGAGTTGGAATCCAGGTCCAGGCTCTATGAGTCCAGATGCAGGATTGCTTCTGTTACATTATGGTGATTCCCAAAAGGAGGGACTGAGCAGCCATCTATATCTGGAAAAGAAGCCCCAACACCCAACATCCAACATGAACCCCTTGCCTTGGGAGGCTGGGGCTCCTCCTCCTCCTCTTCTCTGGAGGCCATCAAGCAGAAGTTGGAGGACCATTGCTTGGGTATTTTAGTTGGGGGGAATTTTTTTTTATATGGGTTGAACTAGATGCCTGCTGAGGTATCTCCCAACCCTGAAATTTTGTGTTTCCATGACATCCAAGAAGGGGGAACCCATGACTTCCCAAGGCAGCACATTCTACTTTTGGCTAACATCGGATAATAATTATTAGGATGTTTTTTTTATAGCCAGGTAGCTAGGTAGAGCAGTGGACAGATTGCTGGACCTGGAGTCAGGGAGATGAGTTCAAATCCTTCAGACCATGACTAGCTGTGTGACCCTAGGCAAGTCACTTAACCTCTATCTGCCTCAGTTTCTTCATCTATAAAATGAGGATATTAATAGCACCTACCACCCAGGGTTGCTTTTTTTTTTTCCGTTTTGGTGAGGCAATTGGGGTTAAATGACTTGCCCAGGGTCACACAGCTAGTAAGTGTCAAGTGGCCGAGGCCAGATTTGAACTCAGGTCCTCCTGACTCCAAGGCCAGAACTCTATCCACTATACCACCTAGCTGCCCTCCAGGGTTGCTTTGAGGATAAAATGAGATAATATTTGCAGAGTGTTTTACAAATCTTAAAGCATCATTATTTTAATTATTATTAATTTGCGTCTTTATATCCATTCTTCCGAGTTTTGTCCTTTGGAGCCAGAGGAAGTCTAGCCCCTCTTCACCAGGAGACAACTTTTCATATACCTAAAATTAGTTATCATAATCCCATGATACCACCACCCTACTCTGAGTCTCAGGCACTGCTAACACCTACAACATGTTTTACAAGGTCATATTACAAGCTGGTAACAAAGCAGAAACCCTCCTCTTCCATATCTCACTCTAAGAACATCATGCGCAAGGAAAGGAGGCAAGAATAACACTTAGGAAAGAAAAGGAATGCTAAGGGTATCTAGCATGACGTCAGCCAACAAGCAGTGATTAAGCCCCTAGTGTGTGCCTGACACTGGGCTAAGAGCTGAGAATACTAAGGAAGGTAAAAACCACCTTTGTCCCCAAGGAGCTCAGTCTCATGGGAAGACACCAAGACAACAGCTATGTCCATACAAGATATAAACAGTACGAATTGGAGTTAATTAGCATTGAACTGAATTGAATAACAGGTCGTTATAACTCTTTCGTAGCTCAGTATTAGAACAGTGCCTGGGGTATCACAGACATTAAATGAATACGTGTTGACTTGTTTTGACTTGACTAGACCTGGTACCAACTCAAACTATTCCTCACATTCATTCTTTTTTCCTTTTGCTAGATAACAAGAGGTGATTTTATCAATTTCAACTACACCGTCCTACTCCATGAATTTTCAACCCAGGTGAGAGATCCTCCATGCCCTTAATAAACAAACAGGGTGCTCACTGTAGGTCGCTGTCCATGCACTAATGCTACTTCCCATCCTGTCTTCTCTAGGAGATCATTCCCTGCCAGATTCATCTGCTCTGGTATCCTGGCAAACCCCTTAAAATACGGTATCACTGTCAAGATCCCGGAACACCACAGGAAGGTTCTGGGAATGGCGACGGCTCAGCAGAGACCCCTACAGATATCCTTAGTAACTTCTGAAAGATGGAATGCCTCCTTATTCCACCTATACCAAATTAAAATGACCATACTCAATAGCTTCAGTGGCTACCTGGTACCATAGCTGAGTAGAATCGACTACAGGTATTCTGGAGATGTAGGCAACAGAGTAATTAATAGTCAATGTTCAGAAAACCCACGGTATTTTTTTTTTCTTAAATTAACTTCTGGGAGCACATGCCTGATTCCAGTAACTCATGAGTGCACTTAACTCCACTCAGAGCTACTTTGGGGCCACCTGAATATCAGGACTGGTTAAACCCGAAAATACTACACATGAAGCTGGAATGAATTAACAGCTTCAAAAGAGTGTGTTCTTCAGGCTGAATTTCCTATTCTCAAAAGCTTGTACCTAACATTACTTAAAAAACTATAGCTGACTATTTTATACCACCCAAATCTCAGAGTGTCCATAGGGAAATAAAGATAATATATTTCAATAAAAGCAAACTGAAAGGGAACTATTAAGCTGGTTTAGAACAAAGTTTGTGATTTTTAAGGTTCCTAGCAGAATGATTTGTTCTTTAGCCTGAGAATCGACGGTGGAAATAAATATGGTTACATTTCTAAATAAGACAATTGGCTTTGTCATCATTTGGCTTGACTGGCAAGGTTTGCTTAGGACCGAGAGTGAAGTTAAAACTGAGAACGCAAAGCACAGATTGGCAAACAAATTCTAGGGGAAGATCTTGGGATAGGATATTTAGAGCTGCAGACTAAAGAGGCTACCCAGTCCAACTTTCTCATCTAACAGATGAGGAAACTGACACCCAGGAAAGGTAAATATGTTGCCCAGGCTCACAAGCATCTGAGATGGGATCTGAACCCAGGACTTCAGGATTCTAAAGTCAATCATCCTTCCACCATATCAAGCTTCCTTCTGTTTTTCACTTACAGAAAGACCTTTGCACCCTGGATTTGTGCCCTTAGCCTGAGTAATTTAATAGCAAGCAGGAGAGCACATAATGGAAGCTATAATTGAATTTAATGGAGTGCCTCCTTGGGACAGGACCAAAATGGCTGGGGGGAGGGGGAAAAAAAAGAGGGATGGAAAATAAATGTTCCCGTTATCTGGTGGTACCCAGAATTGGCATGTCATGGAAGGTCAGTATCAATGTCAGAAAAGTATTGAGCAAGTTACTTAGGCTGATTATGAGGAAGCAGCAGCCTTAAAAGAAGCAGTTGACAAAAATACTGAACATTTCCATTTGCACTGAATGTTAAAATACACGGCAGAACCTTTATGCCTAACTGGAAAGTTCTCCGGGCTTGGACTTAGTTCTGGGTCAAAGGATGACTGCCAAGTTTAGTTAGTTCAATGTTCTCATTCTACAGATGAGGAAACTGAAGCCCTGGAGAGTAAGTGACTTGCCTAAGGTCACATGGGCAGTAAGAGGCAGAGCTGGGAATCTAGCTCATGTCAGAGGGCCATGGACCCTAGCAGCCGTCTGGTTCCACCTTCTGACTTTACAAACAAGGAGAAGTGACTGCCCAAAGTCACACAAGAAAGGAACAGAGGTAAAGTCTTCCACTGCAACGTCAGTGCTCTTCCCACTGTACCATGATGTCATATGACCATCAGTAACACTATGAACCACCCAGGTTTCTACAGCATCTCACACACTGGCACCCCTCCCTCTCACTTAGACTATTTACATGGATTTAGGTAGGAAAGTGTAGGACTGATTTAAAAACAAACAAAAATCCCAACCCCAGCTATCCCAGTTATGGGAGGCTACATAATAATAATTCACACAAAAAGAGCATTGTCAGATTTGCAAAGCACTTCATGAGGTCTTCTAACAACCTTGTGAATTTGATATTATAGGGATCGTCAGCCCCACTTTATAGATGAGCAAACTGAGGCTCAGAATTTAGGTGACTTGTTAGTCAACAAGCTTTTATCAAAGTATTAGGAGTACAAAGAAAGGGAAAAGGCAGCCCCTGCCCACAAGGAGTTTATAGTCTAATGAGAAAGACAATATGTAAATGACCATTCACAAACAAGAAGTACAGAATAGATTAGAGCTAATCAGAGAAAGCACTAGAATTGAGAGGAATTTGGAAAGGCACTCCGTAAAAGGTGGGATTTTAGCTGGGACTTGAAGAAAACCAGAGAAGCCAGGAGTCAGAGATGAGGAAGGAGAGCACTTCAGGCATGGATGATGGCAGCCAATGAAAATGTAGGCTGGGAGACTGGGCTTCTGGTTCAAGGAACCACAGGGGCCAGTGTTACCGGACCACCGAGTATTTGAGGGTGGGGTACGGTGCAAGAAGAAGGGAAAGGTAGGAACAGACCTAGTTATAAAGGACTTTGAATGCCAAATGGAGAATTTTGAATGTATCTTGGAGGTGCTAGGGGCCCACTGGAGTTTATTGAGTAAGGGGGAGTCATGGGCAGACTTGAGCTTTAGAAAGCTCAATTTGATGGCTGAGATAACTGGAGTGGAGAAACATTTGAGGCAGTGAGAACAACCAGAAAGTTATCACAATAGTCCAGGTGTGTGGTGATGAGATTTTGACCCAGGTCTTCCTAACTCTATGTCCAAGCATCTAACCATGATTTCACACTTCCTCTCTAGATCAATTTCCTGGATTAAACACCCCCTTGAAATACAGTAAAATGAATGGCACACGTTCAAGCCTGCTCCCCAGTACAATGCATTATAGTAATCCAATGGGTGTGACACTTTCAAAAAAAGATTTAAAATTTTCAAGAGCTTAGCTCCTCTGAATAAGCACTCAGCCTCCCATGACCACACACATAAGAAGGGACGTCTGGTCTCTGATGCCAGAGCCAAGTGTCTTTGCCCAGTCTTAGCCTTGAGCCAAGAAATGCAACAAATGCTTAGCTGGGTTATAAATCTACAGGTGAGTCCTTCCCACTACTGATGGGGTACAGACCCAAGCCAAGAACTTTGCCCCTTACCCCAAAAGAATTTGGGTCCCATTTGTCTAAAGGATTCTTCTTGAATTCTCCCACTTGATCAGGGAGGTCTCTGGAGTTCCCTTGAGGCTACAGTCCTATCAACTGGCCTTTTGTTATTGCCTAGGCCCAATCTTCCAATTCTGTTACCCTTAACCTAGCCTAGCCCTCCACTGTCTTACCTTCCCATGGCCCTCAGCCACTTCCCACCCTAGACCCTATCTAGACCCCATTCTCAACCTCCCAGTCACTCCCATCAAGATCCTTCCTAGGTCCCTCCCACAGTCTTTCTGTATATAAGGTCCATCTTGTCTCCATTAAGGTGCTCAGATTCCCTAAGAACCTAGCCAATAGCTTACAAACATTAGAAATAAGGCCTTACAGACCCTCAGAGCAGAGTGGTGGCTTAAGCCCTGGCGAGATGCCTCATCCAACTGCCCCTCCATTGTATGACTGACAAATCAAGCTTTTTGGTTAAAATACAAAACCAAGCCCAGAGTAAGGGAAGAATCATTTATTACGGTTCTTGGGAGAACGAGGCACACCTCTCGGAAGAAATCGCGGCCAAACACAGAAACAAGAGACAGCTTTATACTGTTACAACGCTGAGACTCCTCTCTTCCAGGCCCAGATTGGTCCTTCCCTTTACAGATTACTATCTTCCTGGTCCGCCCATCCCATGTTTCCCCTTGTCCCTAGCATGATCAATTAATGAGGCTTTAATTCTATTCAGGGTGTGTAGCCCATGCCCTTTGTCCTACTTAGGGCTGGTTAAAACCAGTTCTGCCCTCTAGAATTTTGGGGTCTGTTAGAAGATTAGGGCCCTTCTCATTGGCTTGCTTTTTCTCATTTTCCTGTTTTTGTCAGGTTTTACAAGCTTGTTAGAACAATGTAACTTGTTATTACCAACTTGTCTGCTGATGTTGTAAGATGTCAAAGGTTATCTTAAATTGTGGGAGCATGATACCTTGCTCCTTATACAAATGTTCAGATTCCTTAAGAGTCTGGCCAATATGGTGGATCCTTAATGTTGTCTCTTGCTGAAAGAAGGATCAGGTTGAGTTCACTGGGGCAGGACCCTCGTGTTTTGATTTTGGGGTAATCCTAAACCTCTAGACCTCATTAACTACTTTGTGGGATTCTAAGACCTGAGGTCTGCAAATGCAGGGAGTTAATCAAGAAGAGGAAATCTGCTCAAGAAAAAGTCTATCAGGGAAGAATATACATGGAGACACCAAGTATCTTGGCATTTTATTTTAAAATTAATACAAAATTCATAGAGGGGAAAGAAAAGGGCACCAATTTAGCATGTAACAGTTTTCTAAAATATCTCCCTGTGGGAAATGGATACTAAAATGACCTTTCATCTTCTTTAACTGAAAAGATACTTTATTATTCATGTTCTTTTAGGATATCTCATCCCAAATAACTGGAACCATGTCATTTTTATGCTCTGCATACAAACATTAGATAGAAGAGAAAGATTTGGATAGATGTCAGTTATTTAGAATAATAGTAAAATGGCTTCTCTTTTCCAATTTCATTTATCTAGTTGGTTATTCCTCTGAGTAAGGTTTTTCCTCTTAGAATCAGACTTAAAGCAGAAAAAGATCTCAGAAGTTGCATACAACCCTTTCATTTTATAAATGAGAACACTGAGGCCCAAGTTCACATAGGAAGTAGCAAGAGTTGGGATTTGAACTCAAGCCCACTACTCTCTCTGCTTTATTGGGCTATTCATTACCTCTCATGTTCAACACATTCAAAGAACATCATCTATCTGGTTGAATGAGAGAATTAATCTATTTAATGGGACATTCCAGAGAAAAAAGAAAAACTTGCAGATCTAGAAAGAGAACACCCTGAAATATAAGAAAGGAGTCTACAACGTTAAGCCTCTAATCCTTTTACTTGCTTTGTACCAGGCTCTTTCCTTGGAGCTAACAGGACTCCTGAAAGCATAAAAATTTAAACCATTGTGACCAATGAAAAGTCCAGGAGACGTAATTTCTGGGTAATTAATAATCAATTTATTAATTACGGCTAGCAAATAACCAATGAAATGAGGTCAGTGGCCAAAGACAAACCCATTCGGAAGAGGGGTGTTCCCTACAGGGAATCAACTCTGACTGGTTAAGAGAGGTGGGTTTATTCTAATGAAGGATTGGGGCACTATTTTGTCACTCTTGGACAAAGAGACTCATCTCTACCCAGACCACCCCTACCTCAGGGCAAGCTAGACAAAATGATCTGTTCTCCACCCAGTCTTACCAGAGTAAAACAATGGTGGAGTTACCTTAAGAATTCCACCTAGACCAGATGGTCTTTACCCTTTCCCAGTGGGGTGGGGTCTTGCCCCAAGATTGAACCCAATCTCATCACCAGCCCCGTCCTTCAGAGGCTGCTTTGACCTACAGGGGCTGGTTTCTGAAAGAGGAAATAGGAATGGGAAATAAATCTGGATCACCCCATATTAGTAATTGCTTATTAATCATTATTTCTCACACCATTCTCTCACCAACTCTCACCAAGTTACTAGCGTATTGCATAGAACAGGAAACTTTTTTTTTTAAAGTGAGGCAGTTGGGGTTAAGTGACTTGCCCAGTCACACAGCTAGGAAGTATTATGTGTCTGCGGCTGGATTTGAACTCAGGTCCTCCTGACTCCAGGCCTGGTGCTCTATCCACTGTGCCACCTAGCTGCCCCTGAAATTTTTTGTATGCTTAGAAAATTTTATTAGCAAACTGAAAAGATCATGTGATAAACCAAACCCTCCTGCCCCTAAATAATAAACCCTCCCCAGCATATAGTATCCACTCTTTTCCTTGAAATTCACAGAAAAAAGGCAGGACTTCCTGAGCGCTTGCAATTGCCTAAATTCTTTCTAGCAGAATTGCGTCCAAAAATAGGATCCTCTGATTATCTGTGAAATCATTTTTATCCAAAAAATTGAGGCCTTCTTTTTACTTAGGTGAAAGAACTTCCGGCCAATATTAGGATGCTATTGAACCTTGGGCTAAGGATTCAACATACAGAGAACTAAAGACAGCTGTAGAACCTAAGGGGAAATGGAGTTTGTGGCCATTTTCAAAGGTTGAATCATTTAAATGTTTAGCATGATGCAAATGACCTAACACCAGGCTAATGTCGAATGGCCCACACACTGACACAAGGGTTTGGGAACACGAGTTAACCAGGAAAGTGCCTTGGTGTTCATAAGTAAATAATCAAGCGATTAGATTCCCCTGGGAAAGGGCCAAGTTCAGTTCATATTTTCTTGTGCCAATATCTGTCGTCAATTCATAATATCTTAAAGTTAAAAACTGATTTTCTTCACTACATCATAACTTGTGCCTATCCTAATCACTCCTCCTCCAATCATGGGAGAGCTAGTGGTTGGTTTTTACCCATTTCACGTATATGAGGTCATAAAGAGCTTCCTCCCTGGGAGTTCACTAAGCCAACGAAATCACAGGTCTGTCCTGATCCAAAAACAAAATGGTTGTAACATGTAGACTTTGGGTCCACCCCACAACTTAGGAGCTTGTGATGAAGTGCTTGGACCCCAGCTAAGGACCTGGAAGACCTACCTATCTACTGGTCTTGGGGCATGTCTATTAGGTTGGGGCATGTCTATTAGGTTGAGCTAATCGGTCTTGCCTGGGTTGGTAGGTTTGGAATCACCCAGGGAAGAAAGGGAAAGGTCTGGACAAAGAACATATTAGTTGGGTGGGAACAAACATGCAAATGCAGGCTCTGAAATGAGCCAGAAGGCCCACGGTGCCACGTGGTGTCAGTAGGAGACTTTGAAATGAAAGGCTCAAACCAGCTGAAAGATCTAGCTTATGGGTGGAAAGAGCAGCTTTGAATAAGGTCAAAGCAAAATGACTTCAAAAACAGGGTGAGGGAAGCCACTCTGAGGCCTCTTTTGGGTGGTCTTTTCTTCACTGAGAGTTTGTGGCTTGGATAGGAGGGCTTTCCAGCACCTCGAGGTTTGAGAGTTAAGTATCGCAAGATGACAGATGATGGACAGTGGAAGGGGTTTTCCATCCTAGCCCCCCCCCCCCACACACACTGTACGTTCCCCGCTAGTCCTTCATAGTTAATTTTTAAATACCTAAGAGATTGGTGTGTTATATTAGAGAACAGGGGAATGAGCAGAGTGAAGAAAAGCCTGTAATTCTCTTCCTAAAAAGGGGGCTCTTGGCTTTCGGACGTCAATAAGCCAGGAGAAGGGAATCTAGCTTGAAACCTGAAAGTGGCGCCAATGAGCTAAGACCTGAATTAGAAAAAAGTGTGATTATCAGCAACACAGAGATATCAGACTGGTAACCATGGTTCCATTACCATAGTATGCCTAGGGTTTCAGCAAGACATTTGATGGTTGCTCCTATCATCGCAGACCAGATAATAGTAAAATTAGGAAGATTCAGAGCAAGGTGAATGACTAGCCCCCAGAGAGCAGTAGCCTCCAACATAGTTATCATGCCTTCTTCTTTGGCCCTATTATTTTCTTTCTTTTTTGGTGAGGCAATCTGAGTTAAATGACTTGCCCAGGGTCACACAGCTAGGGAGTGTTACGTATCTGAGGTCACATTTGAACTCAGATCCTTCTGACTCTAAGACTGGAGAGCTCTATCCACTGCGTCACCTAACTGCCCCGGCTTTATCATTTTCAGCACTTCTCTTGATGCCTCCCTGAATGAACGTCTTTCCCCTGCCCTGCCCTAGCTCAACGTGGCGGGAGGGCGGGGCCGTCTACCAGCAGTAAGAAGACAGACCAGCTCCACTTGCCACGACTGAGGAGGCCACCACCTAACCCTCACCGTCCAGTGCTCACCAAGCGCTGCATACTCACTCTTGGATGGATGCTGACCCTCACACGTCCTCCTCTGCTGGAGATATTCCAGAGCCCCGTTCCACTCTAACGCTCGAACCCTCTGTCCTCCAGCTTGGGAATCGTCTGACCTGACATTGCTCCCCCAAGCCCGGAGTCCAGGCCTTGCCATTTGCCCTGATGCTTTCCCTGCCAAAGAACTATCAGCCCTTCTGTCTGCCATGAAATGAACACGAACACACACCCTCCTTTGTTATCTTGCTCCCCCTTCCCCCCATTAGAATGTGAACTCCTTGATGGTAAGGGCTCTCTCTTTGTCTGCATCCCCAGCACCTAGAGCAGTGTGTGGCACCCAGCAGGTGCTTTAGTAAATGTGTTCCCACTGCGTTCCACTGTACAGATGGCATGCTAGCAAAAATGAAGGTACTGTGAGGCTTGAAGAGATGGTAACTCAGAAGCAAACAAGACTTAACAGGCTGGAACAATGGGCTAGATTTATGCTGGTCACATTTTCTTATTAAAATCTTACACTTAGGTTCAAAAATTGAACTGCAAATGTACAGGATGGAGGGGTCACGGGTCAAGTGCAACAGTTCAGCCTCTAAGTATGATATGGCAGCTTAAAAAGTTCAGGTGACCCTAGGCTGCATTCAGATAACGAGAGCGCCCCAAAGTCAGTGAGGGTTCCACTGTCCTCTGGCCTGCTCCAGCTGTGTTTAGCTTTGGCCGCACCATCTTAAGAGTCCTCGATATGCTAGAATGAGTCCAAGATCTGGGTGGGGAGGTGACCCAAAAGCATTTCATGAGAAATCTGCCAAAGGAATTAGGGATGTTTAGTCTAGAGAACGGAAGACTTGGAAGAATACTCAAGGGCTCCCATGTGAAAGAATCAGACACGCTTTCCTTGGCCCAAGAAAGCAGAATTAGGACTAGTGGCAGATTTTAGCTTGACAGGAGTAAAAACTCCTGAAATATGCATATATTTATAGAGAGAAAGCAGTACCAAAGTCAACTAAGTTGCCTTAGGGAGCAGTGAGTGTGACCACTTGTCAAGGCTATCGCAGAGAGGTTCAGCTGTCTGGTTCCTGGGATCCCCTCCAACCCTAAAAGCCTGATTGTATAAGTACCTAATGAAGCAAAGAGCTTCTCAGGTTAATTCATCCCTATTGCCAATATCACAGAAAATCTGAACTCGCCTAGGGCAGCTGGAGCAAATCTGGCTGATGCAAAGGCACAGTCCATGGAGACATTCCTCTCAAAGAATGGCAACCCAATTCTGAGCCTCTCTTCTCCTGGGAGGCCTCCAATGTTAACAAATGATTGGTGGGAATTTGCAAACGAAACATACTCTGCAACACCAATGCTGAGTCAGTAACAATAACATTTAGGAGGCTGATGGATTTGTCTTAAGTCACAATCCTAACTTCTTTTGTGAGCCTCTAAATACAGAGCCATGCCAGAAGATACTTGCAAAAACCACAAGGAACCTAACGTCTTCTTTTAGCTACTGGTTTTGGTTTTTTTTTTTTAAATCTCAAGAAAGAGGTGGGAAGTCTTCTATATCCAGATGGTCTTTGGAGGAAATCATCAGTATTCCCAACTTGGCTTAAATCAAACTGTTGATACAAATGAATGCCTCCCCTTTCTCTCATTTCTCACCACCGCCCCCCTCACACCCAACAAAATACCAATTTTCCCAAATACCATAGCCGATTGTTTCAAGCCTCCAGACCATGGTTTATTTGTTTGCAAATAGAAACCATCTTGGTAAGAAGAAAGACAATAGTCGCTGTGTGCATGTCTCAAAAGGCTGGATACTAGGCTCTTTTGAAACCAAAGGAGTCTATGGAAAGACAGACTCTAGAACAATCTGCCATCACGGCCATCTGGAACGTTTAATCGCTTATGAAGGCAAACTCCAATCAATGACCCTCTTTCAGGGAGCCAGCATTGGGGGCGCTAGACCAAGGCTGATCATACCCAGAAAGGGCTGACACTGATGGGCCCTCGAGGCTGTCCACGGTGCTGCTGAGCTGAGGGTCACCTTCTGACTAATCTAGGTAGGAAACACTTCATGGCAATCTCCCTTATTTTACATAAGGCCCCACTAGAATGCCCCCTACCCTCCTAAAACCAAACAGAGTTATTAGGGAGCTGCCAGAGCAGCAAACTTAGGAGCTTAACCCCTTTATAGCTAAAAATTCAGGCCAATACATCAGTTTCCTAAAGCAAGGACCGAAGCCTGAAAAAGTTCCTTTCTGCCCTTTCAACAACCAAAAATATTCGACCACTGGCAATGTAGACATTAGGACTTCACTCCTATCAGTAGCCTTTGGTAAGAAAATAACATCAGTCCAATATAGTAATCCCTCAAATAAATATTTGTACTGTATAGTATAATCATTATTTTTAAAAGACATTTTACAATAAACTAAAAAAACTACTCCACGGCTGTAGGGTATTATACATATATTATCTCTTGGTTGCTTCTGAATAAAAAGAGAGGAAATCCCCCCAAATCCCAGTCTCCTCGGCCTACATCCACTCCCCTGGAGCCCATCAAACTGGGGGAACACAGGACAGTGCACAGCAAATCTAAACCGAGTTCAGTGCTTGGCATGAGGGAGAAAAATCAGCTCTTGGCTTTTCCTTTCTTCACAGGGAGCTGACCTGTGGCTTCCAGGTGCTTGTGGATGAGATCTTCTTGGGTGGCAGGCAAACACCGCTGGTACCGAGAGTACTCCATTGTATACTCCCCTTTCCCCTGCAAGACAGAAAGGAGAACACGATCTACCATCCCGTGCTTATTACAACTATCATGGAAAGCCATTCAAAAACAAGACCCATTCCCCAACCATCCAGCATGCATCTATGTGCTTAGTGTGTGCCAGGAATGATGCTGGGAATTCACTGGGAATACCAAAGACAGAAATGAACAGTGCTCATGTTCTATCAGAGGAAATATAATTAAATATAAAATACGCACAAAGTCAACACAAAGCGATTTGGGATGGGGGGCAGGCTGAGGAGGCCACGAGGGCAGGGAGCGTTTTGTAGGAGTTTTAACCATCTCTTTCCCTTTTCTCCATAAGACAGAGAAAAGAGAATTCACTAGGTTTCTTACAGCTACCAGGTACAGCCATGCCCAGATAAGACTGATTTCCCAGATCTCATCTGTTAGATGGGTGGTCTCTTCAAGCACACATGTGTCCCCAACTGAAACCCTGGCTTACCTCTGTGCACGACCGAAGTTCTGTGGCATAGCCAAACATTTCATTTAGCGGCACCTGAAAATCAAGGAAGTCAACATTTCAGTGATGCTTCCAGAAGAATATTTAAACACAGAAAAGGCTCAGTTATTTCACTCCTGTGGAGGGAATGTTACTGTTAGAGGAAAAAGGCTAAAAGAACTCAAAAGGAACAACTTATTTCTAGGCTTCCAACAACCACTAACTTAAAAGCACACTCCCATCTGGCCATCCTTGGCAGGCATCTGTCGATCTGACCCCTCTGCTGTGTAATGCCTCTTTGCTCTGGCTTCTTCAATCAGCTGCTATCGGAGCTGCTCCTGGGGAGGTCCGAGGCCTCTTCTCACATCACAGGCACTCCCCTGACACTAGCCTGATGTGGCTGTCACCCATCGAATCTGAAGGCCTACGTTTCCAGGGAGGCAGCTAGACATATAAATCCATACTGAGAGAAAACAAGACTGGGATGCATCTTAAAAAGATTTCAAGGCTCAGACCACATTCTGGGTCAGAGGCCTCTTTCTACAGCCCTAAGATGCAGAGCTCACTGCAGACACCACACCCTCTCAACACCTGGCCATCAAGTTCTCCCACACAGACACACAAAGTCAGGACTGAGAGCACCAGAAAGGGCTGGCCGCTCGAGTCCAGAGTTCTCATAACAGACCTGCATTTCTCGGACCTCTCCCAAGATCAATGGCACTTACATCTGCATACAAAGTGAAGTAGCCCTCTACGCCGTCTTGTCCTGTAATCGTGCCATGGCGGCGGTTAATCCCAGCGATCACAGCGCCCTGGAACTCATTAGGAGCTATCACCTCCACCGACATCACAGGCTCCAGGACACACACAGTAGTGTTTGCCAAGGCTGGAAGAAAAGGCCAGAGTCAGTGTGTTTGTCTCACACCCATGAGCTACAGAGAGTATCTGCCATCACTTACAAGCATGTGTGTCAATCTGCTGGGAAAGAGCTCAAATGAGGGCGAATGGATTCACCAGCACCAACTCAGCTTTACTGTGCTTCAGGCGGGATAAAGGTTTGGTGAACTGACCTGAATTCTGGCACCCATGAACGATTCTGCACACTTGTAATGTTCGATCTGCACACATTTCCCTACCTGTGATTGGTTTTCCCAAAGGAGAAACTAGTTAACTGGGGCTTCATTCTGACATAAGGAATCTCTCCATTAACAGACAGTTCCCCCTCCAATCATGGAATCCAGGGACACCGAGCTAGGAGGGCCCCTGAAAGGACACTGAGGACAGCAGGACAGTGCATTAGTACCTTGTCTCTAGGCATGTGAATGCCCAGGCCACCCTGGGAAAAAGAACCAAGAGACCGCATGGTACAACTCACTGTGGCAGCCCCTCTGGGGGCTTGGTTTTAATCACATCATCACAAAGCTCTTCCTTTTATCTAAACAAAGTCGTGCTTGCCTCCATTTAAATCCATCTTTTCTTTTCCTGTTCTTGTCAGACAGGGAAACCAACTGTCCCTGAATCACGACTTTGGCCTTTCCTTTTTTAAGCTAAAGAACCTAATTGTCTTCACTTTTCTTTCTATGAATTGTGTTCCCTTCCACAAGTCACTTTGGAGATTTAAACACACTTAAACTTAAATGCATCTGCTGCTATAATGGAAGCCTGTTTAAGCTATCCAATACACAAACGAGTCATTTGTAGTTTGGGGGAGCACAGTATAATGCAGACCACTAACGTGACCTTTGGGATCCCTCTGACAGGGGCAGGGGCTGAAAACGGCCTTTGTGCTAGTTAACAAGGAAGGGTCTGCCTAAGTCTGCTAAGCCCTATAGACCTCTTCTCAAAATGTTTTTAAATAACTGAATTTCTTCGTGCTAAATTTCTATGTGAGAGGAGTGAAAACAAAGATATCTATCTTCTCCCACCCAAAGTCACAAATTCCCTGAGATCTGTTCAAGGTTAAGGACATGGATCCCCAGGTAAGTATGCCTTGCCAACATAAAAACAGTCAAAGGCCAAGTGTTCTAATCTCCTGCAGAAGTACCCAGTCACTTCAAACATCCTAATTACCAGTCATGAAAGCATCTGCCTCACAGAACTTGAGCAGCTCTAGCTCTGTTAGCCTAACTGTAGTTGTGTTCTTCAAAGTCATCGAACTGAATTTCTTGAAAATGTTCTATAATTCAGAACAATCTGGCCCAGCAGACCCCCACTTAGTCCACACAAGTGAGTTTTATGGCATTTTTAAAAAAGGCATTGAATGTAAAAGACTCCCAGACTCCCAGGCTCCCTTAGTGGGCCACATCGGAAACACAGAAGAATCAGGAGCAACAAAGAACACAGACACCTCTGGAGCTCTGTCTGCTGCCCATGGAGGCATCACGTCCACATCACCGGCTTCTCTGGCTCTAACGACAGCTAGGGGTTTGTTTTTGGTTTGTGTTTTTGTTTTTTTTTTTTTTTAACATGGACACGTTTTAACCAGATGATAAAATTCCCAATGAACAACAAAGTCTTAGGAGAATTTGGACAGTTCTACAATGACCTTTAATTCTCCCTCTCTCTCCCTAAATCCTCCTGATTCACCTCTCACCCTTTACCTTCTCCTACTACCAGCCCACACCACAGGGCAAGCCTCCAGAGTCAACCTGTAACTGTCAGGTGGCAGTCACTGTGAAGGTAGCCAGTGGACCTGCCTGAGAGTGCCAAGGTGGGACCCTGAGGACAAGCAGGAAGACTGGAAAAGCAGAGACACACCTTCAAGCCAAGGGCTGAAGCAGAGAATCCCTTGGGATGGAAGCTGAGGGGCTGACCTGAATAACAGGGAAATGTAGGTGTAGGGTAAGGTCAAACTGCTCAACAGACAGGCATTCACCCAGATTTTGGCCTACCTGGTCTACAGGGCGATATGTATGAATGGGGTAAAACTCAATTAGTCGGTTAGGCAACATTTATTAAGAGACTACTATGCATCTGGTACTGTACTAAGCCTTAGAGATACAATTCAATGAAGCAAGCTATATACAAGATAAAAAGGAAATAATGAAGAGAGGAAAGGCACCAGAATTAAGAGGAATTGGGAAAACCTTCCTGTAAGAGGGGATTTTATTTGGGACTTAAAGGAAGCTAGGGAAGTCAACAGGTAGAGATGAGGAGGGAAAGCATTCCAGGCAAGCGGGACAGTTGGAGAAAATGCCCAGAGCCGAGAGAGACACAAAGAGAGAAGAGAGAGAGAGAGAGAGAGAGAGAGAAGAGAGAGAGAGGAGAGAGAGAGAGACAGGGAGACAGAGACAGAGAGAGAGAGAGAGACAGAGAAAGAGAGACAGAGATAGACAGGGAGACAGACAGAGAGAGAGAGACAGGGAGACAGAGAGAGAGAGAGACAGGGAGACAGAGAGAGAAACAGAGACAGAGAGAGTGTCTTGTTTGTGGAACAAGGCCAGCGTCACTGGATCACAGAATATGTGGTGGGCAGAAAGGCGTAAAAAGACTGGGAAAGCAGGAAGGGCCTGGGTTATGACGGGTTTTGGACATGCAGAGGCTGGAGGGTGTGATCGTGATCCAGCAAAGGATTCAGAGGAGATGCGGTCAGTGACCTAGGAGGAGAACACCTGGAGAGAAGAGAGGATCAAGGAGGGAAGGGTGATCCTCAGCGTCAAAGGCTGCGGAGAGGTCAAGGAGGAGGATGGAGAAAAGGCCATTAGGCTTGGCAGCTAAGAAATCACTAGTATCTTTGGAGACAGCCGTTTTGGTGAAAGACTGGAAGCCAGAGTGTAAGGGGGTAGGCAGACAGTGAGAAGGGCCAGGGAAGGACGCCATGGCAGATAGCCTTGGATACAGGATGACTGACAGTCAGCAGGGAGGGAAGGGAAGGGCATGGAAATGCATCCGCCACCTTGGCCCTCCCAGGCTTTCTTCTATTTTCTGAAGAAATGCTTTGTAAAGCTTAATGCTCCACAGAGTTCTGGGCACCAGGCTGGCTCAGTCGGGACCTTGGTTCCCCCTGCAGGATGGCTAGAAGACGGGTATATGGAGCAAGGTCCTTTTTCAGCAGAAAATGAGCAGAAGAAATGGTTGTAACAATCCTACTCACAAGGTGAAAGGCAGGCAGTGAAGGGAAGGCCTTCCCTTTTTTATTGTATTCAAGACAAAGCATCATTAAGTCCCAGAGACAAAGTGTTAAGTTCAGATTCCGCCCTAGTGATTTAACAAAAAAACCAAACAAACAGCCCACAGAAAATGTGAGCCAGAAAGAACTGGAAAGAGAAGGGACAATTCAGCTGGGGAAGGGCTGAACAAGCTGAGGCACGGGATCACGATGGAATACTACTTATGGTGGTCTAAGAAATGACGAGCAGGATGCTCTCAGGACAACCTGGAAAGACTGACAGGAACTGATTCAAAGAGAAGTGAGCAGAAGCAGGAGAACGCTGCCCCCAGCAGCAGCAGCAGCGTTCTAAGGATGGTCACCTGGGAAAGACTTGGCTGTTCTGATCAGGGTAACGATCCAAGACAACTCCAGAGGTCTCATGATGACAAAAGCTGTCCATCTCCGCAGAGAGAACTGATGACCTCTGAAGGCAGGCTGAAGCCAATTTTTTTTACTTTCTCTATTTTTTTGGGTTTTTTGTCTTTTTTCTTTTGCAACATGGCTAATATGGAAATATGTTTCACGTGACTTCACATGTATAATTAATATCAAATTGCCTTCTCAAGGAGGGGAAAAGGGTAGGAGACAGAAAGAGAATTTGGAACTTAAAATGTTAACAAACAAATGTTAAAAATGTTTTTTACATGTAATTGGGATATTTAACAAAATAGTTAAGAAAACAAATAAAAATATATTAAAAAAAAAAGGAGATGTGAGCCAGATGAATTTGTGCTGCTGTCAATGTGAAGCTATTCATCTGGGATGGAGAACACCCACGAAAGGATTTATTTTAATGTTTCCCCATCTTTAGCAATGATATATGATCATCTCAGAAGGAGCTGAGGTAGAATTAGCACTGAGGTGCAGTGACCAGCATTCTGACTCTAAGCATTAAGATAAGAGACCAGTAGCAAGGAAACTGGAGAACTGAAATGCCCAGCTACTACCTCTCAATGACTAAGGCAGGGGGAGAGGAGGAGGAAAACAGACATTCTGAAATAGCAAGTTTAAAATGAAAAGACAAGGTGAAGAAACAGACATTCAAGATAAGCACTTTAGGGGGCAGCTAGGTGGCTCAGTGAATAGAGCTCTGGCCTTGGAGTCAGGAGGACCTGAGTTCAAATCCAGCCTCAGACACTTAACACTTACTAGCTGTGTAACCTTGGGCAAATCACTTAACCCTGACTGCCTCACCTTAAAAAAAAAAAAAGATGAGCACTTTGCTTGAGCCAGTCTGCCAGAACCACTTCTGCAGGGTTCTGCACAGCTGCCCAGTCTGCTGGCAGACTGTCTAGACATGCATACACACATATGTATGTGTGCGTGTATGGATGTGTGCATGCATGTATAAACAGAGATTTGAATGATCTGGGAATGACTCACTCTCAAATATCTACTAGTTAACACTGACGGGATACTTTTTTCCAGCATTTTTATTCAGGGTAGAGTGGTGGATTGAGCCAGGAGTGAAGCCAGGGAGACCTGGAATCAAATCCTACCTAACACATGCTATTTGTGTGACCCTGGGCAAGTCTAGGCCAGGGTGTGGAACTCAGCCATGAAAACTCCTGGACTCAAGACCCAAATGTAACTGGGAAATGTTTAACAAAATAAATAACACCACAATAAAACATAATGCTAATTTGTGGCCTTCTACAGCAATATTCAGCAGAGTTTGCTCTCACTACTCTGGGCCACACCTAAGCCCACCAGTGGAGGAGAAGCTGCAGAATGGGACCAGAGAAGGCATCATTGCAAGGCCAGGTCTCACCCCTCTTGTTTATCCTCAAATGCTTTCTTTAAAGGGATAAAGCTTTAAAAAATGGTAAATATGGCAAACCTAGCTGTTTATGTAATCCTTGCCCTACAGGGAAGCCAATCCATCTTTAGCTAGTAATAACTGAGAGGTGTACAATTTCAATTTTAAAAAAGTAATTTGCTTTCAGCACACTGCTCTCATGTAAGAGGAGCTGATGCTTCATTCCTGGCTTTGGATTTATTAAATAAATTTATCAAAACTAAATCCACCTACACTAAGCACTGCTCAGAATATCATACCGTCCCTAAAATCTGGTATTTACAATGAATAAAATGTACAAAGCATTCCTCTCCTCTACCCCTTTTGCTTTCAGCAGAAGGCTTAAGGCTACTGCCTGTCTTAGCCGTATATGCTTTTTAGAATATCTAAGATTTCAGCTTAATTTTTTTTTTAAACAGGAAAAGATGGCTAAGTTCAATGGTCTTAAACCCAGAGCTCAAATTCATTTTAAGTTTACAGCCCTTCAATTATTTTTGTAGTGGCAAAGAAGTGGTAACTAAGGAAGTACCCGTCGACTGAAGAATGGCTACAAGTCATGGGATAGGAAGGGAATGCAATGCTATTGTGCCTTAAGAAAGGACAAGAGAGCTGATTTTTTCAGAGAAGCCTAGGAAGACTTGGATGAACTGATTCAGAGTGAAGTGGGAAGAGAAAGGAAAACAACTTATACAACACAGCAATACTGCAAAGGAAACAGCACTGAAAGACTTCGGAATTCTCATTAATGCAACGACACAGGCTACACTCCAAAGAGCGCAGACTGGGATTTTTTTTAGACATGGCCAACGGAGGAATTTGCTTTGACTGACTATTCACAGTTCTTACGAGGGTTTTTTTTCCCTTTTATTTTTCTCCCAATAGTGGGCAGGGGGATGAGTGAGGAGAGGAAATACATGTTTGGTAAATGAAAACAAATTAAACTGATTAAAAAAAAACCATATTAAATAGGAATGTATATGTATAGCCCATATAAGATTGCACACTACCTTGGGGAGGGAGATGGGGAGGAAGGGGGAGAAAAACTTAAAACTCAAAAGTTTATGGAAGTGATTGTTGATAGTTCAAAATAAATTAATTAAAATTTAAAAAAGAACCCAAAAAATGTTGAAAACACTCAGATGGAACACAATGATCACTTCAAAACAAGACAGCTTTAAAAACAAATCAAGCCAAACTCACCCTTGTCTACTTTTTCTAACAGGGTTACCAGACCGGTAGAACAACGCAGTGACTTAAACATAGCGCACCCGCTTAATCAAGGCCCCTGACAAAGGCTTGTCCTATCTTTTTGGAAAAGCTCGGCTGATGTGAATCATAGCGAATCTGTAGATCTGGAATGCTGATCACCTAAACCCAAGGGTGGGGGGTTAATGGACTGATCTCAACCTCGAGACTGGCCTCTAGTGAAGTGAACCAGGAATCCGTCCACTCAGTTCTGTTCAACATGGTAGCCAACCACCTGGCTAAAGCAGTCTGCAGTACGCTTACCAAATATGCAGGGGATATGGAACACTCAAGGCAAAATTAGGATCCAAAAAGACCTTAAGAGCTGGATCTAAGATAATGAAATTCAATAGAGCTACTTAAGGTTTTCAGTGGGGTTCCAGGTGGAAGATAGGGGAGTCAGGGACACCAACACTGCTGTGAGCCTAGGTGACATTAACGGAAGCGGCAGATTCAGACCAAAGGGGCGCTGTCAGGCTTGCCGTGCGCCCTCTGCCCAGGTCAGACTACAGCATGAGGAAGGGGGGCCTTTCTGAGTGCCATATCTTAGGAGAACCCAGTGCCAACCTAGAACGCATCCAGAAGAGTCATCAGAAACGTGAAGGGCTTAACAACTGAAGTGGAGACAGGTGGGCTGGGGAGAGAAGAACACCTGGGGAAAGAGGACAGCGTCCCTAAGGATCTCGCGTCACCGTGTGGATGTGGGAGGAGCCTTCTTGGATCTGCCACCAAGGGCAGCACCAAGACCAGCGGGCAGCAGAGAGGCAAATTCCAGCCTTACGTAAGGAAAAACTGGCGCATGATTGGAGGGATGAGGCCAGACTGCCACTTAAGGAGCTTGTGCAACTCAGAAAGGGACAGAATCCTGAGTTCAAACCTCTACTGACACAGTGGGACCTCTGTTAAACAATGGCTCTGCGAATGGAGTCTTTTGGCCAATGTATGCTTTAGGTTAACTGAAAGTTAATCCTGAAATTCTTTGTTTCATTGATAGAAAATTCTTTCTGCAATAAACTGTCTCCTCTGCCTTAAGTATAAGGCGCAGACTTTTATCACACTGTGGGGACTCGCAAGGCCACAGGCTCATCCTTAGGAACACAGAGCCATGGCCTGAGTGGCGTGGGCAGTCTGTTCACCAGTGCAGTGTGCCACCTGTCCACACTTGTCCATCCTGTGATTCTTATCACAGGACCAGAGAGTTAGAGCTGGGAGGGACTTTGGAGATCAGCCAGTCCAACCGCCTTATTTTATACCTGAGGAAAATGATGGCCAAAGAAAGAGCTGATGTCATTCGCCCAGGGTCACCCGGCCGGTGTCATCGGGGAGATTCGGACCCAGATCTTGCTGGCTCCCAGTCCAACTCTCTCTCCACTAGGCCTTCTCGTCCAGTCCCTGTCCTTCCATTGATCCTCCACAGGTGATCTACCCCAAACACAAGAAGGCTTCCTCTAGGCCTCTGATATTCTGTGGACACTCGGTCTGTCCATCTGTTACTGTTTGCTCTTAACTCATGCCAGAATCGCCTCCTCTTCCAGTCACGCCTCTCATTAAGATTGAGAAAAACCGTTGAAGCAAGTGAACACTACGGCTCGTTACCTTTCTATTTCATGTTTCATGACAGTCGTCACTGTTAACACGCCGCAGCCTGTCTCTGGGTCGCTTCTGACCCTTGTTGATGCGTTTTCCAGGACTCAGCCACAGAGCATCTCTGGCAGAATGCTGGTGTCAAGACAGAGGCCTTGGGACTGGGAGAAGTCCGGAAGCCCCAAATGTGTTGTACAAATTCCCCATGTAATCGAACCCATTCTTTTCCTCTCGCTAGAGGTCCAGGAGATTGGACCTTTGTGCCTCAGCACAAAGCCTTATAGTGGCTGGCTTAGATAAATTTCTGGTGTCAAGGTCTTTCTTGTCATTTCTTTCTTTCACAAAAGTCCACTACGAAAAGAAAAACTGGGCAATTGAAGAGGTTTCTGATTTCTGCCATACTACAAAGCTGTCTCTCCTTATATGGAGGGTCATTATATTTCTTTGCCAAATGATGACAATCTTCTATGTCCCCAATGCCACAGATATAAAGACATCCATTTCGTGGGCAATCACGTATTTTCTCCCCTTTGCATAAATCACTTAAAAATTAGACGGAGACTACAGGTAATTTATACCAAAAGTGCTTTTCTGAAATGCTGACGCTTCCTGCCTTGTATACAAAGGGCACAGGTGATAGACTCCCAAGATTTATCAAAGTTTTTTTTTTCCCTTAAGGCAAGAAACAGATAAGAGAAGTGGAGTTTTGTTGTTTTCCACAAGAACTCAACACCCCCACCCCACCCCCATCCCTAATGGCCTACAAAGAGCAAATGATTCAAGAGATTTATCCTACCTTGCTTAAGTGCGCCTTCCCCAGCTCGGATGAAAGAGATTTCATTGGAATCTACCATGTGGTGTGCTCCATCTTGTACGATAAATCGTACCCCAGATACCCGGTGACCCGAGAGGGGGCCTTTCTCACAAGCATCCAAGAACCCCTGAAACAAAATTATATAAGAGAGTGTGTGTATGTGTGTGTGTGTGTGTGTGTGTGTACACATGTGTACACACAGAGCCTCCAAAGTGAGTGATTCTTCACAACCTCTCAAAGAACCCCAGACACTCAGGGGTTTGAAAATTGACGGATGCTTCTTGAACACCATTACTTGGGCATAAGACTGCAAGTGAATAATGAATGAGACATTATTTTACAGCTCTATTACACAGGTATTAGAGCAATATGAAAAAAAGGGCTGCCATCTTTGGCCTCTTTCCTTAACAGTAATTACCTCGTTTTTGCAGCCGTCATAAAGAGAACATTATTATGATTTCCCAATGAGGAAACCAAGGGAGGGAGAAATGAAGCCTCTTCACATCCCACTACAAAACCTCCATCAAAACTGAGTTTGCACTATAGATCCCACTCTCTCAAGTACTAGGCCTAGAGTAACAGATCATAACTTTAAAAAATGGTCCATAACATCAATGAGGACTGAAGTGGGGAAGATGATAATAACCTGCCCTTTCCATGGAGCTGTAACATAAGAGTATATTTCATTAGGCTTTACAAATTTCAGTTCTCTGTAATTAAAAAAAAAAATTTGCCTACTTGAGGCAGGCTACTGAACAGAGAACACTGGAAAAGAGTACAAAGGACACATATGATTGAAACAGAAGTTCAAGGAAAAACTCAAAATCCAGAGAAGTATTAGCTACTGTTACCTAAATTACAGCCTGTCAACAAGGAACCTCTAATTTGAAAAGGGGGAGAAAACTCTGGAATTAAACAAGAAACAAAAATCAGCTGCAACTTTAAATTCTACCCTAAAACAGGTAAATTTAGAAAATCAAAACAGCAAAAGTCCATGAAACTAAACATACACAATAATCTCTCAAGATATAAGTAAACATTCCAGTTTTTAAAATTATTTTACTAGGACTTATCAGCAACCAACTATACATTTTCAAGTTATTATCAGATAAACAAAGTTACTCTCACTGAGAAAATACAATCTCTTACTAACCTCAAAAAGGCATCAATTTGTTGGCCACGTGGCCACACAATTACAGAAAATAAATTCCTTCAATCAAATGAGGGGTGTAATGGTCAGCTCTAAGAACAAAGGTATAATTAAGGCAAAGAAATTAGAGAGGAATGAGATGAGACAGTAAGTCAAAAGTTAAGTCAGCCCACTGTTGTAACAAACCAAAGTAAATTTTCTCACCTTTTCTATGGCAGGAATAAACTGCTTTGGAACATTTGTCCCATACGTGTTGTCCACAAATTCCAACTTGGTGTAGTTCTCAGGCTCCAGAGGTTCTAAGACGCCTATCACTTTCCCATACTGGCCAGCACCACCAGACTGTTTCTTATGAGTAAAGTCAAACCTGTACATGAAGTAAAGAGACACAAAAATGATAGCATCTCTTGCTACTTCAATGGACCCAGGATTTCACCAACGTGGCCACTCCCTCCACCACTGAAAACTACAGTCCCTTCTCCCTCTGCTCCTCAGGGGTGATTGCTGACAATGCTTTCCCATGGATCCCCGGTAGAGAATCTGCCCTGTGTCCCAGGCTTTCCTCGGGCACCTTTCTGGGTCCCTGGGGAGCCAGTGTATCACTCCAGCCCCCCACCCCTTCTTAGCTGCTCCTCCACAACATTTTTTGTCATTAAAATTAAGAATATTTCCACCATATCTTTCTTTCCTTCAGCAAACAAAAAGGATTAAAATTCTCCAGGAGAATTCAGCCAAGGTTGGTCAGAAACTCTCAAGAATGAAGTTGTATTTGACAAAGAGTTAAAACAGGTGGTAGCTTAAGACAGGTGTGCAGTGGCCCGATTCGCCAACCAACTTAAGACTGTAAAAGGACGTGCAGAGAATATGGAGGCAAGGCCAGGTGGCCACATGACAACTCTTAAGAGTGTGGCCTGGTCCTGCAGAACCCAGGGTAGGCTGCTAACACTCAGAATGAGCTGAGGCTGGCCTGGAAAGCTGAGAACAATCAAAAGCAGATGACTGTCTTTTAAAGCTCTACTGAGGGAAAGAGGAAAACCTAAGAAGGGCAAGGCCTGCTGCTGGGGGTGGATGGGGGGAGGTCAACAGCCAACAGAGCAGGAAGAGATGATCAGTTCTTACTTTACTACTGTTTTCTCTGCCCCAAAGAAGGACCTTTGGAAAGGGCAGAACCAAAATGGCTCCTAAGAAGCTGATCCTCCAAAGTCTTCTCCATTTTCCCATTGCTGCCAAGCTCTACCACCCTCGGAGTCATCTTCTCCTCCTCTCTCTCACTTCCCCTGCCCCTGTGCCAAATCTTGTCCTTTCTACCTTTCTCACATCTGTCTCCTCTGCCGTCACGATGACCCCATCCTGGCACAGGTCCCCGTCACTTCTCACCTGGACTACTGCAAACATGTGCCCGCCTCAAAACACTCCCCATTCCAGTCCATCTTCCATCCAGTCACTAAAGTGATTCTCCTAAAGCACAAGTCCCACCACATCACTACCCAAAATATAAAGCTGTATATTTGGTATAAGGCATAGGAAAAGGCCCTCCTAGCTCTCCATCTTTCTTACACTCTCCACTCCTCTGTGTCCTCTATGAGTCAGCTATTCTGATTACTTGCAATGCCTCACACACAACACACCTGACTCCCTGGGTCTTTTCACTGACTGTCCACCATATTTGGAGGACAGCTAGTGGTACAGTGGAAAGAGTTTTAGGCCTGGAGTCAGGATAACTCATCCTCCTAAGTTCAAATCCAACCTCAGACACTTACTGCTGTGTGATGCTGGGCAAGTCACTGAACGCTGTTTGCCTCAGTTGCCTCATCTGTAAAATGAGCTGGAGAAGGAAATGTCAAACCATTCCAGTATCTTTGCCAAGAAAACCCAAATGGGGTCACAGAGAGTCAGACACTATTGAAAAACAACTAAAGGACAACAACATTTTGAATGCTCTCCCTCTGGCCTTCCCTGGCCCCCTGCTGCACCAGGCCTTTTTCAGTTCCACCTCCCCTTACTTCATAGCCCGACATTCAGGCAGAGGCTGGCACAGAATTAAGTACTTAGAATTAAGTACTCATTGCCCCTTACTACCCTTGATGAATTCAGATTACCCGGCTCAGGTGACATCTACCCGAATATTCCAAGAATGAACAGACAGAATCATGAGACATTTGAAAGACCAAGGATGGGAGAGGTTCTGAAGGCCTGGGCGACAATCACTGGCCCAGTTTACAAACCATAGGCCAGTGAGCGTAGCTTCAATTCCTCAGAAAATTCTAGATGGCTCATTAAGGAACACCAAGAACAGAAAGCGGTGATTCTGGCTTCCTCAGGTCCAGGTCATGCACTAGTGACGTGACTGCCCATTCCGACCAGGGCACTTTCACTTGTCTCTTGAGCCCAGAACCTAACACAAGCTCTGGTGCTGAGGGGCTTAGGAAATGATTTTTAATGCATGAATTTCACTTCTGACTTGAGGAGTCTGAGATGCCTAGGAATAGCCATGTAGGGAAGCCCGGTGGGTGTTTGGTGACCTGGACGTGGGTTGGAGAGATAGGGGAGGGGGTATAATTTGGAGAGTTTTCTGTATGGAGATGATAAGTACATCACTTAAGCTGAAAACCCCAAGTCGCAGGCTGGGAAACCCATAAGCCACCGATTGTGACAGCTCCCTGTTTGGGGGTGCCGACTTACTTGGGGTGGGTGGCCACAGGGGGAAAGGAGCAAGGAGCCTCAGCCACTTCCCCTGGGCCTACTAACAGGTTTCAAGGAGAGAGAGCGTGGCAGGGGAGGCAAAGGGCAGAGTCCCGCCCCACCCCGCCCAGAGCCGAGCCCTTGCCTCAGGGGATGGACCTCACTAATGCTAACAAGGAAAAATCCCAGGAGAAACAGATAGTGGAGGTCCGCCCAGGGCAGCTAGAGGAACCAGAGGAGGCCAAGGCGGGAGGAGCCCAAAGGACCGAGGGCGGAGAGGGCAGCGCAGCCCAGCCCGTGGCTGGCCCGGCTCAGCTTCCTGCCTCCCGGGAGGAGGGGAAGAGGGAGGGAAGGAGGAAGGAGGAGGGAAGGAGGAAGGCGGAGGGAGTGGAGGTGCCCCCGCCCCCGCCGCCCAGCCCGCCAGTGGCTGCCTCCTTTTCCGTGTCTCCACATCCTCTGCCCATCTGCCCGTCGGTGGGCCCCGGAGCCCCAGCCCAGCCGCACCCCGGCAGCCGCTGCCCCTGGCCAGGGATGGAGATCCCCCCGACCCACTTCCCCGCAGCCCGGGCGGCCTCGGTGGCGGAGAACTGCATCAACTACCAGCAGGGGACCCCGCACAAGGTGTTCCTGGTTCAGACGGTCACCCAGGCCAGCCTGGAGGTGAGTGTCCGCCCGGCCCCGCGGGGATCCCTTAGTCAACCCTGCCTCCTCCGTCTCCCGGGCCGCTCCCATTCCCGAGGGCTGGTTTTCCGGGGCCCAGATCCTCAAGTTAATTCATGGGAGCTGCCGAAAGCCGGCAGCAGGCGGAAGGGCGGCCAGCAGGCAGCCAAAAGCCTCCTCCCACGACAGCCCCCCATTCTAAAAAGAATCAACATTCCTAAGATAGAAAGGCAGGCAAGCCAGAGCCGGGAGGCAGGAGGTGGGCGCACAATGAAATGAGAAATGCCCGATGCCTAAGGGACGGGCTGTCACCAAACCCGGCGGGTGAACCCCAGTCCAGGCTGGAAGCCCCACTTCCATACCATCCAGCCACACCAGAAGCCCTCCCTCCCCGGTGGTCTGCAGGGTCCGTCTCGGGGCCAGCTACCAGACCCAGTGTGCATTTCACTGCTGCCGCCGCCGTGGTCATAAAAATGTTTATGTCACAAAAGTCTGGCTAACGAGGAGCCAGAGCAGCTCCCTAACCCGAAGACCCGGATGATTCCAAGGGAGAGCATTTCCCGGGGCTTCTTGAGAGGCCCCTTTCCTCCCCAACGGTCCCTCCCAAAGCCTCCAGCTCACGTGCAGCCCCTCGACCCGTCTGCAGATCACTGCCCAGCCCCTCTGCTAGCCAGCATTCATGGGGCTAAGGTGGGACGCTGGACAAGGGCTTGCTGCTCTAACTGATCGATTCTTGGAAAGACTGCCTTCGCAGGCTTCTCACTTGGCGAGCTGCTAAAAATCACCTGAAAAATCCAACTCTGCTTGCCCCTTCTGTAGGGAAGCCTTTCTCTCCCAGGCTCTTCCTTAGGTCTGTTCTTTTGAAATGCCTTGCCTGACCAGCATCCCGGCTGCTGATACACACACTAACACATCTTTGCCTCTTCCTACGGTCCCAGGTCCCCTAACAAATTAGACCCGATTGCCCCCCTTCCAAACCAGAGAAGGAGAGACTATTCTTCCTTCTCTCTCCATTGTTAATTCAGGACATTCCAGGAAGTGGACATAAGTACCACCTGAAATTTTCTGTGGAAGAAATCATCCAGAAGGTAAGTAACACTTCATTTTTCAATGTGATTTGGTATAACACCTAAAATAATCTTTTAACAGAACATAAGGTTGCTGATTTTGGTCACTATCCTTGCCTCCTAAATACTGAACTATTACCTATATTGGAGAAGCTCTGTGGTCTGTATACTCAAAGACCCTATGGGGAAATGGGCATTTTTGCTGTGTTATATATAAAACAAATCATCCATTTCAAACAAGATATGACCATGGCTAGTCTGATCTTGTGGATAATATGACTGTCCATGGCTTTACTGGAAGTACCTTGAAGGAATATGCTTTTTCAATTACAGCTATTTTTTCAAATTGCTTTCCTCATTCCCGTTCTGATTTACAAGGGGCTGGAGAGAGGGAGCAGTGAATGTCTACTTCCAGGTATCTATGAGTAATAAAACGGCCAAATGATACTAGTGGGCAAATATTCTTCAGTAACATAATAGCAAAGATAGTAAGACATTAAATAGGCTTAGTAAAACATATTAATATCAATATGACAAGAAAAGGGAAGTTTGGGCCATTGCCCTCATAAAGACTGATATGAGGCAGTCTCAGGGTTTCAGTTTTGCCATTGGCACAAGATGTCAAACAGAATCCAGAGAGATACAGGGTCAGATAAGAATGCTAATAAAAGGCATCCATGTTGCCAGACAACCAGCCACCTTTAAAACGGCATGAGCGTTGCTGCCTTCTCCTAAGGGGTGGGAGATGAGGTACTTTCAGAAGCCAATAATAAACCTCCTTCTTGCAGTACCACTAGCACCTCACTTTGATACTGTAAAGGGAAGGGCCTCAGGGTGATCTCACTTTCAAATCTGGTTCTGCAAATGTTTATTATTCATATTTACAAATATTTGGTGCTACAATGCAAGCTGGAGTATGAGGATTCCACAGGACGTTTGTGTGTGTCTATAAATAAAAATGCATATACATGTAAGTGTGTGTATGCATGTATACAGCCACACACACATATATCAGGGCATTTAAATGCTTCTTCTGGAAGAGCATAGAGTAGGGCCAAATAAGTCACCCTGATTAACGGACACCCAGATTCATCACAGAACCAGGCCCAGAGCAATAAAAAGACAACAGAGTATTCTGAATTCCGACCCAGAGCACCAGGATAAGACCTTTACTGCGTTCTACAGATCTGAACTTTGTGCAAATATATTTTAAACAGCAAATTACCGTGAACTGCCGAGCACAAATACTCTACCCAACAGCTGGACAAAGCACCGCACCAGAAGTGGACTTCACGTTTGAAGGGGAGATTGGGAAGAACCCAGATGAGGAAGACAATAAATTTTATGAGCGACTCAAATCCATGAAGGAGCCACTGGAAGCAAAGAATATTCCAGGTACATATAAAAATGCTACAGTCCTTATTTTCTAATTTCAGAGGTAAAATGGAGTCCTCGTTGGCCCAATCATAAAATACCAGCAGTTATTCACACTGCACAAAAGCCCTGTGAGTGAGGCAGGTCAAGTCAGCACCCTCTCCAGTGGACAGATAGGACCCCAAGGCATGGCAGGCAGAGCCAGCATCCCCCAACTGGAAAGGGAGAAGGCCAGGAACGGATCCTGGGTCTTCTGATGCCAAGCTGACTGCTGGGGGCAGCATCCCCCTGGCTCCCTCTCAGGGTCAGGCGGTTCGGCTTTGGCACAAAGCGTAACTGAGTCAAACAACAGGGGTGCTTAAGAGTGGGCAGGCAGTTGCTTGTCATGGTTCTTCTGCACATGACTTTGGAGCCTCGACTTTCCACAGCTGAGAGGACCGTGTTTCCAAGAACCTAGAAAGCTCGACTTCTGACTTGGAACTGGGTGCCATTTGCTCCTATGTTGATAAGAAGGTGGCTGCATTCACAATATGAATGTTTCCCTCCCACAGACAGCTTTGGGAACGTCTCGCCAGAAATGAAACCAGTCCGACACCTCGCTTGGGTGGCCTGTGGTTACATAATATGGCAGAATTCCACTGAAGACACGTGGTATAAAATGGCAAAAATACAAACTGTCAAGCAAGTGGTGAGTAGCAACTTCTGGACCATAAGACACGGGGGATAAACCTGGAGAACCACTGTGACCATATGATGAGCACAACAGAAAACGCAGACGTTCCCAAATCAGCGCTCAAACACCCACTCTGAGGGGGAGCAGGCAGCGAAAAGCATACTAACGTCTGGCTCTGGGACAGGATGCTGAGACTATGCGCAGCACGCTTTTGTTCCCAATTATGTACAGCTGTCTCAGCCTGCCGTGACATTTAGTTTGCATTTCCTGCACACAGGGTTAGGAGACAGCATGGTGATGGTAAGGGGCAGGATATTTTCCTGGGGGGGCTCCTTGCCGAAACAGTCATGCAAAGGCAAAGTGGTGATCAGAGATGACATACTCCATCTAGGAAAATGACCACTGCCATGTATCCAACTACATAAAAGACGTCTCACCTAAAACTTTGGACAGCTAGAGTCAGATAACAATGCAATCCCTAGATTAAAAAAAAACAAACAACATATACCTATACACACACATATATACACACGCTGCCAATATGTATCAGCAGGAGTTCACCACACCAATAAAAGTCCAGGTCTGGACAAAAAAAAAAAAGATGCATATTCACCCATTGGTGTATGCTTCTTCATCTCCTATTAGCTCTTAACTGCATCTCAACACTGCTACTTTTTCCTCAATCACAAATTAAATCGACTAGTAGGTATTTCTGAGAATTTATTTACAGCATATTGCCGAGGCATAAGTCTTCTATTAAGTCATTTATCTTTTGCTATTTCAGTTTCAAATTTTTTAGTCAGAAATACTTTGATTTTAATCCTTTCGGTTTTATCAGTAATCCCATATTCTACACAACTTAATTTTACTTTATTAAAGACACCCAAAAACCACTAAAATTACTCTCCCAAGTTGTGTGCTCCAACCTGCTCAAATCATGTTTGGCACCTGTCCTTTTCAACTCAATATCTGCAAATGAACTGTATCTGCTCTAAGTCATCAGTTCCTACTGAGACCTTTCTCTGAGCCTTCCAAGGTCTGTAAATCTAACTGTTCAGACCGCTGTTACTACTACATTACAGAGTTCTTACAAATTTTTGCTTTTTAGCTTCAAAAGTCAAAAAGGGAGACTATTAACTATATAAGGAATTCACAATTTGAAAGGAAGGAAAAAAGGGGTGAAAAGCCCCTGACTGAACATAACCATCTTTTTCCTACCCTTTCATTAAAATTTTATTTTTCATAAGTAAAAATTCAAATGCAGAAGTGTTGGGCTGCCACACAATCACTTCTACAACTGGAATAAAACCCTTTAGCTAACTTGTTGCACATGGCTGACTTGTTTTGTAAAGAGACCAGTTACAACGGACTTTGAAATACTTCTCTCCATTGGCTCACACAAATTTTAAATGACCCTTAAATCCAGATTACAAGAACTGTTCTGTCAAAACTCAAAGCCACGTCACATTTTCAGCAATATTATGTTGATGACCTAACATTCAGGGCTTTAATTTCCTTCACTCATCTTCCATATTATTTCACAATAATCCATGGAGAAGTTAGAAACATATTATTTCCTTAAAAAAAAAAAGGCAGGAGAACTGAGGCACAGAGAAATTATGCACTTGCTAAAGTTAATGAGGGAATGAAAATCACAAACAACCTACTTGACCTTTTAATAGATACCTGCTTTTTAAATGTTTTTACAGAATGTCACATCCTAAGGTATTTTTAGGAAGTTTATGGAGAGCCTGGACCAAGGCTAGGACACTGAGCCACACCAACTACCTTAACAGAAGGTTCCAATTTTTCCAGAAAATGTCTCACTACTATGGCAGACAGACTACTGGCTGCACACCATTAACAGTCAAAGGAAATGGTTTCTGCAGAGCCACCCAAAAGCAAAGCCAACCTTCCCCTGTTTTAGGACATTCACTACCAATCTGTACAGAAAAGATCACGAAGCAGAATTGAATGCTGAGAGCCTGGAAGGCCCTCTGAAGCATCCAAACCAACTGACTTAAACAGGAACACTCCTTGTGTGACAACGCAATCGCAGAAAACAAGCATACCCCCTAACGAGTTTAGGAATATTCTAATATAGACATTAGTTGTCTTAAAGAGCCAGAGGCTCTACTCACAGGATAAACCAAGGTCTAATTAGCTTTCCTTAATTAGAAAACTCAGTAAACATATACACTGTGTTTATCACAACTTTTAGATTTTCCAGAGTAAGCTTTCCATAGAAACATGTGTTTGCTTTACTACAAATAACTCATTTCAATAATTGATTGTCCCTTGAGCTCTGCTTTCATGAATAATGATGGATGCTCTCAGGGTTCTTAAATAATAAACTAGTCTTGTAACAATTCTCATGCAGCTGTCACAATAACGAGCAGCCTAACATCACAGAGGGCACAAACAGAAAACAGTCATGTGGCACTTTGTGAAGAGTGCTAATTAAACCAGTTCCAGGAAAGTTGGAATTAGAGAATGAACTCAGGGCTTGAAGAGGCCTCAGGGGTCATCAAGTCCAACCCCCTCATTTACAGAAGAGGAAACTGAGCCCTACAGAGGCTCCTTGACTTGACCCAAGTCCCAGAGCTAAGGCAGGAGCAGAGCCAGTCAGAACTCGCCAGAGAGCTCTTTCCCACTGAATTCAGTTCAATTTTGAGCCACCTTGTGATCTCCATTCTAGCATCTCAAAATGAAAGCTGATTTCTTTTTCATTAAAAAGTGACTTTTTTGCTAAGGAAAAGCGTGTTTTGAATGTGGGCTGTCTTTATTTTTGTTACAGAAAAGAAATGATGATTTTATTGAATTAGACTATACCATCCTACTGCATGACATTGCATCTCAGGTAAAGTAACATCACTACACCCCTGCCTCAGGAACTGAGTTTTTAGAGAAAATGCCAACTTGCTGATGGATCTTCCTTTCATGTGCGATTTGGGGAGCCGGTCAGGAAGGCAACTCTCCGCTGCTAGTGCCTTTCCCTCAAGGACGACCCGACATATCTAGTGTGTGCCTACCTCTGTACACGCCTCGTCTCCCCCATCCCTGAGAAGGCAGTAAAGCTTTTCCCTTTTCCTTTGAGTTCCTACCACTTTGCAGAGACCTGCCACATAAAATCCTTGTTGATTAACTGACTGACCATCAGCATACCTCAAAGGATATCTTGCATTTCTTTTTAGTAAAATGCCAAGTATGTTTCCTTAAATATCTTAAAGAACTTCATCTTATGTTTAATTTTTCCTCCCTAGGAAATGATTCCTTGGCAAATGCAAGTCCTCTGGCATCCCCAGTATGGAGTTAAAGTGAAACACAACAGCCGTCAACCCAAGCAGGCCCACCTGGAATAAGCAGCAGCACGCAGTCACCAACACCCCTGCTCATGCTGTTGACCCACCCCCCTTCCACTTGGGAACCAACCCTTCCCAAGACAGTGACATACCAGTGTCTAGCCTGCAGATTACTATTGCGCAGACTCCATAATAAACACTTCGATTCACGTCTAATTGGATTAATGGTGCTGTGTACTTACGAGACAGGTTCAGTGATGCTTTCTCTAAAGGCCACTTTGGGCTTTCCAGTGATGCAAGGGCAGCCATATTCTCGCTCCATCCTCTAGGGAAAGGGCGGAAGGGAGGGGAAAGAGACAACCAAAAGTCAACAAGGTATTCATATAAACCAGAAATGTTTACGATCCAAACACCTCCCTGCAAATCGGATTGCTAGGTCTACCCTGGAAAGTGGAATAATTGTGAATTCTGAAGTGAGAGTTAACCTCACTAATTCTGAATTACTACTTGGGAACAGGGATAATTCAGACTGGTGCTGAATTGTCATTTACCCAAGCTTAATTAGCAAATCATTCATAGATGGTGTAGATTCATACAAACCAATTTGCTGGGCAAGGGGGTGAACGTGGTAGGCACAGGGGGGAGTGAGATCAGTGGGCAGAAGCAGCCGCTTTTATAAAGCTGAAATGTTAATTATATGCATTTATCTATTCATAAAAGAAAGTAACCAGATGGAGAGTTGGCAAGTGACTATAACGAATGGAAAGCAAAAACATCCTACATTTTTACAAGTGCTATAAAGTTTTTTTCCAGTTCAAACTGGCATTCTTCCTAATTAAACAATTAGTGAATGTCTGCTATAAACTAAAAATTTATTTAAAATTCATTGTAATATAGTATGGGAAAACAAAAAGTATAGGTGTACTGAGGCTTTTCACTACTTTTAAATATATTAACATTCCAACACAAAAAAAACAGATTAAAATGGGACAGTTTTTCACAGTATATTTAAATCACACAAACAAAATTAGGTTTCCAAAACCTATGCAAGTCACTAGGCCATTCTTTGGGAGGTCAGGAATCTTCAGAGAAATCCCTGCTCCACTGCTCTCTTCAGCTACTCCCTCCTATTGTTTTTTTTGTGGACTAAAATGACCTTCCAGAAGAGCCCTCTTGAAAATCGGCCAAAGAAGGGCGAGGAGGTGACGGGGCTCCTGGGTGAGGCCCAGGCAGACCCCCAGCCCTGCGCACTATTGCAGGTCTGTGTCAAGAGAGGCAGCGGGCACTGAGGGCAGACAGCCAGGAGACTTGGGTTCAGAGCTCACCTCCAACAGAGCGCAAGTCACTGAAGCTCTCAGAAGATGCCAACCTGGCTGGCGGGGACACTCGGCACATAAGCCAGGGAAATCCCAGCCCAGCCCAGAAGACCCCAGCAATCCCTTTTGAGAGTCCTTGGATTGCTCTCCAATCTTGAACTCTACAAAAGTAAGGGTGTGACACACGAAGTGCCTGGCCCTGCCCGGGGGGACATCGGTCATTACCTGAGCATAAATTTCCAAGTGTAATTCTCCCATTCCAGAAACAATGGTCTCTTTGCTTTCAAGATCATAGTGGATCCTAAATGTGGGGTCTTCTCTTGTAAACCGGGCAATGCCTTTTGAAAATTTCTCTAGATCATTCTTTTCAAAGGAAAAAGCAAAAAGTTACATTATTTGCATAGTTTCAAAGACACGATTTAATCTATATCTTATTCTCTGACACACTTGAATTTCAGGGACCAAGCCGAATGAATTAAGCAAAAAACAAAAAAATCTACTCTCACGGTGGCTTTTTTTTTTTTTTAACTTAAAGACCTCTGGGTTCTGGGGGAAGGAAGACATCTCATGCTCCATGAGCTAACACTGGATGCCTGCAGAGTCAACAGGAAGAGAGGGACTTTTCTGCTTTTCTTCCCTTTCACAAGGAAACAGGCACCTGAAGTTTGTGTTGAGCCTTACTCTCTTTCCTACTACACTGAAAAAGTGGCCTGTTCTGGAGAGGGAAGGGAGGTCTGAGCAGAACTGCCTGCCTAGGCACAAATTCTAGAGATGCCAGGCCTGCAGCACAAACCCGGAACCATCGGGACGTGTTTAACATGGTTGATGTAGAAAAGCTGCCCCACACAGCCTATTAATTTCTGTCCTGACAAGAAACCACAATCCAGCTGTCCAGATTTACTCACTGAGCAGAACAGAGGACAGCCCTGAAGGAATTACTGAAAGGAAAAGAATGGAAATAAAGGCCTTCCCCTCCCCTACTGGAGCCCTCACGCCAGTGATGACAAATAGGAAGGTCTGACATCTGCCATGACGATAGCAGCCTAAATGTCATCACTACCTAGCTGCGACATCCTCAACCCTCGATGGCAAGGGAAGGGACCTTCAGGTGACATACAATCTGCTCCCATCTGTAACCACCACAGCTGATTTCCAGAGGGCAGACCTAGACCTTCTGAGATCCAGGTCAATAGAATGGGCTGCTTCAGGAGGTCTGAAGAGGTTTCTTCCTTACTGGAGGTCTTCAAGAGAGGCCTAAACGACTCTTTGTCACCTAAGTTATAGAGAGGATCCTTGCTCAGGTCTCTATGGTGTCTTCCAACCCTGAGACACTACAGATTTGCTAATCCTGACCATTCCTCCTTGAAAACAATCCCACTGGGGCTCAGGGACAAGCTCTGTCCCCTAGCTGGGACTTCTCTGCGGGGGGACTCACATCAGCAGAGCTGGACCTGAAGAGAGCAAGTGAATCCTTGCCCTGGGTCATTCAGATACCAAGTGGCCAAGCCAGGATCTGACCTCACGTCCCGTCCCCAGACCCAGCATTTCTATTGCTCCCCAACATTCATCCAATAGACCAAAAAACTCAAAAACTGACTGCAACATTAAGAAAAGCAGCACAAACTAAAGGAGGTTGATGAAGAAGCAGGCAGGGACAGGGCATTTGATGGTGAGAGGCACATCTTTCAGAAAAATGCCTACCTTGTTAGAAGGCTTCATTGATACGGAAATGACAGGATCAGGAACATGAATTGACTCCTAGGATTGTTTAAGAAATAAGTTCTAGTTTAGGCTGGAACAGACTGGGGAATTACACAGAGTAACACAAACTGAGAAGCACAAAAGACGGGATTGTGTCACAGAGGCAGCGAAAGAGCCCTGGTGGGAATCCTGGCTCTGCGTGGGGCTCAGTTTCCTCATCTGCCAACCGAGGGGTTAAATGGGACAATCACGAGTCTCTAAATTCGATACTCTCTGCAAAAAATCATAGTTTTATCACCCCAAGGAGGGCCCTTCCTTCATTAGAAGGTAAGCTCCCTGAGGGAAGAGCCCGGTTTGCCTTCCTTTCACCCACGTGTTTATCTGGTACAATACCTGACACACAGTGAGGACTCACAGTGAGCCAGGTGTGCACAATCTGGGTCAGCGCAGTTCCAAGATTCTCTGGTTGGATGCTTAGGCAATGATTTCAAGTTTTAAAATAGAAACAAAAATCCCAATTTGGAAACTTTAAAAGGCTAATTCACCAACAAAGGTATCGCCAATCAAGCACCCAACTTAAACAAGCATCTAACACGTGGCAGGCAAGACCATAAAGACGAAAATACAAGGCCTCTTCTCCCTCAAGGAGGCTCAACTCTACTGGGGGGGAGGGGGAGGGAGGCAGTGAAACTACCACTGTCCTCATCTGTAAGAAAGAGACCAGGATATGCAGAAGATCCCAGAGGATCCCAAAGCATGGAAACTTCTCCTGGATACCACTTCTCTCTAGGTACCCAGACTGGACCTTTATTTTTTAGTGGTTAGAAAAAAAATCATCACCTATGGTGTCCGAATGGCCCAAATGGTCGGACTCAACAAAAAGAGTTTTCATGCTTTTCTGAGTTTAAACAGACTGCACAAAAACACATATGTTGCCAAGTCCAGTGATTAACTGCTCTAAAGCCACGGAACTCACCATGGAGAGATTAATGTTGTCTTTGTCCGTGAACGTGTCTCCACTGGCACAATCGATACCAAACAGCGCAAAGATATCTCCGGCATAAACTTCGTCAACATCCTAAGTGGAAAAAAAATGGCGCAAGAGTACATGCGTGTGACGTGTTAAAAACATAAAGATGGAGTGCACAATGTTTACAAGAAACACTACGTGATCACTCAGGGTAGAAGCTCCCCACACTTCTGCCAGCCAGACAGCAGCAAAGCAGAGCACCTTCACCTGAGTTTCATTTCTGTACATTTAAAATTTCTGTTCTATTTAAAATGGACCATTCAGGGACGAGCCATGACTGCTCAGAGAATCAATAACACTGATATTACCAAGTCCTTGTGGCTAGAAAATGGTTTCTTTGAGATTCTAAAGTACCACATGCACTACTTCAATCAGATGAGATGTGAGACATATTTTCAATCCATAACTTCAAAGGAAGTTCTAAGAGCGTAGGCAGGAGAATGAAGTCCATTGTGCCTAAAAAAATCTTAATTTTCAACAGATGTAAACTGGCTGAAAACACAGGAAATCCGAGAGCAAAATGCTAAGCTTCCTGGTTTTTGTCCGTTTGTATCAGCTTCATTCACAATGGCTTCATTTTTTTCCTTGCTTGCTGGGCAGCCCAAGACTGGCTGGGGACCCACAGAACAGCTGACAAACCCACCTGGTCCCGCTTCCCTCTGTCCACGCCCTCTGCTGCCCAAATAACAGAACAACAATACTGTGGAGCTCTGAGACATGGCTTGGTCACCTTCAGGGCCCATGGCAAAGAGAGATGGCCAGCGGAAAGAACATTTTTCTTAGGATGGACGTATTTATGTATGTTTGTATCTACTTTTTTGTGTATGTGCATACATACATACATACATATCTATGTGCACGCACACACACACACACACACACACCCCATCCATGAACACACACGACTGTTCCACGCTCTTGGGCTCAGGAATATGGAGGCTAGTATGGAGGTACAGCAGCTGGGTGGGCTCTTCTAAGTGGCAGCCCAAGCAGGAGCCCTAGGAGCACCACACCAGAGCCTCTTCCCCAGCTCGACCCTCAGTCTGTCCTACTTGGCAGGCTGCTGGCAGACTGATGGTATCAAAGTGCTTTCACTTGGAAATGGAAGGAGGCAGAACTGTCCTTTGCACTCCAGAACACCCTGGAGCGTAGAAAGACCTACAGTCTTATTCCAGGATCCACTAGAAAGAAAATTGATCTGATGCCATTTCTAGGACAGATTAGTATCCTCTAAACTTTCTGGCCCTGAAAACCACCCCAAAAATCATTCCCACTCTATCCACTTTTTCCTGCTCCTGCTCCTACAACAAACCCTTGCTGAGACCTAGAGCTGCCACTCTTGACCAAGGACTGGGAGAGAACCCCCTCTCTTTGACTCGGGATGTTGCCACAGATCCTCCCCAAAGCAGACAAACATCTGGCAGAGGACGTTTCTTACAGGGACTGCTTTTCCTAATGCTAAGAAACACCGTAGGAAGGAAAAGCAGCATAGAGGGAGCAAGTGCTTTTCATCAAGGGGAGGCGAGGTCTTCGGCTAGGAAGCAGGCAGGGGAGTGCCGGGGAGAAGGAACCAACCGTCTGGCTTCTCGGGGAGCCTACCACTTGCCTCCATCACGTCCGCGTGCATTCGGATGAGGCGCTGCAAGCGAACCTTCTTCTTGGTCCTGGTGTTATAAATGGTGTCTGCTTTCTTCAGCTTGCCCTGATAATTTCGCACATAAGTCAGCTGTCCAAATCGCCCAGCCTGGAAACGTGCGTTGGGGAGGAAGGCAGACAAGAGGAGCACATGGCAATTCAGAACATGTCACAACTGCACTTTTTTTTTTTTTTAAAACCACTGACCCTTCTGTACAATGTCTGAGTCACCAACCATCAGAAGAGAACAGAGTCACTCTTCCCAGGGAGCCTGAATGGAGTCCTCCAGAAGTTCTTCAGCACTCCAAAATAAATCTCTCTCTTATTTCCCTCAAATCACATCATTGGGGGAGTTTTCAAAAACTATTTAGACAATGTTTAGCTAAAGCCCAATCCAGTCATGTTTAGGGGGAAAATAAACAAACTCTAGTGGTATGTAAACTACTGTCTACACGATCAAGGACAAATCTTTTCCAAATTTCCAAACTCAACCCTCCCCAAAAGATACCTAACTACATTCACCATTCTTAATTAGCATAGTTAAATTCAGCAATGAAATAAAATAAAATAAATTAATAGCTTACCTCCAGTTTAAAAGCCAAGCCGACAAAAGATTGGGAATTATCTCTTTTGGAGCTCATTAAGACTTTGGATTTCTCATCAGAGTCCCTTAAAGTAAGGGGAAAATGTTTATACACTGTAAGCCTGGACAGTTTCCCTCACAATCATTTAGCAGCTGTCATCCGAGGGCAGAGCATGGCTGCTCCCCTCTTTCTAAATCACATCTCATAGCCTACGTGAACGTAGCTATGACAAGGCGACAGCAGCCTGCCGGGTCTTGCCTCTGCCTTCACCAGAGAGTAAGTGAGCCAAAATAAAGCAGGGATGGTAAAGAAGAGGAACAAAAAGGCTTTTCGGCACTAGAGCCTATCTACAAATCTCATCCTAGAGCAAAGAGAAACGAGATTCATCCCACACAACACAACACACTCTCTACTTAGACAAAGTATGTGAAAAACGTTTTTTCCTTCTAAGTCATTTGCATAAACTGCTGATCAAGGTTCCCCTACAACACCATTTTGTACACTGAAAACCTAGACCTCACCTGAAGACTGAAAAACTAAACCCAGTAACTTCGACACCCAGCCCTGTATTCAGGGCCTCTTTGGAGAATGGAAATAACCCGACAGCCAGAAAGCTTCCCTGCACCTCCCTGACTTACTCCTGATTGAGAACGGCATAGTTCTGGACCTCAGATGGATTGGGGAGGTACGCCAGGACCCCATCGAGGAGAGGCTGCACCCCTTTGTTCTTCAAAGCACTTCCCACAAAGACAGGCGTAAACAATCGCTTAATGGTCGCTCGTCGGATCGCAAGCTAAAAAGACAAAAGATTACCTAGATGTTACTTCTGTCTGACTACATTTAAAAAGAACATTTTGTGCCTAAAACCAAATAAGTATGAGTAAGTTAGTAAACAGAAGAACTGCTATTAGTTAAGATTTTATAGTACAAACACCAGCAGCAATTGGGAGAGCCAGCCTCTTTTTCTAAAGGTCATAATCGGAAGCAGGAAGGCCACGGCCCACCAGTGAATCCTGGCTCCAAACGCCCTTCCTAGCCTCGGCCCACCCTGCTCTGCTTCACACACTCTGCTCCCCTGCTCCCCTGACGGGCCACGCACTCTGCTTAGTGCTGGACAAAGAAAGGCGAAAACGTGGCCCTGGCCTTCAGGGAGCTCACGCTCTAACAGGGCAGACGACATTCAAAGAACTAACTACACACAGGACACACACAGAGCCGGAGGAGGGGGAAGGGGAAGGGGCCTGCCAACCAAGGAAAGGCTTCTCGCTGTTCTTCATGAGGATGCAGAGGGTGCAGGAGGCGGATACGAGGCAGGAGAGTGAGCCTTCCAGGGACAGCCAATACTGTCCTACCCTTCCCTGAGCCACTCAGCTCTAGTCATTTCCTCCCTGTTGAGATCCTCTTCATCTGAGGGCCAGATAAAGCACCGCCCCCCACACTTCTCTATTCCCTTTCCATATTTCTTACAAACTCTGCCTGGACCTCCCCTCTGCCCCAACACATTCTACTCAGTGTCAAACTCATGGACAACTCACTGCCCACCGATCACCACCGTGGGACTGTAAAAGGGCCTCAAGGACAGGCATGGTTCTATTTTCTCTTTGTATTCCCAGGTTGTTAAAAATAGCAGACGCTTAATAAATATTTATGGAATTGAGGTCAACATTGTGTACCATTTTCTATTGATCTGATTTTGTCCTATAACTGCCTAAGTCATGCTCTGACAAAATTCAGCTGGCCTGTGATGGCTTTAGAAACCCAGTTCTTTTGCTAATCTCTGATCTATTCTTGCCCGGTGAATTCTGCTAACATTGAGGAATGAGCTTGCCATAAGGGAGTTAGGCCTATCCTTCACCCAAAGAAGTCCAGGTCCTTACCTTCAGCCTTGCCAGTGGACTGGAAGAACGAACACTTTTTAGTCTCAGGAGGGCAAGAGGGGGTTGTTGCTAGCCTCTCATTACAAATTTCCAGCCCATCATGTTGTTCCACACGGCTTAGCTATATAACCAATCATGCTGCCCTCAATCCCATGATGCCACCTACCCTGTTCTATACTCCTCAAATTTGCTTGGGGTCTTTGGCTGGAAATTGAGGCAGCCACTGACCCTTTTATTGGCAGGTAGCATGCCCCTGTTTAAAAAAAATGGTATCTTGCTCAGAGAAACATGTCTCAGATAACCTTTTTGTTAAATTTCACTCAGGACACCTTCTTAGAAGCTACAGAAGCCCACTCGTTCCAATGACAGAGAAAGCACAGTTTAATCACATAGTTTGTAGAAACGTTTTCCTCTCAAAACTCTAAATGATACTGACACTTCTTAAAGGATAGAGGGATAGCTTCGTTTGTCATCAAATATACTTTAGTAGCTCTGTGACTTTACCCATGGAGGTCCTCAGTCTCTCATCAATCTCACTGCCCATCCAGAGGGTCTCTCGTTCCTGGCCTCCCATCAGTCCTCCGGAAGGAAGGGGGAGCACCTCATGTCCTGGCTTCCTCTCCATCTCACAATATGGGACTGGCACCAGTGAAGCCCACAGGCTGCCCACTGGTTAATCCCTTGCTACTTACACGGCTAGCCCATCTTCTTTTTCCCAATCATACATCTCTCTAATAACATCCTTTTTGCCATTTCTGCCTAATTTCTGGTTGGCAGTAAGCTGCAGTCTACACCTGCCCATCATGTCTATGACCAGTAGCCCCACAGCACCGCAGGACTGCCTTTGAGAAATCATGCAATGTGTTTCCTAAGCCTGTGCATCAACCCGGCACAATGACCCACCCTTTATAGTGATAGTGAAAAGGGTGTGGCATAGTGAACAGAATGCCAGGCGTGGAATCAGCAGGTCTCACCTCAGATGCACACTGGCCACCACACATCAATGGGGATGTCAGACAACCTACAATACTGATGGTGGAGGTATAAATACAAAAATGACACAATCCCTGCTCCCAAGGAGGTTCTACACTACTGGGGGAAGATGGCATACACGCAGATGTAGATAGAAGACAGACAAAGTAAATACCAGGGAGTTAACTATAGGATGGGGAGGGCACCCACAGTTGGGGGGATCCGGTGGGGCCCAGTGCAGAAGGTGACTCAAGGGAGGCATGTGGCAGAGAAAAAGGAGGGTATCCCCGGCATGGCCAAGACGGCGGATGGAAAGTGGTACCTGGCAAAGCCACACAGTGCAGGAGGGCAACAATGCACAATGGGGCTGGAGAAAGAAGTCTGGGCCAAGGGGTCAAGGGCTTGGTGAGCCACTAGAGCTCACTGTGTAGGAAGTGACATGGCCAGATTAGCCATGCAGTGATCATGCAGTGTGCATGAAAATGACCTTGGCAACTTTATGGATGATGGACTAGAGTGGAGAGAAACAAGGCAGGAAGACCAAGTTAATTACACATTTAAGTCTCAAAACTTTTGGATCAGTGTTGGTTGAGAGGATTTCCTCACCCAGAATTCCTTGCACCAATGAAGTCACAAGCTTGGACCAGACTAGTGAAATTGTTCCAGATTTACCCAGGACAGAACCTTGAAGGGTACACGGCCACCATTGGGGGGGACGCTCCTGATGTCTGAGGAATAGGCAGAGAGGGATGAGGAAGAACCAACAGATGGCAATGTCATGAAAACCCAAAGAAGAGGGGAGGTTCAAGAGAAGAACGGTCAAAGCCTGCACGGAACTCAAGACCAAGGACTGAGAAAACCATCCGAGCTGGCAATTACCTGGTAACCTGGGGAGACCCTGGAAGGACCTGGGCTGAGCCCTGACCCCATGGCACACGAGCAAGCGAAGAGCTCCCAGGCCCTGAATCCCACTCTGATAATCAAGATGTTACACTACGTTACATGTACCTCCCCCTGCACGGTTTTTCACTCAGAATCCCCCACACCAGCACAGTGCTGTGCCCAAGGAAGGGAAGCCATCATGTGCTCCAACTGCTGCCACGCTTACATTCCTATTAACACCAAGAATCTGTAGCCACCAGCAGGGCAACCAACGTCCCTCATCTAGAGACACTGCTAGGGTCACAGATTTAGAGCTGGAAGGACCTCCGAGGTCGAGAACCCTCCTTTTGTAGCTGGGGAAGTGAAACTGAAAGGCTGAATCATCATGCACTCCCAGATTCTATGGTTTTCTGGCTTATCTGGTTCATCTATATGCATGCGGTACTAGGATTCAGAGAGGCAGCTGAAGAGGAAGCATCAGCCTCAGGGACCGAGATGAGGGCTGGAGACGGGGACCTGGGAACCATCAGCAGGCGCGGGAGCTGAGCAGATCACCTGTGAGACAGTCTACGGGCTGAAGAGGGCTCAGGGCAGAGCTCCAGAGGACAGCCACAGTGAGCAGGCACTGCCTGTCCAGAAAGGAGGCTGCGGAGGAGCCGTCAGACAGGGCAGAACCAGGAGAGAAGAAAATCTTGCTGCAAAAACAGTGAGATGAGGCCTGAGGAACGGCCATGCAGTGGGGTGACTGAGAGACCCCGGGAGAGGACGGCTGCAGCTGCTGCTGCTGCTGCTACCACTGTGCCAGCTGCTCTTGCACCTGCTTCTACCATTCCTGCTGCACCTGGTGCAGGAGGTAGCTGAAAGGGGGCGGTGCTTGAGGAAGCCTGAGAAGGCGAATGGGGCAATGACTAGTCACTGCCCTGTAGCACTGAAGGCTGTTGGGGGTAGGCCTGACTCAGACGAACAACGGTAATCCAGGAGGAAAGGAGGCACTCATAAGCACTCAGCAGCTACTAAAAGGAGGCTTGTTTTGCCGTAGCATAGAAAGGAAGCCAGGTCTGAAGGCCCCAGCCCCGTTCGGTTGGGCCTTCTTACAGGTGCAGGTGGTCAGGAACGACAAGAAGAGGTGGTATCTGGAGGGGCCCCCCTTGAGCCTTGGCAGCTTGGTTACCTTTCAGAGAAATGCGGCAGGGGGAGGGCTCAGCTGAGATTCGGTCCCAGTCACTATCACTACGACTTCAGGATTCTGTCCTCTGTTCGGCAGCACATGAATCAGAGCGAAGGAGGCGGAAGGTAGGAATGATCTATGGCTGGACTTGGCAGAGGACGGGGGAGGCCGGTAGGGGGAGGAAGGGATTCTAGAGCAGAGAATGACGTAGAGGTGAAAGCACTCACCAACAAGAGGGTGGGCAACGCTGAAGCGATGGATGACCTGGCAAAGAAGTGAGGGGCAAAGAGAATGGCAGTCACAGTAGGGATGGATAAAAGGATGAAGGAGTTGTGAAGCACCAGAGGAGAAAGACCAATCCAAGGTGATGACGCTGTGAGCCAGGTGCCCTTTCCCTTTCCAACCACAGAATGAGAATCCTTCACTCTGGCATTACTCACACTTTTGTTCCCAGCTCATGTCCCAAATCCTGAGCTGAGCCAGGGCTGAACACTCACTCCCCTGCCCTGTTGTCAGGTCAGGCCCTTCCTTCCTTGGGGACGCAGACTTTCCCTGGGGCTCTAGGGCTCTGAGAAGGATCAGGCCTAAAGACCCGCCCGACACACTTCATTTGCTATCCTTTTTAGCTAAATCGCTAAAACTTTCTCGGATTCTTATGCCGAAAGCTAACACCACTTAAAGTGACTAATCTTTGTGTGCCTCCCACAGGTCTGTTCTTCCAGCAGGAGTGCTACCGCATGGAACTATTGCCCAGACCTTGTCCTTTGTGCTTAAAATGTGGGAAACCGAAAACTATGTGGTACACACTTCAGACACTCTAGTCTGACTTGGTAAGAGGGCAGATCTCTTACTGCAATTCGGTAAGATAAGTTAACAGCTATCCACATTCCATATTCAAAGACACAGCCGAAATTAGCTTTCCAAAATGACCTCTCAAAGTCACAATGAACTTTCTCCCCCACTTAGATCTTCAGCTACATTTAGCAGGTGCTCTGCCCTACTCCAACGTGTCTACAAACCAAGGTCCCGGGCACGACCTCTGCCCAGTCAGTCTCCCCACAAGCCTACACTGAGCACCCACTTTACATCAGGCACAGCACACAGCACGGAGGAGAAGAAGAAGAGCAAAGAGAGCTCAGATGCTAAGGGGCCACGCACGTACAAGCCAGAGCGACACCGCCTCAGAGGAAAAGCTCCACCATTAAGGGACCAGTTCTCTCACCTGATACAGCACCTGTCCGCCACCCCCAGCAAGTCTCTAAAGCCCAACTCAAATGTCTCATGTCCTCCTGGGACCACTCACTGGCAACAATCTCTTCACTCAGACTGAGCAAAGGACTTTCGCTGGCAGCCCGCTAAGGCCTGTGGGTCTGGGAGCTCCAGGTCCCTCCAGCTCTGGGCTGAGGATCCTTTGATCCCAAGGCCCCTGAGCCCACGTTTAGAGCTCTCTCAGTGCCTGTACGGCACTGTCACATAGCAGGCACTTACATGTGTTTAAACTGAACTGTACTTCCAATCCGTGGCAAACAGGAAACCGGACAACCCTCTGGTTAGTAACTATAAGGGTAAATCGCCTCTGAGTTTAGAGCCAAGGCTTTCTAACAGCCATGGTCAAGCTCAGGTCTTTCTTGTAGGTGTTATCATACATGTCTGTACCTTCTCCTGTTTTATTTTTATTTTATTGTTTTAGGCAATTGGGGTTAAGTGACTTGCCCAGGGTCACACAGCTAGTGTGTGTCAAATGTTTGGTCTGAGGCCGGATTTGAACTCAGGTCCTCCCGACTTCAGGGCCGGCACTCTATCCACTGCGCCACCTAGCTGCCCCACCTTCTCCTATTTTAATTCAACAGGTGTTCTATCCTGGCTACCGCGTGAAGCACTGGGAACATAAAGATGAAGAACTGACACAGTGCATGGCTTCTGGAAGCTTTCGGTCTCCAGGGTGACAGCTCATCGTGCACGAGTTACAATGTGGTCAGCTTGGAGGACAGGTCAAACAACCCGAGGCCGGCAAGGGAGCGCTGCCCTCACTCCGAGCTGTGGAATCAGGCAGAAGCAGCCCCTCAGCTGGGCCTTAAAGGAAGAACTAGAGTCCACTCCAGGCAAGGGGAGAGCCATAGGAGTTCCCAGTGGCAGGAGACTGCAGGACAAGAACGCCTGATGTTTACTGAGAGGTTTACAGTGTCCAAGTGCCCTACCTACTTCCCAAGGCTCTGACTCGGAAGAACCATCTGTAAACCTAAAGCACTACAGAAATCTGAGCTGTTATAAGAAGACGGCTTTATGTTACAAACTGTGCTGCAGGACAAGGGGATCTGCCCAGAGAGCCCGACATGCTAGACAGCACAAGCAACTTTACAATGCCCTGGACACGGTCAGTTAGAAGGGATCGTAGGGGGAAACAGCGAGCTCCAAACAAATGATCATGTAACCAAAGCATTCTAGAGCTGGAAGGAGTCTTGAAGGTACCCTTTACAGAGAAGAGGGGGAGTGGGCCCTTCTCATGTAACACGGGAAATACAGAAACAGCCTAAGTACTTGGTCGCCAAGGTGGCCGGATCTGCTGCTGGCGTGAGCAGAAACTAGAGCTCACCTGTGGCTGACCCTGCATTCTCCTTCTGACCCCTTAAGGCCAGTGCTTCCCAGGAGCTTCTGCCTTCCTGCCTCTGTCCCTCAGAACGAGGAGGCGGGCAGCCAAGCAGCCAACAGTCAGGCTCGGCTGGCACCTTGAGCGGAAAAGACTCCTGGGCAGCGAGCAGATGGAGCGTAATGGGAGAGAAGGCACGAATGGCAAAGGGGCCTCCCCAGGTGGGCCTCTGGGAGCCACTGAAGACTTTTGAGCAGAAGAGTAACCTGCCCAAGACCGGTGCAGAAGGAAGATGAGCTGGAGACAGCAGGGAGGACTGGCATGAGGAGAGGTACTCTGGTATCTCTGGTACTCAGCATGCCAGGCTTTGTGGCTTGGGCCTGATCACAGTCCTTCTGGCCTCTGCCCGCTCTGGCCAGTGTGGACAGTGAAAGGATCGAGGGGCCTCAGGAATCAGGAAGGCTCTGCCCAGGCTCATCTCATTCTGCTTTTGTAGAAAGGGAGATGCAGGAGAGGGAGAAAGAGGAAGGAAGGGAAAGAGAGAAAGAGAGAGAGAGAGAGAGAGAGAGAGAGAGAGAGAGGAGGGAGGAAGAGAAAGAGAGAGAGAGAAAGGAAGGAGGGAGAGGGAGGGAGGGAGGGAGAGAGAGAGAAGGAATGAAGGAGAGAGAAGGAATGAAGAAGGGAGGGAGGGGGGGAGGGAGGGAGGGAGAGATAGGGAGGGAGGGAGGGAGGGGGAGAGAGAGAGAGAGAGAGAGAGAGAGAGAGAGAGAGAGAGAGAGAGAGAAACTGGAGCAACCTACAAAAGCTTTTGTTTCCCACGTTTCTATTGACTTCACCCTTAACCTGGCTCCCCAGTGAGACACATCTGTTCTACGGAAGGTGGGAACGCCCTACATTGAGGACCATGAAGCCACCAATGGCTGCATGGGCCAAGGCCTACCTCCGTTCTGCACATCTGCCTTCTCTCTCCAGCAAGCTTGTTGCCTTCCTGAATACTGGGTGGGCAGTAAAGGTGTTATGGGGTAAATATGACCCAAGAGACCACAATTCTTTCTGTGTACATAGTTTTAGCTAAACTGCCAAAGGATACTTGATGGAATTAAAGGCAAAATAAGCAATGACTGGGTCCAGAGAGGAATCAAGTTCTTTTTGTTTGGCTAAAAGCATGGTGGCTAAAAGGATGGTTCATAGCTTCCAAATATACACAAAACGCTAAAGAAACATTTGTATCAGAATGTCCTCTAACACGAGATTTGAAACTATATCAGTTAACAGAAAACTGAAAAATTCTTCAAGTGGTAGGGCAGGGGAGGTACCAGTCAAGACACATTTCTGACATTGAGACAATCGCTCTCCAAATTTTTTATACGTTTCTATATTTATTTTCTTTTGTGGAAAGGGCACAGCTGATTAGCTAATTATGTTTATCATGTGTCTTCCTCAAAGCACATGTTATTATTCCTTCTTTTCTATCCCAAAATACAGCATAAGGAATTATTTACTTAACATGACACGTGACAAACATTTTCCCAAGACCCCAACCTTTTTTTGTCATTATTTCCTCAATCAGCAATGAGGACAGTAGAAATGCTGTTTCTGGAAAGAACAGAAATGCCGAGATGGTACTGCTTCTCCACTAACGTAAGGTGTACTTTAAGAATACTTGCCTGTAAGTCTGTCACTGAGGGGACTTTTTCTTCCAAGAACAGCTCTCCAAGCTGCTCATCTGAATTTGCAACACATTCAATGAGCTCCTGGCGGTGGTCAGTTGCTGCCGCCCTAAATTCTGCTGGGATTTCAGCATATCGGATGGTCTGCCTAGGAAAGAAATTCAGAAAACGGCATCTTTTCTGGAAGACTGGAAGGCATACAGTGTGGGCTTCCCTCAGTTTCCTCTGCTCAATTCTGAAAGCCTCTGGGCATCACTGCCCATTCTGTCTTCTTTCCTTCCACGGCCTATCCCCTGGTTCCCTTCCTGCCTGCCTCCTCCAGGACCCTCATCTAGCCATCCCTCCCCCACGCTCATGAATCCCCGACATCTCCCAATGGAATGGCTCTTCGCCACCTACTTACTAACATGCTCACAGGGCCATCTTCAGTCCTCCTGATCTGTATCTGGCCACTGGACACAGATGGCTCAGGAGAAAGTGAGGCTGGTAACTCTGCACAGCCCTGCCTCACTTAAATCCAATTCACTTGCAAATCATGGCATCATCTTCCTGATGCCACAGTCCTCTTAAAAGGCAAAACACACAACTAACATGCTCAGATTTCCCCAATCCTAAAAAAGCTTTCCTCTGGCCTCTCTCCCATCCAGCTGCTCATCTCACTTCTCCTTCCTCCCCCACACTGCGACACATCAAGCTTTCCCTGACTATTCCTATGAAACTGCCTTCTCAAATGTCACCAACGACCATCTAATCGCCCAATTCAACAGCCATTACTTTCAGTTTTTGAAGGAAGAAATTCAAACCATCCCAAACACAAAAAAGATGCTCCAAATCACCAGTGAAGAAATGCAAATGAAGGCAGCTAGAAGCAGCCCCACGTCACACCCAGCAGCCGGGCAAAGATGATATAAAAGGAAAACGACAAACGCTGAAGGGAGTGCAGGAAAACATGCACATGAACATATACTGGCAGAGCTTCAGATCGGCCCGGCTATTCTGGAAAGTCACTTGGGGCTATGCCCAAAAGGTCACTAAACCTCACAACCTTGGACCCAGCTAATCTGCTCCTGGGCCCATGCCCTGCAGAGATCATGGGGGAAAAAAAAGGGACCACATAAACAAAAATCTTCCTATCAGCTTTCCGTAGTAGCAGGACTTCAGGGAAGGGAGATTAGATATAATTTTTCAATAAATATTTTGGAAAAAATCATTCCAACCAAATTTCAAAGAGATGCTATCTTTTGAAAGGAATTCATTTTCACTCTTTATTATTTCATTGCTCTCCAAATTCCAAAGTGTTGCCACTTACCCAAAGTCTCCATCAAAGTACATGACCCGCTCCTCAATGAGGTCTATGATGCCTTTAAAATCACCCTCCAAGCCAATGGGTATCTGGACAAAGGCTGCATTATAATTTAACTTTGATCTGGAAAATAAAAAATGCATTTGGGATTATAAGGAAAAAGGTGGCAAACCACTAGTTAGGTAACTACTTCACATTTTGAGTTATAAACAATTTGCCACCTATACAGAGCCCTCACTTGCTACTCCAGAATTTCCAACATTTAAATATGAACAAATTCAACTTTACAATTTTGAACAACCACGTAAGTCAGACTCAAATGAAGAACCTAGGGCTGACTGCCAGATAACCCTGCCTTGACTTCTCTCCAGCAGAATCAACGTCATGAAAGAGGGAGGGAAAGGGAAGCCCACCCACACATGCTCCACTGTGCCCACGATGCTGCCACTACCCTTCTCTCCCATTTCAGCAACTAGCCATGTGGACATTCACAAGCTACGGTAAGTCAGCACTTCCGACCACACCCATGTCTTCCATTTTACCCATCACCCCAGGCTCTTTCACTTCTTCCCGCTGGGCCACCGCCTGAGAGCCAGAGACTTGCCTTCTACAAAATCTCTGCCCTTTCTGATTTGCTGTGGCCTGAGCAAGCCAACCGACTTCTCTACAGATGCATTTTCCCATCTGTGAGAGAGAACGGCAATGCTCCAGCCTATCACCATGAAGGTCAGGAAGAAAGCAAAGCACTGAACTCTGTAAAATGCCAAATGCTACAAATGATTCCAAATAACAGTTTTAAATCGAGGAAGATGATTTACTTGGGTTACTGCAGCTGTTAGCAGAAATAACAAACCAAAGTAAGAGAATTTCATTTTATCCTCCAGTAACTTAAAGGCTATTAACTGAAGTTCCTCACATAAAGGTTAAAGTTAAAGATGATCCTCTTATCACGTTCCTAGGTTTTTCTTAATATTTGTTTAGGCTATTCTGGGTTTTAGAGGCAGCAAGATGTAACGAAGACAGCAAGATGTAATGAAAGACCTTCTGACATACAGAGGAGCCTGGGCCCATCACTTCACCTCTCAGGATTCTAAGCAGTCTTCAGGACTCTCTGTTTGTAGAGAAGGAGCTGACCTGAATTGGGCAGTATTCTCACCTAGGAATTCCCATCTGAGGAAAACACATCTCTGTCGCAGGTTCTAACAGGCAGTTACATAATATATAAAATGTTGGGCCTGGAAGACTTGGACTTAAAATCCAACCGAGATTCAGACTAGCTTTGTGACCCTGAGCAAGTCACTTCACTTTTTGGTATGTCAGACAATGCCCCAGGATTAATCTAAGTCACAGACCAGCCTTCATCTATACAGGCAGCAGCTGTTCACATGCCAATCTTTCCCCAAACTGATGAAATCATCAGTCAGTTGACAAATATTTATTTAAGGCAGCTACACAGTGCTGGGAGTGCAGGGCAGGACTGGGCATCAGGAAGCCCTAAGTTTGAATCCAGTCTCAGACACGATCTGTATGACTGAGCAAGTCACAGCCTCTGAGCCTCAGTGTCTTCACCTGTGAAATGGGGATAAAGTAGCCAGCAATCTAAAAAGCACAACAGCCTACTGTTTTCATCACTATTACTGTTATCGTCATCATCGTTATCATCAGCATCTCCCGTGTGCCAGACTCTGCACCAAGTTCTGCACATCTGGGGCTTGGCATTATTCTAAATTTGCGCCTAAAAGACAGGAAACAGATACACACTCTGAGGCCTAAAGTGTCTCAGCAGCACGGCTGACTCTGGTTACGAAGGGACATAAAACAGGTTAGAAATCCTGGCCACCAGTGGGTGCCAAGACCAGCTGCAGTGAGGCCCCAGGGCCCAAGACAGCCCCTCCCCTCCTCCAGGGCACATTCCCAGCAGCCAGCTGGGATGAGCCCCACCCCTCAGTACCTCATCTGCTGCAGCGCCCTGGATGGGTTAGAGCCCATTCGGTCCAGTTTATTAATGAAGGTTAGAAACGGAACGTTGTATCTTTTCATCTGACGGCTGACGGTCATCGTCTGGCACTGAACGCCTCCAACCGCACAGAGAACCAGGATGGCACCATCCAATACTCGCAATGCCCTCTCTACTTCGATCGTGAAGTCCACGTGGCCTAAGGAGACAAAAGTGGCAGGCGATGGTTCAGAAGAGCAGCCAGGGTGCCAGCCCGGCAGGGTCCTCTCAGCTCTTCCTCCCAGGCTCACCGGCCACTTTGCTCACTCACTGAACGGACAGGGTTCGTGACTGTGAGGATCTCTTCGTCACTCCCTACACACCTGCCTCTCTAAGGAGGTCACTGACACCCGCCTCAGTGAATGGCAGGCTTCTTGGTGAGCATGCTCAGCACAGGGCCCGGGCACCACACACACGACCTCACGCTGGGTGTGGGCAGCTCCAGAACAAATCACATAAAGATGGGAGCAGCTAAAGGTCCCAATTTAGTCACTCTGGCTATGAATTAAATGGACACCAAATCCAATTACCCTAGTACTCTGCAATCCATTTTCAATCACAAGGCGACTGTTAGAGGAAGTATTTAAGTGTTGGGACGGGGAGCCCGAGGTGCCAAGGACCCTGTGGTGTCTCGGCATCCTCTCAGTGCCGGGCACAGAACCTAGCACGTTATCTATGAACAACTGCCCATGTGGCTCAGTGGACGACGTCCTGCACTCTTGGGTTTGAATCCTGCCTCCCCCTGTTCGTTAGCTCTGTGACCATGGACAAGTCCTGTGACTTCTCTGAGGACGTCTCTTCATCAATCAAAGGAGGCTCAGACTCTCTGCAGTGCCAAACAACCTGCTTCTCACAGGGCAGAAATCAGGCAAACTCGGAAGCCCTGTGTAAATGCAGCTGGCGTTACTGGAGGATAGCCTCCCAGCTGGAAGGGACCTCCGGTTATCTCACCTGACCTACCGGGGGGCCCAGAGAAGGGGACCAGAGACTGGGAGTGGTCTTTAGTCTTTCTCGGAGCACTCCGTTAGGCCCCAGGGATGGGGAGAGGGGAGGTAAAGATCCTGACAACTTCGCACCGGGTGTGTCTATAATGTTGATGTTCACATCTTTCCACATGGTGTAGGTGGCTGCAGACTGGATAGTGATTCCGCGCTGTCGCTCGAGTTCCATGGAATCCATGACGGCACCAACTCCATCTTTACCTTTCACCTAAAAGCCAAAAGAGAGGCAGACTTACACACATTTGTGCACACCTCAAAAAAGGAAGGATTCCAATGTGACAGGACCCTGACTGAGCGAGCAAACTACAAGGCTTCTAAGAACGAGATTCACCTGAGCCCAAAGCTGCAAAGTCTGACCTATTCCCAAGGTCACGGCAGCCAGGAGCAGTGAAAGAATCGACCTGAGCGCCAAAGCACAAAATGACCGATTCTGACCCGTCCTCCCCTTGGCCGTTCAAAAGGCCACCGAGGGGCAGCAATCGGCTGGCCCGCACGGACACGCTGGCGCTGAGTCTGCTGCAGTTTGCTTACAGATGAAAAAGACTTCACTGCCAGCCTCTATGACATACAAGATGACCCCTCTCTGGGGACATGTGCAACGAAATGCTGAAGTACACAGTCCCACGCATGTCTCAGAATTTTTTTCATCCATGTCATCGAAGACCCAAAATCAACATGACCTTTCTCCTTTGTACTTCCCAAAAACTTAGGCTTTTTACTTTCTTTTTTTTTTTTAAAAAAATTTTTTTTGTTTTTTAATTTCATCAAAATGTAGCTGAACACTGCCAGAGGTAAAAACAAAACAAAACCATGTTTCTATTTTAAAGTGTATTGGGTTTTTTTTTCCTTTTTTCAGTGGAGCCTAGTAAGCCATGATGGAAATGCAGCTGTCAGAGCAGTGACCAGTAGCCCAATGTCTGGAATCTGGGGCCATGGTGCCTCCTACCTCGTGCATCTTTGCTATTCTTCCAGTGTAGTAAAGCACTCGTTCGGTTAATGTTGTTTTCCCGGAATCGATGTGAGCAGAAATGCCAATGTTGCGGATCCTCTCATTAGGAACAACTCCTGAACACCATCGACAGCTCTTCCAGTTCACCTGAAAACACAGGACGGGGTCAGTCCCACTTTCAAAATACAAAGAGGCAATTAGGGTTGGCTACATGGCAGGCCCTCCTCCAGCACAGGATGACAGAGAGCACGTCACTCAGAACAGAGAGAACAGAAAAGCAGGTCCCAGGCCTCAAGGACTGACACACGGCCTCACAGGCAACAGGAGGCAACCGGGCCAGATCCCCAGACTTACCTGGCACCAAGCCGAGGCGAAAGAGAGTGCAGGAAAGCCATCCTCCCATCTGCGGTAGTGTATTCAGTGAGGGAGGATTTTACAAACCCATCACAGGCTGCTTATTCTATCAACATTGAAGCTCTGTAGCTGACTTCCCCTTTCTTTGTGAAGTCAGCCTTCATCAGAATGAAAGCACACACATCTTCGTCTTCATCTCCAAAGACGAGATGATTCCTTCACCCCGCTGCGCCGGGGGCCCACTCCTTGTGGCTTAGTGGTCACGTGTGCCCTGCAGGGTCCAAGCTGTCCCTTGGCCACGCTGTATGTGCTCCTATCATCCTCTCACATGAGCAGCCAGCACGCACTTTTTGAGAGCCTCCTACGTGCCAGGCTCCGTGCTGGATGCTGAGGATACGGGACATAATAACAGGTGCTTACCTCCTGTCAGGGAGGGTAGCAAATACATGGAACTAGATTTATGAGAACATATCTGTAAAATAAAGGCAAGGTCATTTTTGGAGGGAGGTTCTAACCATTTTGGGAGGACTTTCCATGGACGGTGGAGACAGAGCGCTTTGGCAGTATGGAAGAGAGTCGAGGAAAAGGCCCAGAGTGACTTGTATGAGGGAAAGCCAGAAGGCCAGTTTGGCTGAACACAGAATGCTGAGAGGCAGATGATACATAATAAAGCTGTGGAGGCAGGTAAAAGCCTTCAAATGCACAACCGAAGCTTATATTCGGTCTTAGAATCCACAGAATCCATGGGGAGCCACTGCAGTTTACTGAGGACAGAAGAGCAACATGGCCAGACCTGAACTGCCTTTTTTTTTTTGGCTGAGGCAATTGGGGTTAAGTGACTTGCCCAGAGTCACACAGCTAATAAGTATCAAGTGTCTGGTCTGAGGCTGGATTTGAACTCAGGTCCTCCTGACTCCAAGGCCCAGAGCTCTTTCCACTGTGCCACCTAGCTGCCCCTTGAACCGTATTTCAAGAAAATCACTCTGGCAGCCGAGTATAGGACGGACTGGACAGGGAAGGGACTGAAGACTGTGAGGCCACTGCAGGGATCTGAACTGGAGTGGGGTCACTGCCATGGCAGCAAGGTGGCTTCTGAAGCCATTCACTGAGAGCTCCCTCGGACACTTTACCGTCCCCCACAATCTCCTCCTTCCTCCCTGGGTCACATAAAGACATGTGTCTTCTACTCGCCAATGTGAAACCCTCTACATGCACTGTGACCTCTTAAATCCAGCTTCTGACCTCATCACCCCAACCACACTGCTGTCCCCAAAGTGCCCAGTGATCTTGTAGCCGCCACACCCAAGGGCCTTTCCTCAGGCCTCATCCTTCTTCACCTCTCGGAGGCTTCTGACACTGTCGCTCACTCCCCCCCTCTCCTGGTTCTCCTCCCACCTCTCTGACAGCCCCCTTTTAGTCTCCTCTGCTTGACCCCACTCTGGATCACGCCCTCAAACCCTCAGTGTCCCCAGGACCCTGTCCTGGGCCCTCTTCCCTCTACACTACTTCCCTTGGGGGTCACATCAGCTCCCCTTGATTTCATGACCATCTCAGATCTCTGTGGACCTCCAGTCTCACACCTCCAGCTGTCTTCCAGACTTTTCTAACTTGATGTCCCATAGACATCTTCAGCAAATGTGCCCACACCAGAACTCACTTTCTCTTTCCCCCTAAATCCTCCCCACTGCTAACTGCCCTGCTACTGCAGAGGGCAACACCATTTTCCCTGTTCCTCAAGCTCCCAAGCTGGCAGTCACCCCTCGCATCCAAGCGGTGGCTCCCTCTCTACCTCCCTCCAGATCCCTCTCAGGTGTTACCTTCCCACATTAGAATGTAAACTCCTTGAGGGCAGGGACTGATTTTCTTTTTCCTCTTATGAGCATCCCCAGTGCTAAGCAGGGCGGCTGGCACACAGTAAGCCCTTAATTAATGCTTGTTGCTTGACAGACTCCATGACCTTCCAATCCAGCCACACCAGTCCATCCCCGCCAGGTGTCCTCCCCCAGCTTCCAAAGGAGGCCTTTCCCAGGCTCTCCCCACTCTCTGCTCCTGGTCTTCCCTTCCCTTGGCCCAGTGAGTTGAGATCATGTTCACCATCTCCCCTCCCCTCATCAGAATGAGAGCTCCCTAAGGCAGGGATGGGGCTTTGCCTTTCCCAGGAGCTATCACCTGGCATGCGGGGACACTGAGTTAGCCGTAGAGAGAAATGCTTGTTGACTGAATAGGTTGAGTATGTTTTAGATCTGGAAGCCCCGCCCAGCCTCACTCACCTGTGGGAAATACCACCTCCTGGATGTGAAAGGATCAGTGGAGACTATCCTGCCTGTGTCGGGCCGTGAGAGGAGGCTGAGGGCAAGCTTCTGCCAAATGTCACAAGTTCAAAACTACACACAAAAACTGCATTCACTGCTTCCCAGAGTTTTCTGGGTACAAAGCACCAGCTGATGCTTCACCATTATTTACTTTGCCATTCACAAAGCGGTACTGACAGCTTTAAGGCAGCCCAAGAAAGGGGGGGGGAGGCGGTTCCCTAAGTAAAAACACTACACGAAATGGGGTTTCCTTTATTCCTTTGGACAAGAAATGCATTTTTACATCACGTAGGCCCAAGATGTCTTACAAATCATCTTCCAAAAGGCTGCACCACAGATGGGCTGATGGGCACAGCCAGGGAACAGGGGAATCCCATGGACTCAAAGTTCGCCCTGGCCGACGGCTCCCCCAGCCCCAGAAACCAAGCCAGCCAGTGGACTGGACAGGCCTGTGGCCATCTTGTCTGCCGACCCTCGGAAAAAAAAACAGAAGAGGGTCTATCTCTCTCTCTCTCTCCTGCCTTCCTCCCACTCTCTTCTTCCACCCCAAACCTGGAGGTGAAGAGAAGAGAGAAAGGGCAGAGGAGGCGGCAACGGGGATCTGGTGGAGCACAGCCCCTACCCCCACCCTCATACGGGCACGGGGGACGAGAAGAGGAGGGAATGAACGACAAATCTTCATAGGGCGCAGGGGAAAGAGCATCGAATCCCAGGCCAAATCCAGCCTCAGACACTCACTGGCTGCGCGATCCTTGGCAAGTCATCGGACCGCCGTCTGCCTCAGTTTCCCCAAAGTTAAAAAAAGGGATAACAACAGCACCGGCGTCCCAGGATTACTGTGAGGATCGAACGAGAGAATTATGGCAAAGCGCCTGGCAAACAGTAGATGCTATTTGAATGCTACAGCTGTTGTTATTCTTTAACGTTTCCAAAGCACTTCACACACATCAGTCTCAACGACCCTGCGAGATGGGCACTTATAAAAGGCAGTCCTTACAGGGCTCCACTCTCGTGGCGCCACACTAGTGTCACAGCCAAGGCTCACGCGGCTCTTCAGTGCCAGCCGGCCCGCGTGTCCAGCTTTACCGATGCCCTCAGACGGCACGCTGACGGCGGGCACTTGCCCTGCGCTCCGTTAACAACAACAAGGGTTAACCTTGACACGAAACCGTCCTTGCCAGCGCTCGGCCGGCAAGCACGACGTGCTTCCCTAACCACGGGGATTTGTTTTCCACTCGTGTCCGCCTCTTCGTGACCCCACGCGCGGTGTTCTTGGCAGAGACGCCTTCCCCAGCTCGCTCTGCAGATGAGGAAACTGAGGCAGACGGGGTGCAGCTGGCACCCGCGGGGTGCTCCGTCGCCGACACCGGCCCCGAGCTTCAACGGCCACGTTTACACGGCGCTCCAATACCGCCTCTCTGAAGCGCTTTCGGGCTTGCAGAGCGCTTTACACACGCCGGCTCACGCGTTATTCACAACAACGCGGGCGGGAGGTTCCAGCGTTAACTCCCGTCTTACGGATGGGGAAACTGAGGCCCAGGGAGGTTCGGGGGCGCGGCCGGCGAGTGCCACGCCCCCTCCGCCGTCTACACCGGGGCATATCCCCCCTCCCCACCTCCCCCAGCCCAAAGCCGGGTAGAGACCGGCCCGAGGTGGGCTGGAGAGATTTGAACCCAGGCCGCCGGAGGTCGGGGGACCCTCTCCCTCCCCCCCACCCCCGGCCCCACGTGGGGCGGGGGCGGGGCAGCGCTGCCGAAGGTCACCTCTCCCCGTACCTGCCTCCCGGGCCGAGGCCCGCGCCCGCCCAGCACCGCCCGCACTCGGAGCAGCCACATCGCGGGACGGACGGACGGACTGACGGACGGACCCCTGGACAGACGGCGGCGTCTGGGCAGCTCCACACGCAGGCGCAGCACGAGCCGCTCAAAGTCGCGCCGGACTCCGGCCGCTCACTTCCGGACCGGCGAGGCCGGACTCGACCACTTCCGGAGCAAAGGGCAGTAAAGAGGCGGGGGCGGCACGGAGGCCTTGTAAGGGAGCTCGGGGCTCCGAGCGGCGTCGCGCCCCCTGCTGGACGGGAGGAGCGCTGCAGGGCTGCCCCGCGGGGACAGCCGGCGTCCGGGGCTGGCCCACAGGAGCGCTTGACTGAGCTTGCTTCAAACGTGCAACTTCAGAGATTTTCCAAGGGTGCACGAAAGGGTGCATCCCGGGAGACAGCTGGAGTCAGCCTGCCCCCCACGGAGAGAGGGACCAGCCCGCTTCCCCATCCCCTCCCCTTCCCACCTCCATCACCTCCTCTTACAGTGCCCATTCCCTCGCCACTCAGCATTGATTGGGCACCTACTGTGTGCCGGGCACCGTGCTAAGCGCTGGGGAGACAAAAAGAGGCAGTCCCCGCCTTCAAGGAGCTTACAGTCTAGCGGGGGGGGGCAGCATGCAAATAAACGTATAGGAAGCAAGCTGTGTATGGATAAATCGGAGCTGATTGATGGAGAAAAGGCCCCAGAACTGAGAGGGGAGGGAGAAGGTTAGTGCAGTGTGGTGGAAAGGGAAGTGTGCTGTTCCTGCAAGTTAGGAGGGGCCTGGTTTTCAAAATTTACTAATTAAAAGCTAGAGATAAAGTTTGCAAATTACTCTACAAATATCCCATTTTACCCATGGAATGACCTTAGAAGGCAGATGTTATGACTATCACCTCCATTTTTATGGCTGGGGAAACTGAGGCATGGAGAGATCAAATGACTTAGCTAAGGTCTGACAGCCGATTGAAACGCAGTCTTCCTGCTTCTAGGTCCAGCACTCTGTTCACTGGGCCACTTTATATGCTTATGTATAGATTATTAATAAGTAAGCCTGTTTCCTCATCTGTAAAATGGGGATAACATTTTGCGCCTGCACCACATAGTTGTTGTCAGAATCCATTGAAACAACACACAAGATGCTTTGCAAATCTTAAGGTGATGTGTAAATATCACTATTATTAAAAAGAAGGAAACTGAGGCAGGGGAGGAAAGTGAGTCCAGTTCAGAGTCACAGAGAGTTAGTGACACAGCTGGACCCAAATCCAGGTCTCCTGAGCCCCAGGATAGCCTGAATCCCTTGCTGAGCCATCTTCAAGGTGCCTTCAAATCCTGATATATTATGATTCCATGGTTATTTTAGGAACGGTGGCTAAATGTCAGAGCCCGAGAACCTGTGGGAGCTCTGCTTCTCATGCCCTCTGGCTTGTGACTGACTCTGGGGTTCTTGGGCCAGTTTCAGCACTGGACACTTGTGGGCAAGAGTACCTCCAGCAGCACTTGCCCAGTGAGGTCCCCAGAGAAACTCAGACGCTATATTCAGCCTTCGGTGGAGGACGCTTAGCTATTCCATGGGTCATCACGGGTTTAGATTATGCTTTTCCGCTTAGAAATGTTTTCTTTACACCAACCTCAAATCTGCATCTTTACATCTTCCCCACATTGTCCCCAGCTCTGTCCTAAACAATCTAATCTTTTCTCCACTTGATAGCTCTTCACTCAAATCCAGTTTAGGAGGAAGTCAAGACGTCACCCTGTGATGTCACTGGTCCCTTGAAATGTAGGAGAAACAACAGTCCTTCACACACTTGAAAGCCACTGTCATCCTCCACCCCTCCCCTGCCGCCAAGTCTTCTGATTCCCACTTCCTTTGGCTGATTCTGGATATAAGCCTCTCTCCGATGCTAGGGAAAGGCTTGCTTCTATGAGGTAATTACAAGTCTGCAGGCTTCAGAAGGAATCAAATTAGGACGGGCTGTTTCAGACCCAAGTCACCGGTCTTATTTTTCCATGAAAGTACTTGCAGTCTTTGGGAGATGAGGATGTCAGATAGATATACTCACAAAGGGATACAACCTCAGAGTGTACCACAGACCACCTGGACAAAACAGATGAAGAGTCTGGGAAACAGATCACAAGCCTGGCACAAGGTAATCCTTATAGTAGTGCAGAGGAACTTCAATTAGCCAGACATTTACTGTAGCTCTCTGCAAAAAGCAGAGCAGCTGGTGACCTTTTAGTCCTAATGATAATTTCATCCTTCCAAAGGGCGAGCTGATAAGAGGAAATTCTTTGCTGGGTCTGATTCTCACCAACAGAATGGAACTGATTGCTAGGGTGCAAGTGATGGGAGGAAAGCATCTCTCCCTCCTCGTTGGTGGTTTTAAAGAGAGGAAAACTGTCCAGAGTCTGACAACCATGGACTTTCTGTGAACAGATCTCAAAGGGTTCAGAGGAGGGATGGGTAGGAAGGGCACATAAAACCAATTCTACAGGGGAAGTCAACAGAAGGATGTTTCTGCTCTCAAGTATGAAATTCTGAAGACACTAAAAGAAAGAATTCCAATGATTAGGAAGGAAAAATAGGAGTTAGTTGAAGATACCCATGTGGATACACAGAAAACTCACCCACTGATTTCTAGAGGGAGATTTCCTCAACAGCATGATTCTGTTTTTTCCTTTGTTCCCTTTTACAAAAGGCAATTTTAATACTCATTTTTATAAAATTTTGAGTCCCAGCTTTTTCTCCATCCCTTTTCTCCCCTCTTCCTAAAATGGTAAAGAATTCAATATTGGTTATATATGTGCAATCATGCAAAACATATTTCCATATCAGTCAAGTGAAAGAAGAAACAGACCAAAAGGGAAAAAAACACAGAAAACAAAGTGAAAATAGTATTCTTCAATTTGCATTCAGACTCCATCAGTTCTTTCTCTGGATGTGGATAGCATTTTCCATCATGAATGCTTTGTAATTGTCTTAGATCATTGTATTGCTGAGAAGAACTAAGTCATTCATAGTTGCTCATCACACAATGTTGTCGTTACTGTGTATAATGTGCTCCTGGCTCCGCTCACTTCACTTTTCATCAGTTCATGTAAGTCTTTCCAGGGTTTTCTGAAATCTGCCTGCTCATCATTTCTTATTGCATAATAGTATTCCATTTACATTCATATACCACAGCTTGTTCAGCCAACAGCATGATTCTTGCAGAAGGAAAGTTACTAACATGACCCCAGTAGCTGAAGAACTACAGCCATGTTAGGAGGGCAAAGAGATGACCTTTTCAACCCTCCTCGCTATTTCTGAACTCGAATACGTCCACAAACATGAAGATCCACAGACCTGTAAGACCTTACACTATTCCTCTGTACATAGCCAGATGAGAGGGGCTAAGGACACTGGAGAAATGTTTGTTTGGGGCACCATGATGTCCCACTGGACCAGAAGAGGTATGCCCTCTACATCGTCTTTGGAAAGGAATCATCTGGTCTATTTCAAAGTTTCTACTCAATTCTAGCCTTTTCTTCGAGGACAAAGTTCTCTATTTCATTAAATATCTATTTCTTCCTCTATAGGAATAGACAGTCAATTGTCAACTTCTGTGGGGGTAAAATTCCTAGAAAATGGCACAAAAGCACAAAATGTGAATGTTGATATATTGAACCTATGAGAATATAGGAGGTTAGGTTCCTACAACCACCCAAAACTGTGATCTTTCACTAGAGATTGCTAAAAATACAGTTTTCTGCATGCATTTCTTTATAACAAAACATTCATTCTGATAATATGTACTTTTCCTAAAACAGTAACCATAAAATCACCCATAAGATGCAATATATGAAGTAAAACTGGTAACATGGAAAACATTTTTTCTTGCTAGTAATTCCCTAGAATTCTATGACCTTTGGTGCTAACACTGTAATAAACACAAAAACACTGATTTCAGGCAATATTCACTTTTCATAAAACACGAAATCCACAGTACTGTAAATACTTTCTTCCTTTTTGTGGCCACACCAAATAGTCAGTCGGTTAATATCAAACTTGCAGCCCACAGTGGATGCAGACATTACAGCAGGAAGTTTTTCTAACACCTTTGTTTTCTCACCAAGAGCCATCACTGACTTTGCACACTTGGACTTAGAGCCCCAAGGACTTGTACGATGCTACAACACCAAAACTTGAGTTTTAAAGGCAAACAATGAAAATATGCAACAAATGCACGAGGAACTCTTTACGACAGCAAGATAAACAATAGGTTACCAGCAGCTCCACAAACCTGTCCACATCACGCCTCTCCTCTACTGGGCATAGCTGCAGATGTGCATGGGTGCTAACACAAAAGTGAAAATGAGGCTACTAACCAAATCATAGGAATGCTTCAGAAACTTCAACTGGGGAATGTTGAGCATTGACTGTCCTCAGTTTTCCTGGGTAAGCTATTCTTGGCTTAAGTCTCTATCTTTTGCCTTTCTCCGCTTTCCAAGGCGGAAGCTGCTAAATTGTGTGTGATCTGCAGCTGCCTGTGATTCCTTGTACTTGAATCCTTTCTTACTGTCGCTTGCAGCATTTTTCTCGACCTGGAATCTCTAGGTTTTGGCTAAGGTGTTACTGGGAGTTTTCTTTTTGGGATTTCTTTTAAGAGATGACCAGTATATTCTTTCTAGTTTTAATTTGCCCTCTGGTTCTAAGACACTGGGGCAATTTTCTTTCTGCTGCCCTGCCCGGTTTCAATTCCATCAAATGGGATGCCCCCTTGCTGGGTCCCCCTCTAATGTCCTGTAACCCCCTCCAGCTTTCCTGCCTCCTTTTATGTGTCACATTGAAGGCGGGGACTGGTCTTTTTATTAATTGTATCCCCAGCACTTAACACAGTGTTTGGAACTTTGCAGGTGCTTAACGAATGTTTATTGGATTGGCTTGGATTTAGAACCCCCTTTTTCTTCCGGTTTTGTGTCTTGGCCATTCCCGTCACCATAATAGAGCTTTGTGGTAGGATTATTGTTTTTTATTCATTTTTTTCAATTAACTTCCTAAATTTGTTATTTGTGATAGGGCCAGGCTCTGAGCACTTATGGAAAGAATGTCTGGGATGTGCTCAGTCGTTTGTTCTTTTGGGTCACCCGGGCGGTTTCTCCTTGTGCTGAGTACTGAATTCAAGGATCTCAGGGGACAGATCAGGTTAGGAATCCACAAGCTTTCATGGTGCCAGGGCCAAGTGTCCTCACTGCCTTCCTGGTCTGAGCTCCCACGAGGGTTTGTATCAGACAACACAACTGTGAGCTCACCGCAGTGGAGTTCCAGTAGATGGCTACCGGCTAGCTAGGAGACTCTGTAGGCTCCCTGCCCTTTTATTCAGACGGCAGGGCTTGGGGTTGGATCTGAGACCCTGCCTCTGCTCTTGGGGGCAGAGCCACACAGAGGACTTCTCACTCCCACTCCTGGGGCAGTACTCAGCCTCAGCCGCTCTCTGAACCCTCCTTGCCCTGACCCACCATCCCTAGGGGACGTCCCTTCCTCAGGCCACGCTGAATCTGAGACCCAGCTGATTTCCCAGTCCCCCTAGCTGCTAATGCCTTCCACCTTGAGAGTCCCATCAACTTTAAATATACCATTTGTCCCACTGATTGACTAGACTGTGAGCTCCTTGAGGGTGGACTTCTTGTCTTTGTTTAGCTAGTGCTTAGCACGGTACCCAGCACTTTGCTTGTAGACTGACTAATCTAGTAGCCAGACCTGAACACAGCACACCACGTACAGATTGCTCAGGGCAGAATACAATCCTGGAGCTGTCACAGCCCTCTCTATGGGCACTATACTTCCACTAATGTCATTAAATACTATGTAGCGCAGCGTTTTGCATTCAGGAGGAGCTTAATAAGTGCTTGTTGAGTTGAACTGAATGTCACCTTGTTGACCCACATTGGGTATTTTTCCTACTAAAACCTGTGGAGCTTTGGTTGCCACAGAACTCATTATTCCCACACGCTTTTCCACCCAGCCCTGCACACGAGCGCAAGTGGGGGACCTAATTTTACATTCCTCTACATTACACGCTGCCCTGTCAGACTCGACCCATCATTCTAGCACACAGGTTCAGCGGGAGGTACACATCTCTAAATGCTGTCTTGGGTGATTACTCCTGCCATCAGGGGAAATCCGGTGGGTGGAAGAGTGGAACAGTTACCAAGATCTCTCTCATTCCTCCCACAAGAAATCTCCCGTTTGTGGCTGTGATGTTGCCCGTCTTGAACGAGGGGGCTGCTCATGGCAGGAACCAAGGCCAAAGAACTTCTTTTATGGGACCTTAATCCATTTCCCCTCCCCAGCCTGGCTCCCCAAAAACCTGACGCATATTACCCGGTGGACTTAGCAAGGCTGATAGTCCTGGGAGATTTCTCTGTTGTATCCCTCCAAGTAATGGGACTTTTAACACTGCTGGCAGTGCCTTTGTATACCCAGGATGTCCTACATAACCCTTCCTCATTTCCACCCCTTGGAATCATGAGCTTTAACTGAGGCTCAGCTGGAAGGCTATGAAATAAGGTCTTCCATGACCCTCCCCCCTCCCCCCAATTGGATTTCCTTTATGAATTTACAGTACAACTTTAGTAACAGAAATCACTAAAATATTAATAAAATAGTGAATCTAGAGTTTTAGAACGATTAAAGTCCTACAGGACATGGTTGATGCCCTAATGGTAAAATCAGTAATATTTCTTTTAGCTAGAAATGTTAAGGGTAAGGTCAAAGCTAGCCCTCTGAACAAACTCTATGTAAATAACCATTTTAGCACATATTGGGGCTACTTGAAGGAAGCTATGACTGTGTGTCACTGTGACTAGTCCTCGTACTTGTTCATTGAGCTCATTCAAGTCCACACACACACACACACACACACACACACACACACCCTTGCCCCCTCCCCTCGAGTCTGGTTATGGGTAAACATTGCCTGCACAAATGATGTTTGACTGAGGGACACTGGTGCTGGCTAGGCAGGTTTTGTTCAGAGTATAGAGATGACATTTGATACCTTTAAAAACTCCTGAGTAACTAGTGACAAGGGAGGAGGGGAAAGAAAGCAATTCTGGTTCCTAAGGAGGACAGAGCTGGTCTTCATGTAAAGGAAAAATGTGAATCATGAAACCAAACCGCTTCCTTCTGGAATGACCACAAAGCTTTGTCTCTTAACCCGTACTTCTGAATCCACCTGGCTCTACCTGGGGAAAGGGCAATGCCATCTGAATCCCACTGTGGGACTTCTGCGTGTCAAGGTCAAGAATCACAGAGCTAAAGGAGTGCAGGACCAAGAGGACAACCAACGTTTGTAGCCACGGTTATACCAGGGTATCTCCTTTTATAACAGGAAGAGGAAAATCTTCAAGGTAGCAGGCAACCTCAGCCTGCAAGGGTGTCCGAGTTCAAGCTGTCTGGGAAAAAAAGGGCACAATCCTGCACTCATCAATACCCCTTGGGTTCGGCCAGGAAGCAGCCACCACACACTCGGTACTTGTGGCATAGAAGCTCCTTGAGGGGCTCAAATAGAATGGTGCGAAGTAAATGAAGGGAAGCATCAAACTGGCTGGCTGAAAGCTACAGACAACCTCTTCTCCGGATCCTTTATCCTAAGGCCAACACGAAGCTGCTCAGTTTTTCAAGAGGTCTAGGACTCCAGGACCACTAGTGAAGGTGTTTACATTCCAAGCACAGAATGCCACCAAAGTTTCTTTCCGTGTGTGTGTGTGTGTGTGTGTGTGTGTGTGTGTGTGTGTGTGTGTGTGTACCATCTGAGTAAGAAAAGTATCCCCTAATCCAAATTTGGGTTGCAAATTGAACAAATTATCAGGAAAATGTTTGCTATCTACACATACAGAATTAATTGCTGAGTCTCACAGCTATGGGAAATGGAGGAGTATCCTTCCCTGACTTACAATTGTGTGGCACATGGAGAAAAATCATTTTTGCCCTATGAAACAAAGAGTACACCCTAACGGAATGGGCTAAATTCACCTTTGGACGTGTACAACAACTTAGGTTACCGAGACAGTATACCAAATCGGGAGAAACATAGCAGGAGGAAGACTTTCTAACGATTTTCGTTAACAAATGGCAAAATGCTTTCAGGAGTAAAATGAAGTAACATGTAAAACATTAAACTTGATATTTGTATGGGATTTGTAGCTTGATGATTTCAAAATGTGGAAATGCCCACCAGACTGCCGACCACATAAGACAGCTAAAAACAGATGACTGCAGCATACGGAGGGCAGGTCTCACCCCCTACTCCCCCATCCCTGTCATTGTCACTATGAGAAGCATAGCGGTTATTTACCTTGAGGACCCCTGTTTCTAACCCTAATACCAAGACAGTAAATGAGGCTGAATGCTGCTTCTGCCCCTCCACAGAAAAGCATTCCCAGTGTTTCTGAAGAAATAACAAACATGTGTTGGGAGGGGGAGGGGGGGGTTAAGGAAATCCTTGAGTTTTATAAGAAAAAAAGAGATCTGTATCTGTAATCTCTAGTGTAGAACTTATGTTTCATGTGGTATAAATTAAAGAGGGCACAGAAGTATAATAATCCAGCACCTCTATGCATCTTATAGCTGATGATTTTCAGACAATTTATTAGTCAAGTTTTTAGAATGTCAACCATGTTTACTTTCTATATGTTACAAAATGGCGGTGGTGGTGGTGGGGTCTATCTAGTGAGAAATATGTACTCACGGGTTACAATCTGAAAGAGGAAAACTCCTGCTCTGTGGGACAATCTAACATAACAGCTTAAGGAGAACAAGAAAAAGGTCTATGTGGAATTGATGACACAAACAAATGAGGCCTTATAATATGTCAACCCATGCCCACTCACAATCAGAGACATATACTACTTCTCTTGAAGAATCAACTACTTGACTATGATCACATCAAGACCGAGAACTATCAAGAAAGTGACTACAATGAAAGCGAACAATGGTCCTCAGGTCAGGGGCAGGCTACCGACGTCATGCCACTAGTCTGCGTTCAACCAAAGCGCTATCAAACAACTCCAGGACTGACAGCCACTGAAAAAAACACTGTATTTCAAAAGACCTTATTTTCATATAAATTTTATTTGTAGATCATAAAACCAGACACATTAGCCAAACCTGCTTAACACGGCCATAGGAAAGTTAGAAAAGCAAAACTAGCATTTTCTATCTTTAATGTTTTTTAGAGGATGCATGCTTTTGCGCAAACAAACTTAAAAGTGCTTTTCGTGTCAACAATTTCCCTTCATTGGTGAAAACTGGGCACTTATCTTATGTAGCTACCGCGGAGCAAGAGCCCCCAAACCCTGGTCGGGGGTAATAAAGCCAGGCAGATAATGAGGAGGAACAAGACTGGTCTTGTACTAGACAGCACCATCCCCTTTGTTCAGTCAAAATGAACAAAATGAAAACTCAGATCAAATGCACAGAAATTTATTTTTTGCTGGATTTGACAGATGATCCCTTTATATGGAGATTTTCCTCAAAAGCCCTTGGTCTTCTCTGGCTTTCAATGGATGATCTTTGGCGAGGTCTCTCCCTGGGTAATACAGACACACACAGAGAAGCAGATGTGTTACTACAGCCCTGAAATGGTGCCATCCTTAGTAAGTCAACCCAAGTGTCACAGAATCCACCATGACATCATTCTTTATCTTTTAACAGCCTTAATTTAGCTTTGGACATTCTGACCCGAGTTTGTGTCACTCCACATTAAATCAGAAGAAGCAGTCGCTGTTTTAAAAGAGTGCACTGACACCTTACCACTCTATAATTGCCCTGAGCACCTTTCAGTCCCTGCTCTTTGTTTTTGTCTTGCAAAGGGCCACTATTAGGATTTCAGCTTCACACTTCATCCAAAAAGTCAGCACCTTCTGCTGGTGTTCCAGAATCTCCCATGAAAGGTCTACATTGCTACGTCTTAGTCACTGAGATTTTCAAAGCAGGCCAGGGACACTGCCGTCCTACTTAGCAATAGGGTGTATGTGTTCAAGTGTTTCCACTGAAAACATCCCTATTTTAAAACACTGGTGACCTCACCGTGCAGAGCTTTCTCCACCAACCTCATCTCCACCCACCCCCATTAAGGAGAATCTTCACAAATTGCTATGACCAAAAAAGAGGGCTCTCCGTCACCTGGGGGCCAGCCTTCTGGTGACAGTCTGCCTTCAGCTGCTAGGAAGGGAAACTAAGCCCTTAAATAGCTGCTTAAAAAGGTGCTAGCATAGGAGACCCGCGGCCAGTGAAGGCTGTTCTTTACTTTGTGGCCTTCTGCTGGATCCAGCGATGGTTCTGTGAAGCCTTCCACCTTCTGCAGCATTCCTCCCAACTCCTACAGCCTAAAACAGATTTCTGTGTAAGGCCTGGTGCGGCTTCCCAGAGTCGGAGCGTAAATTCACAAGGACTAGGCGTTCTCTTTCCGTTCTTTTTGTTTTTAAAACCAAGTCGAAGTGTAAGGTCTAGTCCTTGGTAAAAATAGGTTTAAAAATTAAAGAAAGAAAAAAGATACCCAAAATGTGGCATAAAATGGGACATCACACCTATGTCTCCTTTTCGTTTTGTCCTCAAAGTGATTCCAAATAATTTAAAAAAATTTAGAATCCAATATTGAAAGCTTTCCCTCTTCCTTCTCCCCATCCCTTCTCCACACGGGACTCTTTTCCCCTCTGTCCTACACCGTGAGAGAAGAGCATGCAGATGCAAATCCAAACAGATTCAGGAGTTCAGCAACTACATGAGTGCAGCATTTTTCATCAGCAACTTTGTCTTATTTCCACACCCTGAAGCACAAAATAGCATATACTCTTTACTTCTTTGAGACATTCAGTCAGTCAGTCAGTAAACATTTATTAAGTACCTATTAGTGCCACACACTGCTAAGCACACTGACAGCCAGTATCATCTAATTCTAAGCCACAAATTGTTATTCAAAGCATGCGCTCTTGCACGTGCGTGCGCACACACACACAGACATCCACCAACACAGGCCTAGCATGGGTACTGCAGCCTGTCACAACAGCCTCACATCTCTGCCACAGCATAAGCACTGTCTATGTTAAAGAGACATGTGATGCAGTCAGATTGGACATTGTTTGTTACCTTCTAGAAATGTCTTCATAGTTTACTGAACTGTCAGAGTGACCATTTCTCAATCTGGAGCTTTCCAAGTTTCTCTTTCCTGACTCAATGAGCTTGAGAATCTGGTTCTGCCATTCATCGTTGAAGTCACGGGCATCAGCTTTAGGAGACACAGGACAGACATGGTCAGGCCTCCAGGGGAGGGACACCTGCCACTGATCCTAGGCTGGCTCTGACCTCTCCTTCCTGCTGCACTCCCTAGGAGGGGCCTTAGCATTTAGGTGTGGTCCTTCTTTCCACTGCGCCCTCATTAAGATGTTATCCCTCTTCCTTAAATGTCCTTTTTATGTCTTAAATGTGTAGGGGAAAGGTGCCTATTTACACGTCACATCAGTTGATACCAGATGCTGAAAGGAATGTCCTACCACGTTGTGGCTTCCATCTGAGGGAAGCAACTGGGCACAGTCATTCAACTACTAAAATCATTATACTCTATTACTTCTCCTTACCAGAAATTTCATTTTCTAGAATCCCAATATTTATCTCTACTTTGACTTAAGATTTGGTTTCTGATTCAAAGTCTACCCAGAGAGAGCACGGACGACTGACTGTCTTGAAACTGAACCGTTAATAATGAATATCTATGTGACAAATCTAAAAACAGAAAATACCAATTTTGCACAGTATCCTGAAACGCCCCCCAAAATTACACTTCCACTCTCATTAAGAACTAATGATGGAGTAGATTCCGGGAAGCCGGCACAGGAGGTCTGAAGACTTCAGGCTGTCCAAATTTCCTCCACAAAAAAAGCTGGAACATCACTTCAGAGTGATTGTAGAGCAGCAGAAATGAACAAGGTGGGGGGTAAAGCAGATTTCCTCCTAAGACAACCTAAGCCACCTCCCAGGGTAGAGGTCTGGCCTGAGGGAAGTGCAAACATCTCCAGCCCCAGTCTGTGGAACCAACAAACAGCCTCAGCCTCTGGAACTTTCACCTCCAGGACAGGGTGGGGGTCGGAGGGCCGAGCAGGAGAAGGCCCGACTAGATGCATCCCAGGCTGAGGCCGCATACAGCACATGCCCAGTGAGGGCTAGCAGAGAGGCGGGTACCCTGTTGACTGCGGGCACTTTCAGCAAAGCAGTGTCCCTGGTTTCAGTTTCAGGGCAGAAAGGACAGTTGAAGTTCGAGGCCCCCAGAGGGACCAGAAGAAGCAAAAGCATCTGTGGGACAGCGTGGCGGCCCTGGCTGTGGCCTCGGGGTAGAGAGGAGAGTCCAAGGTTGGACACCCCCCCCCTCGCCCCCCAACAAAGCTCAGAAAATAACAGTACGAAGGACCTGAGGCTTGGGGCATCACTCCCCACACCTTGGTACTGGAACTTGATTATAATAATAGCTGCTAAAAATAAAAATAAAAATGAGCAAGCAAAGGAGAAAGAACCCAACCATAGACAGCTACTATGGGGATAGAGAAGATGTGGGTTCATATTCAGAGGAAGATAGCAGAGCTAAAAAAGCAATCCTTTTTTCAATGAGAAACATCAGAAGGGCCATAAGTTCAAAAGGAGTTCTTGGAAGAACTTAAAAAGAACTTTAAAAATGAATTAAGAGAGGTTGAGGAAAAATTAGGGAAAAAATAAAAGCAATCCAAGAAAATTATGAAGAGAAAGTCAACCAACTGGAAAAAGAGAATCAAAAACTTGAAGAGGAAAATCATTCTTTGAAAACTAGAATTAGGCAAGGGGAAGCGAATGATGTCATAAGACACCAAGAAATAACAAAACAAAATCTAAAGAATGAAAAAATAGAAGAGAATGTGAAACATCTCATCAGAAAAGCTGATCTGGAGAACAGACAGAGGAGAGACAACGTTAAGAACAGCTGGACTACCTGAAAGTTACGATAAAAAAAAAGAATCTGGATACAGTACTACAAGAAATCAACAAGGAAAACTGCCCTGAAATTCTAGAACAAGAAGGTGAAGCAGAAATGGAAGGAAAAAATCCACCAATCACCACCTCAAAGAGATTCCAGGAGGAAAACTTACAGGAATATCACAGCCAAGCTTCAAAGCTCCCAGGTCAAAGAGAAAATATTGCAAACAACAAGAAAAAGATGACGTGAACATCAAGGAGCTATACACTCAGGATTACACAAGATCCAGCAGTTTTTATGTTGAAGGACTGTAGGTCTTGGAACACGATATTTTACAGAGCAAAAGAGCAGGGTTTATGACCAAAGCTAATTTACCCAGCAAAGGTAAGTATATAATCCTGAATGAAAAAAATGGACATTTAAAACAAATTGAAAGACTTTCAGGTATCTGTGACAAAAAGAGCAGAACTTAATGGAAAATGTGACATACAAGATCCAGGAGAAATATAAGGTAAACATTAAAGACCAGTCATAAGGGACTCAATAAAGTAAAATTATTTACTTCTTTTTTTTTGGGGGGGGGGCTAGGCAATGGGGTTAAGTGACTTGCCCAGGGTCACACAGCTAGAAAGTGTTTGTGTCTGAGGCCAGATTTGAACTCAGGTCCTCCTGACTCCAGGGCCAGTGTTCTATCCACTGTGCCACCTAGCGGCCCCCTATTTACTTCTTATAAATAAAAAGGCTAACAGTACTCTTTTGACTGTCATCATTATTTGGGTAGTTTGAAACAAAGGCTTGGGTTGAGATGTATAAGATGGAGTGATTCTAAAAAATCAAACTGCGTAGGGAGAGATAAAAAGGAGTAATTATCTCATACAAATGAGGCATGAAAGAAAGAACTGACACAGAAGGAGCAGGTGGAGGTGGAGACCTGGTAGTGCCGGAACCATACATGCTTTCATCAGAAATGGGTCAAAGAGAGAACAACATTTACAGCTAGAAGGGTAGAAAAGCCTTCTAAACTTAGAAAGAAATAAGAAAGAGGACAGGATAAGGGAGGGACTTTTAGAAGGGTGTGTGGACTAAGAATTAGGAGGGAGAGGGGATAAGGCAGAAACTCTTAGAAAGACGGGTAGATTAAGATAGAGGGTTAGGGGAGAGGTGTAGAGATTGAGAAACAGAAGGGAAAGGTAGAAGGCAGAAGTAAATTAGATGAGTGAGGTGGGATAGGGTAAATAGAGTGAGAAGAACAGTGAGGAAAAACAGGATGGAGGGAAATACACAACAAGTAATCATAGCTTAGAATGTGAATGGGGTGAATTTACCCATAAAATGGAAACAGATAACAGAATGGATTAAAAATCTGAATTCAACAATGTCACTTTCAGGAAACAATAAAAATGAGAGTTACATAGAGAGGTAAAATAAAGGCTGTAGTAGAATTTATTATGTAAAAAATGCAGAGGTAGTAATCATGATCTCAAAATTAAAGCTAATTAAAAGGGAAAAACAGAGAAATCATACTATGTGTATATACTGATATCTATCATTCTAGTTAATACTAACATGCTCATATTATTCAATACTGCTTAGTTCTCATTTCTCAAATGATAAATGGCCAAGGTATATGAATGGGCAGTTTTTCGATGAAGAAATCAAAATTACACTCATATGAATAAATGCTCTAAGTCATTATTGATTAGAGAAATACAAATTAGAACAACTTTGAGATACCATCTTATACCTATGAGATTGGCTAACATGACAGAGGCCCTTGCTGTGTGTACATGATTGTGATGGAATACTACTGTGATATAAGAAATGAGGAGATGGTTGATTTAGAAAAACAGGGAAAGATTTAGACCTATGAAAGAAAATGCTATCTACCTCCAGAGAAAGAAATGACAAATAGAAATACGCATTGCATGGTCTTACATCTATGTATATGTGTGTCTATGTTTATAGATATGTATGTACATGCATATAGATTTGCATTTGATTGTAGCCTTCTGGGTGGGTGGGTGGGTGGAATAAAGTAAAAAGTACATGGCAGAGAATAATAAGGAATCTAGAAGGAAGCACAGAAAAGCTGGGTGGGTAGCTTTGAAAACAACGTCTAGTAATCCTTTATACTGAATCTTCTCTTGTGTTCTGCTGAGTACGTGGAAAGGTTTTTTTTTTCCTTTTCTCATTTTGTATTCAGTTTAAAATAAATAAAATTTTTAAAAAATTAATGATAATTTCTCCCCCCTCTTTCTAGTGTTGTTGTATGGAAACGCTTTATGAAATTTAAAGTGTCACGTAAACGTTCAACCCCTTATTGAGGATGTGAAGGATTCCATCTCCTGAGTGTAAAAGAAGTCACGTATGTTGAAGTGCACAGCACGTATTCTGACAGACAGTATGTCTGCTGGGATTGTCTGTCTGACAAGGGGCAGGTCTAGAAATGGCTGATACGCAAGGTATAGGCGCCTCCTGCAGGCCAGCTCCACTTACATTCACGCATGTTGATGAACTCTTGGTTCAACTCCTGGTCGCCAGTTTTGTTGTTTTTTAGCCCTTTTATGACATGAGCGCGGTCATAAATGTGATGACCCACAGCCATCTTCTCGATTCCACTGTCAGAATCTTTCAATGATTTCCTGGTTTCCTTAATCTAAATAATTAGAGAAAATAACAAATTAAAGCCCAATTTACTGATGACTGTTACGTTCTCTTTGACAGCAGACTCTTTGACAGCAGACTGACTAGGGGAGAAGCTCCCATTCCCAAGATCATAGCTTCAGACCCTGACGTCCTTTCTGGCTTACTGAGTCCATACCCGTTTTATTTTAGGGATAGTCAGGGGAGGCCCAGGGTTTAAGTGACTTGCCTAAGAGTTCACACAGGTCATTTAGTCCATATTTATAATGTGGACTAAAGGCTTGACATGGCAAATCTTCATAATCTGAGAAAAGTCACAAGCGTCAGAGACACCCGCCTTCAAGCTGCTGCAAGTGTGGTGTCCTGGGCAGAGACAACCCTCAAGACCGGGTGAGCTGGGTTCAAGTCCTGCTTGTGAGACCTTCACTCCAGCTGTCACTGCTCCAGGCAGTTCACTCAGACTGTGCTGTCCAGAGTGGCTAACAGACGTCAGTGGAGAGAGTTTCCTCATTCGGGAATCCTCCCCTCCCCGCCCCCGAAGTACCACAGCAAGGATCGATAAATACACTTGGAACCTGGAAACCTATGGTGTTGTTCAATTTTCAAGAAACATATGGAAGGAAAGACGGACATCCTGTGAGTGTGTCTTAGGATACAGGATCCAAGACTAGAGATAGGAAGGTATTCAGAGGCCCCGCCTGACCCAACCCTCTCATTTTACAGAGAGGGAAACTGAGACCCAGAGAGACAAAGGACTCGCCCACGAGCTAGGATTCACGCTCTGGTCCTCTGACTCCAACTCTGACACTCTCTCTGTACTCTGAGGCCAAGATCCAAACGACAGTCCCTGGGGGCACTAGTAACTAGCTGTTACTACTAGCAACAGCTACCATTTACTCTGGGCACTGAAGTTTGCAGATGACTACCATATGTAGTCTCATTTATCTCACTAGAATTTCATAGCAACTCCGCGAGGCAGGAACCACAGGAATTATTTTCCTCATGATACAGATGAGGCTCAGGAAGGTGAAGTCATTTGTTCGCGGTCACAAAACTAGCCGAAATTCAAGGGTGCTTCCATGACACCACCCTGAGACTACATCGGGATTACCAAGGGCTGCCCAAAAGTATGGTGAGGAGGAGGGCTGAGGGTAGGGGAACAGCAGTGATGTTGGCGATGCAGGAACAGAGGAGGTCAGGGCACCCCTGCCCAAGGGGCACACTAGGGTGGGATTCTTTTCAGTTATTCTGACAGTCTTAAGAAAAAATACTCTACATCATTACTGATTAGAGAAATGCAAACTGAAACAACTTTAAGATATCATCTCACACCTATCAGACTGGCTAAAATGATAGAAGGGGAAAAGGACAAACGCTGTAGGGGATGTGGAAAAACTGGGATGCCAATCCACTGTTGTTGAAACTGTGAACTGATCCAACCATTCTGCAGAGCAATGTGGAATTATACCCAAAGAAATATAAAACTGTATACCCTCTGACCCAGTAATACTACTATTAGGTCTGTTTCCCAAGGTGATCAGAGGAAAAAGAAAAAAAAAACTTGTATGTTCTAAAATGTTTATAGCAGCTGTCTTTGTGATGGCAAAGAACTAGAAATTGAGGGGATGCCCATCAATTGGGGACTGGCTGAACAAGTTGTGGTATATGACTGTGATGGAATACACTGTAAAGAAATGATGAGCTGACTGATTTTAGAAAAACATGGAAAGACCTACATGAAATAATAAAAAGTGAAGTGAGCAGAACTAGGAGAACATTGTATACAGTAACAGCAATACTATTCGAAGAATAACTGTGAACGACCAAGTTATTCCGAATACTTTAAATACTCAAATCAACGATAAAGGACCTATGAAGGAAGATGCTCTCCACCTTCAGGGAAAGAACTGATAAATAGAAATATACATTGTTTTTATGGTTTTACATATACTTACAAATCCGCATCAAAAGCTGCCCTTCCTTAGTGCGGGGTTCAGGAGGAAGGGAAGGAGACAGTTTGGAACTTAAAATGTAACAAAATTAAATTAAAAAAGATAGGAAGGCCCTATGCAAAAATAAAGTGATCTAGAAAAGTCTACTATCAATAAAGAAGGTAGAGAAGGAAGTCTAGAGATTGCTTCTGAACCAGAGGCAGCCTGCTTGGGGGGATCTTAAGGATGATTTTCCTTCTCGATGAAAGGTTGTCAATGAAAAACTAGTGAAGTCTCGGTGACTTCCTAGGTGAGGAGAAAGAAGGGCTTTGGCCAGCTACATTCCTTGACCTCATTTGCACTGAAGACTTCGGTTTAGGAATCAGAAATCTTTCTGGTTTGGTTTTCCATCTGTCAAATGAAGCCAATGCTCTGGTGTTAAGGAGGCAGAAGAGCTCTAAGACAAATGTGCACAGAGGCAGAGCAGAGAGCTATGAAAATGAATTGACAGGCAGAGACATCACAAGGTTCTTCTCCATAGTTCTGGGCCCAGACACTTCCATGGAGCAGAACATTCAATACTTGAAGGAAATGGCTGTTTTCCTGTGGCATTTTGTCACGGGACAGCTGCCTGTTTATCGGGTGGAAAGGCTCTGGGTAGGAAAGGTAGGCTGGGGGTGGTTAAGGCAATGCACTAGACAAGGTAACTTTCTAGGCCTCCTTCGTTTTTTTCTGAATTATGGCAGCAGACACACAGCCTTGATTAAAACAAACAAACACTTTGGGATACAGGACGGTTCTCTGAGAGGGAGACCAAGGCAGAGAGGGTATTGGAGAAATAATAATTATGGGGAAAAAGCCATACAAATTTATTTTTAAAAAGAATTAATTTTTAAATAAGAAAACATTTTTTAAAAGCCATCAAAACAGCAGTAAGCTGTTCCTGCTTTTATAACTTGTTTCCAAATACTCACCCCCCCAGGAGCTCTTCGGGTCTGAGAAGAAGCTTGGAAAACCTTTGGAGGCTCATTACCTATTTTGGAGAAGGTCATAATGGAAGAAGAACAAAAGGAGTGTCCTTCTGGGTCGACTGACATATCACTCTACAGAGAGAAACACAAAAAAGACGAGGTTCAGAGATGCACCCTTAACATCTCTGAATCGCTGTAACGTGACAGAGAATCAAATAAATGACAAGAAGTTAATCAGAAAATCGGTTAAGGATGTTCTACAACCCCCATGGTGTAACAATGGCACTTACTAACAAACTAGCCTCTTCTCCACCCTTGCTGAAGCATTCACTAACCCCATTAGAAATCTGCAGAAGCAACACTAAGCCAGACTAGTGTAAATGCCAGTTAGCACGGCCAAACTAGCAGAGCCTCTGATTTGAGCCCACAGGTCCTCCCAAGCTATGCCAGGACCCAGCCGAGTCCCTCTCCAAGTTCTCTTCTATTCAGGAGAAGTCTGCAGGGGGGTTGCTTTTGCCCAGGATGCCTAGGAGCCTCTGGAACAGAAGAGAATCCCTCTGAGAAACATTTAAGAGGGACTTGGCCCCCAGGCCCCCTGGCTCTTCAAAGTCAGCCTGGAACACGATCCCTGGGGAAGCAATGGGCCTCTGTGGTTTCCCTCAGAATGTGAGTGAGAAATTGGGGTGCCCCAGGGCATGCTGCTGCTGCCCCATTCTGGCCCCTGGATGCCTCTCCATCATGCAGGCTCCCCTCACCAGGAGTGAATCAGACACAGGACACATTGGACACATCTTCCCATTGCCCTAAGTACTGCCCTGCAGGAGCAGTCATTTGGTATTTACCTTTACAAGCTGGCCTAATGGAACAAAACGTGCCCAAACTAAACCAACTGGATGACCATGAAATCCCTGAGGTGGAGCCCTCTTTTAGGCTAGAACAGACTTTTGTCTTTGGTTTTAAGTCTGTGACTGTTAACTTTAGGTAACCGTCTGTTTTCCTTCATAGAATTCCTGTTATATCTAGTAAGGCTTCAGCATTCTTTTTAGGTCAGTCACAATTTGGCATTAGAGTGAAAGTTATGAGGGCAGAAACCATTTCCTTGGTGAAGTGACTACATTTTTATGGTGTCCTTTACAGGGTTCTACGAAGTATTATTTGAAGACGTTTTAGAACCTTTTTAAAAATTACTATTCTTTCTATACCCCCTTCATTTCCAAATATACTTGTCACCTACAAGGCCTATAACAAACGAGAAGAAAGAAGCCACTCAGTCGCCCATGGAGTCTGACAGTGGATGCCATGTTCTGCACCATAGCTCCCACCACTTTGACGACATTATCGTAACATAAAGTATCAATTAATTTTTAATACTTACAAAACGTCTTTGTAAATCTTGCATATTGTGTCGCATGTGTGACATCATTCTGTCCATTGCCTGAAAAGGGCTGACATCTGTATTCTACAGGATATTAGGAAGTGAGTTATTAACTAGGAGAATAATACAGGAGAAACAAGCCAACATTCCCAAAACACAAGTCAAAGAAAGTCATCAGGTTTATGCAAATCAAGTCACATGCACATGGGCCAAGCAGGCAAATTTGGAATTACACAATCAGAATAAAATTGTCTCCAAAAACAGGGGCAAACTCAATACCCAATAAGGGGAGAAGTGATTCTCAATCCATATTTTTTTAAAAAAAGAAACAACTGCTGGGTGCGTGACACAGCCAGGCCTCTCTCCAGCGGTAGGGTGGATCAGGCAGGGCTTTTCAGCCACTTCACCCTCCCAATCCTCAGTATCTCACTAACAACCCCCTTCAATCTGACTAGAGACACCTACTCCAGCTGCCAACAGCACTGCTTAGACCTCCCCTACAATCGGGTACCTCTGTGACGGCCTCTTCCAATTCTCCACCATTTTACCAGGTTGTCCTCTCTCCCTCCAGCCCGAGGACACGTTCTGGGGCTGCATAGGTGCTGCAAGGCCTGACGTGCTCAATCACTGCTTTCCAAACTTCCTCATCCCAGGTGCCTCAGTCACTCCCTCATCTCAGACCAGGCTAGTCAAGGGCCCGCCCTGCCTGGCACAGCTGAAGCATCTCTCAGGGACCCGCACCTTTCCTTGGCCAGCCCAGGTTCCTTTAAGAAACAGCTGTCCCTGAAGCCTTCATAAGCATGATGACTCACTCTTGCCACCCCACTGGTGATCATGACCTCTTCTTTTAGCCTGCCCTGTCTGCCTTTTGTCCACAGCTGAGGGCACTGGTCTGAACAAATTTCCCTAACCTGCCAGATTCTTCAAAGATTCAATGATAACTCTAGTTAGTGATGCCTTCTTGTTCTTCAATGTTTGAAAGTTATTTCCAAAAGGCATAGTGATGTGATGTCCTATGTCTGAATATTCGGAAACAAGAGAGGGAGGAGAAATGGGAATGCGTGAGGGAAGTGGGAGGGAAGCAGGCAATCCCATGGGGCAAGGGGCAAGGTAGGGGCTGGCCCCCCACGCTCTCTTGTCTCCTTGCTGGGCCTGAGGCTGTACCTTGATCTTCCTCCATTCCTCCCTCTCCACAGGCCCACCTCCTCCGGGGACACGCTTCTCACTCTTGTATCTACAACCTCCCTGCCGGCCCACGTCTTTACCAGGAGCAATCTTGAGGTCTTTCCCGGCCTTGATGCCACCTATCCATCCATGCCCTTTGAACCACTTGCAATATGGTGCCTACTGTTCCCACCAGCAGGCATAAGTCAAACCGTTCTCTTGAAGGCCACCAATGGTCCTATCACCAGTCCAACAGCCTCTGATCAGAGAATCGAATCACGCCAGTGTGAAAGCCCAGAATCCTCTCAGTTTTACACAGGGATTTAACTGAGAACAAGAGAGGAGAGATAACTTGTCCATGCTCACCAAGCAGTAAGCAGCAAAACCAGGATTTGAACTCAGAAGTCTTCTATCCAACAGCATTATTTTATCCTCTCCCAACTGAGTAAATCTCAGGTCCAGTGCACTGGAAGCCAGTATCAGCTATCATAATCAGGAAGAACTGAATTCAAATCCTGCCTTGCTAGTTGTGAGACCTCGTCCGTGTCATTTAACTTCTCTGTGCCTCAGTTTCCTCATCTCTAAAAGAGGCTGGACTTGATGGTTTCTGAGGTCTATGACCATCCTTTCAACTCTAAACTTTTGCCCCTGTGAACTCCTGGCAGTGCAGTGACAGGCCCTGCTGACCTTTGCCCCCCTTCGGGTGTGGTCACCCCTTCCTGATTCTATTCCTATTTCCTCCACTGGCTCCCTCTCCCCTCTCCCACATGGACTGGCTGTTCAGAGCTCTGCTCTTAGATCTCTCCTGGTCAGTCTTCTCTGTGGACAACTCCCACATCTACCTCCGGTTTCCAGCCTCTCTCCAAAATCCCAATGCCATGGTTCCAATTCCCTGCTGAACATCAAGTGAACACCTCCCTGGAACCTCAGACTCCTTCTGTCCCAAATCAGCCATCATCTTCCTAATTTCTGTTAAACACCCTCCTCACTCGTCACTCAGACTTTCACAGGCCTTCTTGCCTCCCTGCCCCCTCCACATCTCCCAATAGCCAGTGCTTCTTCTCTCGGGCTCTATCCTACACAGGGCTGGGAGATTGATTTTCCTAAAGCACAACCCTCTGACCTTGTCACTGCCCTCCTGGAACACTTCTAGCAACCTCCTCCACTCACAGGACACAGTTCAAGGTTCTTTGCAATAGGGTCCCAAACTCATTCCGAGATTCTTCTAGACATTCTCTATGCTTCAGACGGAGCTGCCCCTTCTGTCATTTACTGAACTGAGCTTTCCTCCATGTCCTTCCTCTCTCACCTGTAACTCTTCGAATCTTCCCCACACTTGGGATCTCTCCCTCCTTTGAACTCGCAATTGCTGTGGATTTTCCTCAGTCACATCATCCCAAGATATTGCCCGTTGTGGACAGCTCATTCCCTCCTCTAGACAGTTCTCTGAAGCTCTCTCTGTCCTCTGTGGTACCTACCACAATGCTGTACAATGTTTCAATAAATATTTGCTGAATTCAATCAAATTCGAGCTTGCATCTCAAACCCACAACAGATGTTCTTTAAAGAGCTTATGAGGAAAAAATACTTAGGACAAAGAACAAACTAAATGAAAAAAAAATGGTAAAGCCTCATTTCAGTGAAGTTCTTCGAGCAAAGGCAGCTTGGTGGAAACGAGAGGCTGCCTTCTCAAACAGCACCCCAATTTAAACCTCAAATAGGTATCTTCACTGCTTAATTATCAGCTCCCCAAAATGGCACGCCCCCATAAGACATTTTTCCACTAGAGACACTATCCCACAATCACACCTTAAGCCAAATGAGAACAGAATAGAGACCACAAGATTCCTTTTTAATTTGGCTACAGTAACAAATAAATCATGGCCCACAAAGTCACAGGGAGAGGAGTCAGAACCGCACTTAATACTTAATTATCCATATATGTGTATAGATACATATATCTGTATGTAGATAATCTACAGCAAGTTTAAAACATTAGGTGAGGCATTCACTTTCTTCCTCCCCAAAACTTCTTTAGCCAGATCCTAGAATTTTCTCAGGATATTCAAATTAAGTTTAATACTTACCCAATACAGACAGAATGAAGCTAAATCTGCCTAGAAATGCCCTAAAACTTTAGCTAAATATCTTATTTGGCTAAAATTTAAATACAAATTGAGATTAAATCAATGCATATATTTCCAAAAAGCAATTATGAAGTTAATGGAAACATATACCAAAAAATCAGTCTGCTTGCGTTAAAAAACAAAAATTAAAAACCAACCACCCGCAAAAGCTCTGCATTCCATAATACAAACCATTGCACCAAAGCCACCAAAAGGCACAAGGGAAGAAGGACTGCCAAAGGTGCCAAAAGGAGCCAGGGCGCAGCTCCTCGCCTGGAAGACAAACATCCAGTTACTCTCCTGAGGGCACCGAGTCATGACAAGGCAAAGCACAGTCACAAGGTGCCGAGCTGGAGCAACTGCACAGACTTTCAATTTTTAAGAACTGGGTGTTTGTTCATGTTTTGTTATCTGTTTACGGTCACAGTCAGACCAGTAGTTATAGAGCAAGAAAAATAGTTTTCTTCAAGCAAACAGGAAGACCATTTATCACTGTGAGCATGACTGAGCTAGTGGCCACTAAAGACATAGGAAAGACCGGATTAAGGGAGAGATTTTTAAAGTGAAGCTTCATATTTCATACCAAAGCTAATTAAAAACATAAGGTACAATGATTAAAATGCTATCTTCTTTCCTTTCTACCCAGGAGACCAGTTCATCTAGTCTGCTACAAATGTTGATTTAAAACAAAAGTCATTTTTCTCAAGGTGACTATATTCCAAAAGGTTAGGGTTGTACCTAATGGCTTCCTAAGTATGCGTTTTAGGTAAAATAAGAAATTAACGTAGACCAGCAATGAAATATATACTTGACTTCTAAAATATTTATAGGTCATCTGGGAGAGGTGAAATCCATTTGGCCCCACAAGTTGTTCGAAAGGTCACTGAAAGGAGATTCCAAGTCTTTAATTATATAGGGATGGGAATTGGGCCTAAGATATCAGAAATATAAGGAACTATGGAATGAAACCACTCTCTCTACCCACGTAGGCCTACACTTTTGCTGCAGCTTAGCGCTCTAGAAAGTTGCCTGCAGCACTGCCCTGAAAGGTGGGGGCGAGGGCGATGGCAAGGGTCCCACATATGAGAGGCAAGATGGACCCAGGTCTTCCCCTCTGAGGCCAAGCTCTTTAGTCATGATGTCATCTTGCCTTCTTTTTCACTACACAGAAGAATCTTTAAAAACAGATAAATATAGGGGCAGCTAAGTGGCACAGTGGATAGAGTACTAGCCCTGGAGTTAGGAGGACCTGCGTTCAAATCCAGCCTCAGACACTTGACACTTACTAGCTGTGTGACCCTGGGCGAGTCATTTAACTCCACTGCCTAGCCAAAAACAAAAACAGAGAAATACTTTGGGCATCTGCAGGATTCTAGCTTCAGAGCTGGAAGACGCCGTGAAGCTCATCCAGGGGGAGGGACTGGCCTTCCAACCCAAGGCTTCCAACACTGTTTAAACAGATACTTTTAACAACATCAAAGTCACTTCCTACAAGTTCCAAACACCAGAAACAAATGTCTACTGAAAAAGTGTACAGCCCCAGCCCACCTTCCCACTGTCTGCTGAGAGATAATGTAGGAGTCATGTATTCACTATGAAATTAAAACACAAAAATAGACAGAATTGTACAGAATCAGATGCAGTATATTAATATAAATGACACGAGGATTTTAAAAGCATGATTTCTGAGAATGTTATAATTTTTGCAATATATTAGTCTGATACATTGTTCATATAATAGCAAAATCACATTAACAACTGATAGTTACATAATACTTTGCAGTTGATAAAGCGCATGCATGCAGGCGCACACACACACGTAGAAATATATTACAGTCTCACTCGATCCTTCTTACAACTCCATGCTGTAGGTATCACTGTGCCCATTTTCCAGATGAGCAGACAGTTTCAGAGAAGTGAAATGATTCACCCTCAGTCACAAAGCTCACATTCAAAAGCAGGACCTGAACTTGTCTCACCTAGTTCCAAGTCCAGGACTTTTTTCCACTACAGATCATGCTGCTTCCAACTCAGGAACACCAAAGGTCATTAGATTTACCAGCAAATACACAGTACTAGGGACAGTGGGGTGCAGTTCAAAGCACCCCAGAAGGCATCAAGAAGGTCCTCGGTTCAAATCTGGTCCTACCACTGATGCTGGCTGGTAGTTCACCCACAGGGAGGAATGAGGACATACTGACAGAAGGAGCTGAAATGGCTGAAAAATTTGGGAGCTCTGACCATAATGTAACTCTACCAGTGCCTATGATAATTCTTATCTGATTGACCTATGACTCAGTACATTCAAAGCACCTCCCCCCCTCCCCGAGGGGTTTGTAAAAACCTCCATCTCCCTTTTCTGGCAACAGGCAAAGCGCAGAGAGGTTGGGAGAGCCTGGGGCAGCAGTGGTGGGATTCCCTTCGATCAGGCCTTCCAGTGAAGGCTGGAGGCACCACTTTTTTGGGGGGTTGGAGGCACTAGACGCAATTCTAGGACAGCCATGATTGAGATTAAACCAGAATAACATAGATTTAGAGCATGAAGGGAGACCACCTGGTCCCACATTCCCCCAGAGACTTGTGGGGAGTGCCAGGGGCTTGTTGAGAGATCACACAAGTACTATGCAGCACAAACAGTCATTCCCGTTCATGACAGCCAGAACAGGGAACACCGCTGTTCCAGAATTCACGTCTTCCTTCCTTCCCAATGGCATGCGCCAGTCTCCTGGAGCTCTATTCCTCACCCCAGGGCCAGTCTTAGCCTTTCTTTTCCTTCCACAGAAATTTTGTGTGCTTGCCTTTCCATGTTGAGCCATTATGTTTCTATGTCCATAACACATTAGTTGGAAAAGCCCTTGGGAAAACTCACGGACCTCTCCAGTATTTTTCAACACTGACCCTCTTTATAACTGTGATGCTAAAGTCATAGTATGCTATCATTTAATTCTGCCAGAAAAAATGTCATAAAAACCCCTCTGATTCATTCTTTTTCATTCTAAGAATTAGCTGCAACTACAATCTAAATTTTACTGAAGATGAAAAACTTATTTTCCGATTTTTGGTTTCCTTTTTCAGAGAAAGACCTAAAAGAACCTTTTTTCATTATTTACTAATACATGGTAGTCTCCATTTTAAGTGAATTCACTTTAAAGGAACAAGGGACTTGTTATATTTCATCATATACCTTCTGCTATGGAAGCACATTCATTAGGTATCAGTGTCAAATGTTTACCATTCAGAGTAACTTCAATGAAATCTGGGATGCAGCCGGGGACAACATAAAATACAGCTGTGGAAAAGAGAACCAGACCTCAGGAGTCAGGAGGCTTCAGTTCCAGTCCAGGCTCTCCTACTAACTAGCTCTGTGACTTTTGGCAATTTACTTCATCTCTCTTGGCCTCAGTTTCCCCATCTGTAAAATCAGGGGCCTCGAGGACTCCCTCATTTCCTGGAGCCCTTATTTCTTGGATAATTTCATGACCTTTGCTCTTTGTCTACACAGTTATGGCACTCAGCACAATCAGTACTGATCTTGGCCACTCAAGGCAACAGGAACCTTTCAGCACTACTACGTGCCAACATCTTCTTTGACATGGACAACGCTGCACCTCCCCAGACTAACTTCTCATCTAAATGAAAGGACAAAGTTCAAGTGGGATATTTTCCCCAAATGGCATCGATTCTGCCCCAGCCATGGGCATGTGCTGCAGCGGACCCTGGGTCCCAAAGGCTGCTCCAGCAGAGGGCAGGCTCAGGCAGTCTGAGGCTCGGCCTGGAGCCAGACTCAATGGTGCACCATTCCCGCCCTCCCGACACTCAGCCGTGCCGAGTCGGGGTACAGAGAGCTCGTCCCCACAAGGCAGTGTACTGTTCTCAGTCATAACACCTCCTGAAGACAGCCCACCAAGGAGTGAAGGGACTGTGAAAGCTCTACCGGGAGGAGAGGTGAGACGCAGTGCGGTGGACGCTGGACCTCCGACTCCAACTCCAACACGTGCTAGCTGGGTGGCTCCGGGGAAGTCAATGAACCTTTCTGTGCCCGTTTTCTCATCTGTAAAATAAGGCTAAGAGCACCTGCGGTACCCCTCACAGGGCTCATGTGAGGCTCAAAAGTGAGAAGGCCTGGAAAGGGCTTTATAAACCCTAAAGCATTACAGAAAGGTCAGTACAACTGGAATGAGGAGGAGTGGTGCCGCTCTCCTTAGCTAATGCTGAGTCTAAGTGTTAAGTGGTGATGCTACAGGGCAACTGCAATCATTACTGATGAACGGTAACAAATAAAATGTAAACTTTTGTCTAGGGCTAGAAAAAGGTATTTTGTAAAATTACTTGGTAATTTCACTTTTCCAGACTTTGCCACCATGCCTCAGCTGCCCAAGGGCCCCTTCTTCCATTGGTAGGCTCTTCCTGGAACCACCCTTCCTGCATCTTTTACCTGCTCCCAAGCCTAGCGCCACCTCTCCCAGCCCCCGCTCCCCTTTCAAGTGCTGTCTTCACCCATAGAATGTAAGCTCCTGGAGGGTAAGGACCTTTTTTTGTGTTTGTACGCACAGTGCTCAGCACATAGTAAGCATTTAATAAATGCCTGTTGAATCACACACACGTATGCAAATAGCATCCACCTTAATGGGAAAATAAAATGCATTCCACCTGTCTTGTGTTCTATTTCTGCCAATAGTTACAAAGAGAGTATCTAAAATCATGGACTTGTATGAGTCGCATGTGCCAGTGATACCAAGTGATAACTGACAGTACGATTTTTGAAATTTCCACCTAATGCACAGCTTTGATTTCAGTTCCAAATGGGGACCACTCTCAAGCTACAAAAAGTCGGAAATAGATTGGGGATCACATTTCAGCTGCGAAACCACAAACTTCTCTGAGAAAAACTCTCCAAGGAGTCACCCCAGTAAATCCCTGAACATGCTTGTTGACTAGAATGCACTGCTTTTAATTTAGAAAGATAAGCATACAAGGCGTTCCAAAAGTCTCTGAGTGGTTTTGAGCTTTAATAGCTTAAAGAGCTACTTAGATTAAGCTTTAACAACCTAAAACTGCCCCAAGAATTTTGGAACACCCTGTGTAAGCAACAATCCCGACTTTATCATAACAACTGAAAACCTGAGGATGGAAGCTAGTTGTAGAAACTTCTGTCACTTTGGTAATGTGGCAATCCTCAGAATGCACCCTAAGGAGGCCTTGCAGGATGCTCAGTGAACAGCTGGAGAGCAGAGGAATTGATTTCTGCTTTTATTCATGGCTGGTCTTTCTTCCACCTCCACTGGGGTTTGTGTTGACCCCAACAGGATCCTTAGAGTCTTTTTCAAGTTTCTATACTTAAAAAGTAGACAAATTGTAAAATACTTTGCTTATGTTGAGAGCGGTACTGACAGCAAATGCTTAAAGCTCTGTAGCTCCCACCAGTCCACTGGAGTGAGAGTCTGGGGCTCTAGCTTACATCAATTTTGTCATTATGAAGTTATTTTTTTCCAGCATCAATAAGCATTTTTTCAGATAAATAAAGGTAGCCTTCAGGAACAGATAGTCTGAATTTTCTCGCATTTCTACCCCTGATGTCCCCTCTAAAGCTGAGAAAGTTGCTTAGGCATACAGGACAAGTCACAGTACTACTAGCAACCATCATTTACCTGCTAAACTCTCATTCCTGCAAACTAAACAACAAAAATAGGTGACCCAGCAGCAGACGGCAACAAAGGCACTGCACTCTAGGCATGTTCCTATTTCTCCATCTTTTGGCATTTCTTTGCTATTTAGAGTAGAAGATTCTCCTGAGTGGGAATTACTGATGCTTATGAGAAACAGTGAATGGGGAGGGGAAGGTTCTACCCAGGTACCAAAAGATAACACAACCATTCAAGGTTTACTTTTCTTTCTCTGGCTGTAGGGGTCTGGAGGGGGACAAAGGAGGTAACTGAGCTCATTCCTCCACTCTCCCCAGAAGACAAGAAGGGCCAGTGGGCAGTCAACAGCCCACAGCTGCGTCTGCTCTGGCAAGGATTAAAAAAAAACAAAAACAAAAACACATTCTACTTAGTATCTTTTGTTAACAGCCCCAGACACTATTTCACAACGGGAGAGGAAGAAAATTATATGTAACAAACATGTTTCTTGATTATTTTCTTAAAATATAATGTGAGAAGATAAATGTTTACTGACTAATATGAATGATATATGAGTAAATATGATAGCAAAAGCTTTTGGCAAAGTGTATGGATAAACTATAGCTCTATAAATATGAGAATTGAGTACAAGCAAACCTTATTATATCATGATACAAAAGTTATCACATTACAGAATTTTATACATGCCTTGAGTTAAATACCATCCCAGAAAACACGGCAACTTCAACGCTAGCAGTTCTGACCCAAAAGCAATTAAATACGTTATGATATTTTATATTCTTTCCTGCAAATCCCCACCATTTTCTTATTAAGAATCTTTAAAACAAAGAACCTACAGAACAAGAAACTTTATCATCATCATCATCATCCTCACGACGGCCTCGCCCACCAGCGACGCTGAGGAGCTGTCCGAAAGGCTGAGTCAAACTTTTCATCATTTGACGCATGTTTTCATTGTGAGAAGAAAAGGAGTCTCTGTGAAAAACAGAAGGTAGAAAAAGTCATTAATGATGTATGTCAAGCACCAAGTAGATACGTAAAGACTCTATCTGAGTTGATGTATACCTAAAAAAGAAAGAGTAAACGTTAAATAAAACTGACCCATCCTACGATATAAAGAATTCTCCATAATACCTCACTTGGGTGTTCATTCAACAAATGTTTCTTAAAGCAATTATCACGTTAAAGGCATTCTAGTAGACAAAAATGAAACCATTCTTGCACCTACAGAACACACATTCTATTGAGAAGGAACAATACATATACAGATGATTACACACCAAATCATTTCCAAAAAGGAAGAGCTTTGTGGTAGCAGAGAACTGAAAACGAAACAGACGCCTATTCACCGATGGGGGAATGTCTAAACAAACTGTGGTACGTGAATGCAACAGAACGGTACTGTGCTAGAAGAAAAAATGTGCATGAGTATAGAGAAGCATGGAAGCTTACGTGACATGACGAGAACCAAGAAAATCACGCACACGAGGAATACGACAATGCAAATGGAAAGAAGCACCACCACCACCAAACAATCACAACTGCATGGAGCAAAACTCCGAACACAAGCTCAGCCCCGAGAAGAGACGTGCAGAGACCTGCCACTGCCGCTCGTTTGTAGAGATCAGGATCCTCAAGTGTGGGGTGCTGCACATGACACAGACGGGCTAGTGAACTGGGTAAATTTTTTTCTTATTTCTCTTTTTAAAAAGTTCTTTGGTATAAGAATGGCTGAGAAGGGGAAGGGCAAGGAATACAGATGGAAATACAGGCAATATAAAAACAAAAGATGCTAATAAAGGCCTCTTTCTTGTTAGAGATGACAACTAAACTGTCCTCTGAAGGCAGCTAAGACCCGACACACAGTAGGCACTTTCAATATACGCTGGAATGATTGATTAGATGAGGCAGAGGTGAGTGTGAGTGTTTTACAGCAGATGTAGGAGAAAGGTGCAAAAGCAATTCTGGTGAAAATGGCACATTGTGGATGGATATTGGCCAGCAGGCAAACTTGGAAAGACAATTGAGAAGGATGATAATATGAAAACATGTAAGAGCTCTACTTCTCTGGCTGAAGATTTTGCATTTTATCTTGAGGCAATAAATGAGGATTTCCAGAAGATTTCTGAGGAGAGTGGCTCAGTCAGATCCTTCTGTGGAATGTCAGTTTGGCAGCTGTGTGGAAGACTGATTGAGAGGGAAGTGAATGACGGCAGGAAGTCCAATTCGGAGGCTTGTGGAATTGTCCAAGTAAAAGGCGACAGGGGCCAGCAGCACACGTGTGGGGGGTGGGGTAGGGTGCCACCCAGCACCACCTCCATGACCGTGTCTCCTCAGTCCCAGATGCAGGCAACCCAGGACAGTGAGGCCAAGAACCTTGGGAATGGCCAGACTTCCAGGCCAGGGCCCTCTGCCCCTCCCGTGCAGATACTGCCAAGCCATGCAAGGCGCTGGAGACCCAGAAAGGAAAGCTTCTGCCTCTTAAGTCTTTGGCTCAGTCCGACGGCTCAACATCAGAAAATGATACGATGTCGCTGCAGTCTTGTGTCAGCTCTGTCCCTTCACTCTAAGGTCCATAGGACCTTTCCATCTGACCTGCAGCTAGCTGAGAGCTCCCCGTTACACCAAGGGCTCCTTGGGAGCTGGGGCTCTCACCTGATGTTTCTCTTCGTACCCTCAGTGCTTTGCTCCCAGTAAGCTTAATTCACTCACTCACTCACTTATTCATGTAAAGCAACAAGACTTGGCAACTGAAAGAATGCACAGAGCTGAGGAAAAGGAAAACTCCAAGATCACTCAAAGGCGGCAAGTCCACTGGTAACTTCCTCAGACACAAGCAAGTTTGGAGGGAAGTATAAATTCTGTCTCAGGCAGGCCAAGTGTAAAGTGTCTACAAGACATTCAGGCGAGGGTGTTTAGCAGCCATTTGGTAATGCAGGGTTGAATACAGGAGATAAATGAGGGCAGGATGAATGATTTTGAGAGTCACCTGCATAAAAAAAATGACAGCTGAACCACTAGAAATGTGAGAAAAAGAAAAGAGCCCAGGAAAGACTTGATGGCTGGGGACAGACAGAATGACATGCCATAATGGTATACTGAGAGGGCCCAGGCAGGCAGGAAGCACTGGATGAAGAGCTGCTTTTCTATCTGGTAGTTATCAAAATCACTTCCACAAATCACTACAATTATCCAGGCAAGCCCACTCATTTAGCAAGCTCTGAGTGGTGACCTCATATAAAATCCATGGCTGATGATGCTCTGGTATGACTCAGAAACTGACTCTGAAGGCAATTAAAGAGGAACGCTAAAAATGTTTGGGGAAACGGCACCCATCAATGAAGCATCCTATATGTCTCTGTGTATAGGTGTATATATATGTATACATATGTGTGTATGTCTACAGCTTTCCAAGTTGATTACTCCAAAATAAACAATATTAATTTAATTCTACTATTGTAAGTCACATTTGCAAAAGGTTCATTATCATGTAAAACAGCACTCATCCTTAGAGCTGGATGACCTGAGTGCTTGAACCTCGGTTCTCACAGCTCCAGAAGTGGACAAGAAAGCCCATTTCCCCCAAACCCTTCTATCATTGACCACTTGTCTTTTATCATCTTTGCCAGTTTCCCAAGTCTGACTGAAAACTCAGGTGTTTAAATTTATTGACTAGTGATTCTGAAACCTTGTATCTGATTCTTTTTATTCAACAATTACCCAATGCCAAAGCCACTGTGTGAGGCACGATAGAAGATAGAGTAACATAAAAGCTTACGAACCAAAAAGGGCCAGGCAACACGAGCTCAAATCACAGACCACAACCATGGAATGGTATTCAGAGCGTCATACAAGTAACCGAGTGATAAAGGCACTCCTAGGAGGAAAATAAAAGCAGTACTGCCTTCAGCACGTGAGGAAGACATTCAAGGAAGGCTTCCTGGAAAGGTGGTATTTGAGAGGTGGTTCTTAAGATCACAAGATCATACACTCTCTATAGCCTACAGTATTCATGACATCTTGCCCCACACAGGCTAGTCAGGATTGAAAATAATAAAATAAAGGTTTTAAAAAGTTTACAGAGTAATTTATATTTAGCCTTTCATGTGAAATGCACAACTCTGTGCAGTGGGTAATAATAATACCATTTTACAGATAAGCTGAGGGTCACAAAAGTCAAACATTATTTTACTTTGCCTTTTTTCAACTAACAAGTATGAATTCTCCCTCCCACCTACTACCACAGGAGGGAAAAAAGCAATACAAACCATTATAACAAATTGTTATTTGTTAACATTGTTAAGTAAAACAAATTCTCAAATTGATCATGCACAAAAAATTTGTGTTTCTTTCTGCATCTTGATTCTACCACTTCTCCAGAGTCTTACATCACTAATTATCTTTGGATACCTCAAATTGGTACCCATACTCACCCAATCCCAACTTCCCTCTGTCGTCAAAGTTGTCTTTACCATATTGTTATGGTATACGTTGTTCTCCTAGCTCTCTTCACTTCATTGGACATCAGTTCAATCATTCCTTTCACTATTTCTTACATTATATTCATATATATATATATAAATATACATAATTTGTTCAGTCATTCTCCAGTTGATGGGCACACCCCCTCTCCCCCCAGTTTCTAGCTTTCTGTCACCACAAAAAGAGCTGCTAGGAAACTGGGAAAAAATATTTGCAGCAAGTTTCTCTGATAAAGGTCTCATTTCTAAAATATGTAGGGAAATGAGTCACTTACAAAAATAAGATATGTGATACACAGTCAAAAGATAATAGGCAGTTTTCATAGCTATACATAGTATGAAAAATGCCCTAAAAGATTAACAACTAGAGAAATGCACATCAAAACAATTTTAAGGTACCACCTTACACTCATCAGATTTGGCTGAGATGACAGAAAAGGAAAATGACAAATGTTGGAGGGGATATGGGAAAATAGGTATACTAATGCATTGTTGGTGGAGCTGTAAACTAATCTTACCATTCTAGAAAGCCATTTGCAACTGTGCCCCTAAAGCTACTAAACTGTACATGTCCTCTGATCCAGTAATGCCACTAACAGGTTTATATTCCAAAGAGACCAAAAAAAAAAAAGGACTATAAGTACAAATATATTTGTATCAGCTCTTTTTGTGGTGACAAAGAATTGGAAACTGAGGAGACGCCTACCAATTGGGGACTGATTGAACACATTATGGCATATGAATGTGATGGAATACTACTATGTTGTAAGAAATGAAGAGGATGGTTTCAGAAAAAATCCGGTAAGATTTGTATAAACTTATTTACAGTGAAGTGAACAAAAGCAGGAAAATAATTTATATAGTAATATTAATATTATAAAGATAATCAACTATGAAAGACTTAGTAACTCTGAGTAACACAATGGCCTACCACACTTTCAAAGGACTCGATTTCAAAGGAGCTATCCACCTCCAAAGAGAAAACTGATGGACTCAGAGTATAGACTGAAGTATATTTTTATCTTTTTCTTTTCTTTTTGGGGGAAAGGGATTAGAGGGAATATGGCTGATGTAGAAATTTGTTTTGTAAGACTACACATATTTGTAATTGGTTTTATTTTTCTTGTTTTCTCAATGAGTGGGAGAGGGGAAGGAAAGGGAAAGAATTTGGAACTGAAAATAAAATAAAATTGAATTTAAAAAAAAGGCAAAGGATTCAAGGAGCCACTACAAATTAGTGCAGGGGTTGCTTTCTTGTTCTGATGATTGTTTTGACTTAAGAAAGTAATGGAAAAAATGTTAGTGATGTAGATTAAACTTTTTTTTTAAAGTTGCTATATGTAAATATTTTTGTACATATGGATCCTTTTCCACTTTCTTTGATCTCTTTGGAGTATAGTCCCAGTGGTGGTATAGCTGGTTCAAACAGTATACACAACTTAGTGACTTTTTTGAAGACAGATCCAAATTGCTTTCCAGAACGGTTGGATTATT